GTGGTTGTCGTCTCGACCTTGGGCGTCGTGGTTGTCGTCTCGACCTTGGGCGTCGTGGTTGTCGTCTCGACCTTGGGCGTGGTGGTCGTGGTCTCGACCTTGGGCGTGGTGGTCGTGGTCTCGGTCTTTGGTGTCGTGGTCGTCGTTTCAGACTTCGGCGTGGTAGTTGTGGTCTGAGGCTTTGTGGTTGTTGTCACCGGCTTCGTCGTGGAAGTGGCTGGGGGTGTAGTCGTCGACGAAGATGGGGGTGGAGAGTTGCAGTCAAAGCCAATGGAATGGATACCAATGTCGCAGCCATCCTTGTTGCTGCTGGGAGGCATTTGAAAAGTCACCGAGCGAGCACCACCGCACTGGGTGTTCTCCACGGTCGTGCCCTTGGCGCTGCAGGACGCGGTATGTTTGCAGCTCGAGCCATCAGGCATGCCGAAGATGAAGTCTATCTCGGTGTCGAAGGAGACAGAGACATCCATGTGCGAAATGGAGAACTTCTCCTCCTGGCCACACGAGAAGCTAGGACCACTGCTCGCGGATTTGCCCACTTTGCCTTGGATGCACTTCGACTAGCAGGGAGTTAGTTAGGCGTTCTCAGGTGAGCAACACTTTCTTCAATTTACCTGAAAGTTGGTACGGGTCTGGAGAGATCTCTTTTTGCCGTCTGCCTTGAAAGAATCCTGGCACGAAAACCCTCCGAAGCCAAATCCACCATAGCTGTTGAACCCTCCTGTTGGAAGATCGGACCAGTCAAAGCCGTGCTGTTGATCAGGGGTGCAGTTGTTGTCAGTGTTCGAGACGCTGGGGAAGCCTGGAGAGTCGTTCCAGCTTGTTGCGACAGCCTGCTGAACGACCCAGGCAGAAGCCACGAGACCGGCAGTCAATGCAGACCTCATGGTGAGCGAAAATAACAGGAAAAATAGACGGGAAAATTGAGCGAGCGACCAGGCTTGGCTGTAAACGATTGACTTTTGATATAGCGAGTGTGGATAACGAAAGACTGTATGAGACAGGAAGCAAAAATCAAAGCACAGGAGGAGAAGACCTGGGGACAGGAAGGATGAAAATGAATGCTGCTACAGGAGGTCCCGAGCCTTTTGTATTGATGGACGTCCGGCGTCAACCCATTAGTCCTGTTGTTCTGTTGATGGAGGTAGGTCGGCACAGGAGAGAGTATCCAAGCGTCCCTCCTACGGCGGGTCTCAAGACAAAACATTCTGAAGCCGACCACACTGGCGCGCGCCACTGGTCGCGGTGTCGTAGCTGTGGAGTGGGATGAAAGCCTCTCGCGACCTCGCATAGAGAGAGGCGAGCTCGTGAAAGGGAAGGCTGAAAGCGAACTGGACTGTCGTCGACAACCAATCGAACTAGTCGGCGTTGTCGAGGCTTAAGTCAGGAGTTTTGTCTTGGACTTTGCGGGGCGGCCACATGCAAGCGATCGGCCATCGTTGTCGGAAGCCAGAGCCTGCACATCCGTAATCGAGGCTGTGTCCGCTGAATATCCACAGCTGCGGTGACAGGTCACAACAATCGTCGTGATGCGAGTCGCTCCTCGCGCGTCTCGAGGCAGATTGCTTGGGTTTGAAATTAACTCGTAGGCGAGAGCAGGCGAGATTCTCATTGGCAGCCTAGCGTACTGTGCGGCCTCCCTGATTGGTCGGGCTCCGGCTCGAGCTTGGCGTCTATACTAGTCTATTTTGAGCCGCTCGGTTGGCGGTTACGGACTGACACGGCGGCGTCGTTATCCTCCACTCGTCCAACTCGTTCGGGCAGCTAGTGACAACAATGGCAAGTATGGTCAGTCTGCCCCTTGATGGGGATGGGAGAGATCTGCTGAGATATATCTGCTTCGGGACAAATGCATATGCTATGTGCCGTTTCCCATGCACGCAATCCCTGTCCGTCGTGCCGTGGTGGGCATACTCCGTACTCCGTATAAACAGATGCATTGGCATGATACTATATGCATCACAGGACATGATGTTCCGTTTGCAGCAGTTAACCCCTAGACCATTTGGTTCACAGCGTCCACCATGAGTTGACCCTGTTTCCCTACTATGCCTCAAGCACTGCGGGGATATGGTTCCAGTGGTGGAAAGCTCTGCGTCAATGTTCATAACGCCATGCGCCATGCGCCATGCATTCATGTCGTTCGTCCCGTTAGTCTGTCAAAAGGCAACCTTTCCCTTTTTAAGATCCCCACAAGCCCTCCTATTCCGTCTCATCCAAGTTTCCCGACCTTTCTTTCAAAGGTAAGGGCGTTCCGTGCTGGTCGCCGTTCGCGTGCCCATTAATGCCGTTGATATTGAGGTCAAGCACTGCCTTAGGCATAATATGATCCGAACTGATCGTGCCCAGCTCGTCCGTCGCTCGCTTTCCACTTGGGGGACTCGGACCATGACTCGCATCTTGTTCGGCTGCGGCGCCATTAAGCTTGTGGTCTGCCTCTTCACTCACTTCAGCAATGCTGGCTTCGACTTTCTTCATGACGCGCTTGAACGGACGCCGAATGCTTGGTTTTTCCGTAGGACTGGTTGTTGGGGTACCATTCGCGGTGGGCTCGGCTGGTTTGCTGCCAACATCGGTGGGTCCGTCAACACCATCGCTCGGGACCGTGGAGTTCGCACTCTTGTCCACGGCTTCGGCAGCCCCCTTACTACTCTTAATGTACTCATCTAACATGGCTTTCAAAGCTGTTTGTCGGACTGGCTTGGCAAGATAGTCATTCATGCCAGCCTCCAAGCACTTCTCTCGGTCGCCTCGAATCGCGGAAGCCGTCATGGCAATGATCAAAACACGATTGACATTAGGATCCGGATCGGCTCTGATTGCTTTCGTCGCCTCGTACCCGTCCAACACCGGCATCTGGACATCCATCAGCACGAGATGGAAAGGCCTGCCCTCCTTGCTCTCGGCCTTTAAGGCGTCGTATGCTTGCTTGCCATCTTCGTACGCCTCGCAATTGAAGCCAAGCTTTTTGACGAAGGAGATGGCGATCTTCCGGTTGATGTGGTTGTCTTCGGCAATGCAAACACGGAGTTCTTCGCGAGGAACTTTGCTCAAGTCGCAGAAACTGTACGTCTTGTGCTCCGTTTCAGGACTCGCGGCCTGGGACCAGTTGGCCATAGGGTCTGGGTCCTTCGCAGAGATTTGCATGTCGTTCACGACGCTACTATTCTTGGGCGCCTTGTTGAAGGTGAGAGTGAATGACACCGTCGTCCCCACACCAGGCGTGGACTCTATCCATATCTTTCCGCCAAGGACGTTCTCGATCATCGCCTTGCAGATGCTGAGACCGAGCCCGCTGCCACCGTAGGAACGAGCCGTGGATGAGTCAGCTTGCGAAAACGGTTGGAAGAGTCGTGTCAGCTGCTCCTGAGTGATGCCAATCCCCGTGTCTGCGACAGAGCAAGTGATCTTGACCCTGTCTCGTGTCTCGGCGTTCTTGCGAGCGCGAATGGTGACCGATCCTTGCGGCGTGAATTTGTACGCATTGCTCAGAAGATTCATAAAGATTTGATGGAGTCGGACTGGGTCACCCAAGACCAAGTTGTCGTCAATCTGCAAATCTTCGATCGTCTGCAGGCCATGTTCTTGATTGGTGTAGGCCAGTGCTCGTACTACCTCGGTGATGGTCTCCTTCAAGTTTAGAGGTACAGTGAACATCTGCATCTTGCCGGCCTCGAGCTTGGAGAAGTCTAGAATATCGTTGATAACGGTCAACAAGGTATCAGCGCAAACACGGATGCTGTCCGCATATTGTTCCTGGTCTTTGCTTAGAGGGGTCCCTTTGAGGAGTTCCGACATGCCAATCACGCCGTTCAACGGTGTTCGAAGTTCGTGGCTGACGTTAGCAAGGAAGATGGACTTGGCCTTCGCGGCCTCCTCTTTCAGCTTGACATTGTGCATGGCCTCCGCTTCGGCTTTCTTTGCCTTAGCTTCCGCTTCCCGGGCAGCCACAAGCGCGCGCTTTTGCGACTCAACCATGCTGGCGTTCGATGCACTCACTTTTCGGACCTTCCTGTACAGGAGTGCATTGCCCAGTGATATAGCAACCTGGTTTGTGAGGAGGTTGAGGACGATCATGTTACGTTGTGTGAACGCGTTTGGTCGTCCTTCCAGGTGGATCACACCCATCAAATGATCAGCCTGTATTATAGGTATGGCAATGATCGAGCGACCAAGCGGGTTTCTGGCCAGGTACGCGTCGCCCACGTTAGAGAATCGGTCGTCCTCGAGCACATTGTGCACAAACACTGTTTCCTTGGTGCGCAGCAAATAGTGTGTTATTTGTTGGGCGGCTTGATCGTCGACCTCCGAGAACGGAATGCCATCAGGATATGTCTTGACGCCTGTTTCGTGGTCGGCACTTGCTGCGACACACCAGCCTTGGTCCTCGGAGTCTATCACGATTGCGCAGAACTCGGCCTGGCCCCCAACGGACTCAAGGATGACCGATATCATCTTGGAAAGCAAGTTGTTGATCTGGAGTTCTGAACTTATAACCCGCGAAAATTCCAGGATGGACGTCAGATCCAGAATGTCGAGTCCCAGACCAGGAACGTCCTGCTGTGTCTGCGTTGCAGTGCCTTGCTTGGGTTGCACCCATTGCTTCGTGTATTCGCGCTTGTTCTGATGGGAAGGGTCTTCAGCTACCGCCAATGAGTGCAAGTCCTGCGTCTGGGTGGCGGCGTTCATTGTTCTCGAGGTAGTAGCGGTCTTAATTAACCACTCGTGCCTGTCTTGAAGCTGTTGAGCTTTACCCGCAGCGTTGATCCGATTCCAAGCACCAATGGCTTCTTGTATCATTACTTTTCCCGCCCTCTTAGCGCCTCGCGCGAGCAGAAATTCTGCTTGCATCTCTACTGCAAGAGCCTCTTCTAACGCGAAGCCATGTACCTGGCAGTGATCGATAGCCATCTCGATATTGGAAATGACGTTGTAGTAGACTCGGCTGACGTCCGAGATGGCGGCTTCCAATATGCGGGACCAGGCGAAGTAGTTGACATCGTTGACACTCCCCCATTCATCGATGTAGCTCTTCATCTTCTTAGCCTCCTCGATATATGGAGCCCTCTCTTCTTCGGGCTTCTCTTTCGCGACTGCTATCAAGGACAGACCCAGATAAAAGCGAGTAGCGCAAGAAGGTCTATTTGACCAAAGCTCATCGAGAGTCGTGGCAACCAATTGTCGACCTTTCTCAACGACATATTCGTGGTAACCGAGCAGATGATAAGCTACAAGGGACATGGCATCGAAGATGTCGCGAGGACGTTGTGCGTTAGCTGCATAGAGATCGCATTCTCCCATCCATTTCTCGGTCTGGTGATCGTCATCGTCTAGGAGAGTCATGGCATCTGCTGCGATGGTCTTCCCCTGAAGTGCACGCGAAACCTGTCGGGTAACCGTGAGTAGCGTTCCGCCGCGCCGATCTCTCTCCCAGTTCTCAAACTCTTCAGGGCCGTAAGTGCAGAAAGCCTCGACTTCTGCAAGATCCTGTCCAGCCCAGAATCTTGAAATGGCCATGACACCAATATTGAGAATGCTGACAAACCTGTCCCCTGATGACAAGGAGTATTCGAGAGCACTATCCAGAATAGGAAGCAAATTTCGCACTGGGGTCTGATAATGGCCAATGAAGAGAGTGTATAGCGTCCAGCCCCTGCCCCGACTCCATGCGTCTTCGAACAGAGTGAAGAACTCTTTTGCGATGTCGCCATACGACAAGCCCAATTCAATGTCTTTGAAGCGCCCGATCGCAACAGCACCAAGCATTGCGAGGCCGACTCCAGCCTGAACAAAGATGCCACGGTCAAGGAGCGCATTGACGTAGGCGATGACGAGTTGGTACCAGAGCAGAGCATCGGACCAGTAGAGCGCACCCAGGGCTTCGCTAAGCACCGTTCCGAGCGCAATCACGTTCTTGTCTTCGCTCAAGAGAGCTGTAAGGAGTGCCTCCTTATCGAGCTCCCGTAGCCGGAACTCAAGTTTCTTGAACTCGATATCGCATTCGTCCCAAGTCGGCTGTGTTAGAACAAGTCCGAGCTCTGCTAGACATTCCCGCTGAGCTGCAAATGCGTCCAGAAACTTTCCTTGACCAGCAAGCACGCGGCCTTTCAGGATGAAAGACCTTGTCTTGTCGGCAGAACACCTCGCGTGAGCGAACGTCTCATTCAAGAGCTCGAGAGCTCCTTCTTTGTGACCCTCAAGATACATGATTTCAGCGGTATTAACGTGAAGTTGTAGAGTTTCGTCGTAGAACACATCAGGGTTTTCTGTGTCCCATTTGTCGTCTTGAAGCAGATCAAGAGCAGTCTTGTAGTACCAAAGAGCCGTTGTTTTGGCACCAGCCTCAATGGCCTTTTGAGCTCCGCGCCAGAGAACGTCCCGGTAACGCATCCGGGTCGGAATCCGTTCTTTGACGATTTCGGCCGATAGACAGATGTGACGTGCTAGAGGGTATAGGTTGTACTTGCATTGACTGAGATAGCCCATCATAGCCTGCGCTATGATGAAATGCATCTTGGTCGTGTTTTGACATTCCCGCATTTCGGTCGCTGCCTTGAGGTACCGTGCATGCGCAAATCGGAACTCGTCATCGGTCTCACCAGGAGTGATGATGTACACGTTGACCAATTGCTGGAGACCATTGACGCAGTCAGTCTCGGAAAGACTGAATAGCTTCGCTCGCTTTGGGCATGTCACATCGTGCGCCTGGTCCCTTCCACTGCTGTAGAAGAAGTCTCCAGTCAGAATAGACTGGACCAATTTGAATGAGAAAGTGGACCCTATCAGCGAAGCCCAAGCCAGAATGGACCTTGCAGCTGGCGGTAAGTCTTGCAGTCGTCTCGTCAGATAGGCACTGTCGGTGCATCCCTCACCACTAAACTCGTCGAAAATCTTGTCAAGGTCAAATTGCCAACCGGACGCTCTCCAATCGTACCATAAACAGTTTCGTTGATAACACGTTTGCAAGATATCCTTGAAGAGGAATGGATTGCCTTCTGACTTGGCGTAAACAACCGCGCCTAACGGAAGGATTGTGTCCACTGGTTGAGACATTGTTGCCGCGACATAGTCGAACACGTGCTTCTCGCGCAAATTAGCCAATTCTATCTTGTTGCTTGAATCGAGGTCGAGAAGCTTGGCAATTGATTCAGGGGCGCCCTCATCGTCGACTCTGCTCGACAGCATGAGCACCACTGGGACCTTGGCTTTTATGATATGCATTAGCAGGTCGACTGACTCGCTGTCTGCATACTGCAGATCATCTAAGCACAGACAGATCAATTTCCCTGTGGAGATGGTACGAAGCACGTCCATGTATGTGTTGATGAGTCGGATGGACTTCGTATTTGCCGGGCCGCGGAGGAAATCGTTGGCATCCCAAATGCCATTAGTAGCGGATGGGTTCAAGGTTGGCTTGGACCCAGTTTCAATCGTAGGAACTTCCGTGTTGATGCTCTGGTTCGCCGTATCTGCTTTGATCAAGAGCTTCTTGGAAAGTATCGTCACGTCGAGTAAGGTGGCCGGCAAATCCAACATTGAGTGTAATACTGGCCAGAACGGAGCGACATGGGCTCGAAGATGCTCATGATAGGGGGAATTGACGTCCTTCTCGGAGAAAATTTGTCGAAAGAGGCTTGCCATGACCTTGATCAGGGGCTCAAACGGCGAAGGCCGAGCTCTGTCGAATCTCCCAAGGGCGAAATATCCGTGGCGGCGGATTGCGGGCTGCACAGCTTTGATGAGAGCAGTTTTGCCTACTCCAGCCGGCCCAACAATGGTTATAACCTCAGTCTTCGACCTCCGCTTGTACTTGTGGCTGTTCCTCCTTCGTGTCATCATCCCTGGCAAGGAATCTGTTGGTGGCTGCAGGCCGCCAGAAAAGTTGCTATCTCGATCAGACAAGACGTCCAGAGGAGTAATTCTCGGATCAACTATCGTTCTTGCGCGCTTTCCAAAAACGTTGGCCTTGTTGCCGTAGGCAGGAGGATATGTACCGTCTAATCCAATAGTCGTGGAGTTGCTTCGAGATTCCCTGAGACCGAATGAGCTTGAGTCATCGGAAGGTGCTCCTTCTTCAGGGCCATCAACCCGACTATCGGAAATAGAGGAATTGGAGCCGCTCAGGAGTCCATGCTGTGATGGACTCGGCCGTGATCCTGAGGAGCTCTGTCGTTTATGAGCTCTGTCAATTATCTTGGTAATGCGTTCAGTCTCGGGCTGGCGACCAAATTGTTTGGTAGGAAGAATAAAGAAGGAGGAAACATCTCGTTGCCCAACCTTGTAATTCTTGATCTTCTCTTGATCGCCTTCACCCAAGAACTTCTGAATCTGCAGGAGGTCGTACTTCAGACCGCTCATCGAATGGTATCGCTCATCCATTTGTTTGTGAGTCATCTTGGCGATGATGTGGGACACGGCGTCCGGAATATCCATGCGAATCGATGTCACCATGGGGAGCCGATGTGTAAGAACTCGTTGGACAATATCGATAGGAGTTTCAGCATCAAAAGGAGGTTGTCCGGTCAAAAGTGTCCAGAAGAGGACTCCCAGACTGTAGATGTCGGTGCGACTGTCAGGTTCGGCTGGCAATCGGCCAGTCTGCTCTGGAGCAATGAAATGCAGTTTGTTCTTGACTCCAATTTCCCTGCTCATGCTGGCCCAACCCTCGCTTGACAGTAGATTTTCGAATGCTCGCGGTCCGTTTCCACCATTGGCCAGCTTGACAGCGCCAGTTTCGCGGTTCCAGTGGAAAGTATCTGATCGAACCTCGCCATGCACGGTTTTGGCACCGTGATGCAAGAGCTCGAGCGTTTCCGCCGCGCCAACCGCGAAATCGAGAAATGCCTGCAATGGAATCTGCTCTCCCGGGGTGCCATCTGACAGACTCGTCCTGTGTTCCAAGCGATTGTTGAGGCCATAAAAGGCAGGGCCCATGTCCAAGATTTCTCGTAGATAATTCTTCCCGGGAGCTTCATAGACGCAGACAACGATAGGGCGGGTGTCGCCTGGGGTGCTGGGCAGCTTGAAAATCTCTATCGGTCGAATAGTATGCTCGCATTCCGGATCAGCCTCTTTGACCACAGCCTGGTTGTAGTAGAATTCCCGCTCCAAGCGCAGCACATGTGTGCTAATACGAGCCACCACGGGCATCCATATCGGATCCGGATCTCCTCCTTTGGACGATAGATTGTCACTGTCGGAAGTACCGCTAATACTGCTCCAGTGATGGTGCCGAAGCGAGGGACGGTGGGGGTCGAGTTTCGGAGAGCTTTTGGTCGAGCCATTGGAGAGGAGGGAAAGGCTGGTCGAGGTAGTTGTGGATTCGTGAGGGTTGATGACATCGGGGTTGTGGAGGATGCCATAGATATGCCTGTTCGAACAAACACTCATCAGTTACCACATTGAGGGTCTTGAGAACTCGGACATGTCCCTTTCGCACTTACCAATGGTCGTAGCTCGTGTGAAATGGCACAAACTTCGGAGAAATCAGGTCAGCTGTGCGAGTCAGTGTATGAATTCGAGACGGCCATACCGAGCGATCCCAGGTATAATTCGGCACGTGCGAGAGCCGCTCAAAGAGTCTCGCAGGGGCGATGGGCAAGTCTTCGCCCAGGATATCTTCCATTTTCTCGGGCTGAGGCACTGACGTGGGTGGTCATGTCATTTTGGGACGCTGATTTGTGGTCTGGACTCTCAGAGTGAAGGCACCCAGATCTGCCAACTTCGACGGTGACAGCGACAGCAATTCCAACTTACTGCGATAGCGAGGTGCGTTCTGGGAGAGAGTGGAGAGAAAGGAAGATCCGGGTGAACCGCCAACGCGATGGAAATGCACGCCGGGATCGTCTGGACGTTCTCGAACGAGGATTTGACTGCTAGGTGACTGCATGTGGTTCGATCTGATGATTAAGCATTTCAAGCAGCTGCCAGACCAAGTGGGCGCCTTGGGGACGAGTGTCAGTCAGCAGCCACAATTTTCGTGCAGGCAGAACGAATGGCGAGTGTCACACCACTCTTCTACCGGAAACTGCGAACATGCTAATGCTCCTCACCCAAGGAGATCCGTGGAAATCACCGCAGTCTGTTACGCACGGTTGGTGTAGTCTGCCCATGTTCAGCAATTGATGGGCAGTTGCTCAAGCTCGGGAGGGGCACCTAAGGGGTAAGCCAAAAGCGAAAGTGTCGCCGCCAACCACATCATTTTCCAGGCCTCGGATCTCCTTCATGCTCCACTGCATAGACCCTGTGGTGTCAATGGCGGGATCGCGGGAAAGCGGGTTTGCTAGGCCCGGCTCCATTTACGCGGGGACCGGCAACTCTTGACGAGAGCACGGTCACAGACGCGTACCAGCTCTTTCTCCGTCAAGGACTTCCGACAGCCGGGCCAGACGGGCACGGCTTTCGCCATGCTGTTAAGTAGTGATATCATTACGATACTATGTACACACTGCTTCTACCGGACAAGGGATGTTCAACATACATAGGAGTACTGGGTAGAGCACGACCGACAGCCGCTGCTCTCGGTTTTTAAGAGCTTGACATGGGTTGTATCCCGTAGCTCAGCTTGATTCGCCATGAAATTCCCCATCTCATATGCACCACAGTCAGCACGGCGTTCTGTGCCATGCTAATCCGAATTTGTCTCCCCCCTGGATCTCTCATATGTCGTGCGTGCTGGGGAAGCGTATCGAAATAGACGCTCAAATCATCACCATGTGTGAAACCACTGCCAGCAACCATAAGCTATATATTCCACCACATTTCCACATCACCGCTGCGCTGGGTATCGGAGGCGTGATCTCTGGCTGTGGTGGTCCAGTGCTGCTCGCTGCCGGCGTGCTACTCGAAGTCGCGACGGTTGGACCTCCAGAGAGAACCGTGATATTATGCACAAGACTGCTGGCAGCACGGGTAGCGGAAGCGTTCGTAAGAGATGTCAACAAGGTACCCGTGCTCGTCACACCTGTGGTTGTGAGAATGGGCCAGGATGGCGTCGCAGACGTATTGGCGAATGCTTGAGATCCAACTTGGCTTGCTGGTATGGCGGAACCAACTCCACTACTGGTCCACGGTGTTGGGATTGGCAAGCTGGGAGTATTCGGCTCATCCAGGCTGTCTGCTCGGTAGATGTTCCCCCTCTGTCCATTCGCCAACTGATAGTCTCCTGTGATCAGGTTGGCTTGACCACCATCCGGAGTGGTATAGTTTCCCGATATGATCGAGCCATAAGAGCCGTCTGGGAGGTAATAGTCGGTGGTGAATTTGTCCTAAAAAGTTGGTTAGTCAATGAGCATGGCACGAAGATTGAAAAGAAGTACCCAGCACAGCGGGACGTCGTAACTGAGCACAAGCATACACTCGGTTGTTTCGGCGCCTGCGTCGGTAAGTTCACTTTGTATATTTCAGGATTGCGTACTGGACTCACAACAGAGGCTGCCTGATGTCTCCCTCGCTTGATGAGCGTGAGAAATAACACCCAGCGGTGATTTCGCCTTGGAGTCCCTGGGAACATTTTGAGCTTTCCCCAACAAATGGGCCGGCGCAGGCTGAGGATTGACTGTAGCGATCAAATTGAGGTAGAGCTGAGCCAGACCGGGACCGATATTTGGAACATCTCCGGGAGACGCGCCTTCAGGTGAGCAGAGATGGTATCCCTGTCCGCATGGCTGGCGAGGACCAAGGTCAGCAAGGCAAAAGCAAAGAGTGACGAGCCAAAGCAAAGGCACGAGGCGGACTAAGCGGTGACGCGTCTCGAGCCCTATTTTCCTCAACATGATATCTGATGCGGCAGACGAAATGTGGGTGCACAGGTCTGGTATTCAGAAGGTCAAGGAGGTTGGCATAACTAGAGGTGATTTGGCCAAGGTGTTTTCATTCATTGTCGACCAATGTTTGGGGGTAAGTGCGAGACTGTTCTCTGGCTGCTGTCTTTCGAGAGAGGTTCAAGCTGGGAAGGAACCACTCACTGTGCGCTCATTTGAATTTCAACTCACCCAGCCCTCATCTTCCGCAAGGTCATCTGCAACTTCAGTCGCAGTTCTTCATAGCTTCGCTCTAAGCAAAGCCCTCTCAAGCTCTTGTTTGCCCACCGCCTTTCGTTTGCTACTCCTGGCCCGGGCTTCCATATGATACCCACAGTGTCCGAATCTTCTGCTAAGGTCCTGAATACCGTAGTAGAATTCCAACAGCAGTCTTGTTCGCTTTTGGCACTTCCAACGGTCGCCTTCAGCTCTTGTTTGCGACGAATCGTTCCTGCTAGGCGGACAGTGCGGGCCGGGTCATTCGCAAGAGTCGATTGACCTGGCGCAAAATCTTACTTCTGTTGCAGTTTGGAGACTGCCCTCCAGTTCTTTGGCAGGCCCCCTTGTCCACGGAGAGACTACCCGCTCATTCGCGGTGGCGTTCTTTCCCTTCACCTCCAGCGTGCTTCACACAGGTTGGTAAGCACCCGTGTGCCCTTTGATGTGCCAGGGCATGTCGGCGTTCGTTGGACAGCTGTTTTTCCCAAAATCAGTCCTTACCACTTAGGTGTTACTATCGAATGCTGTCTCCCGTCTCCAGCATTTCAGGAGTGCGGAATAACGTCACTATCAAGCTCGGGGGCACAGACTGATCCCCACCAAGGTCAATAGAAACTAGACTAACAGTGCGCGACAACGATTTCGGTTAGTGATGTTCAGTCTTTGTTGAATCTGTTGGATTGGGAGTCGGCTTTTCAAGATCTGAAAAATGTTTTCCCGAGATCGACTTCCTGGACATGGTGTGATGCGCACCCCAATGCGGTTGCGGGATGAACAGATGCACTCTCGCTCCAGACTCGATGAGAGCTTGGTGGCCAATTGCAGACCATCCACCTATCACCCATGTAAGCTGCTAATGTGCGATGCCGCAATGCCAATCTGAACTGCTGTCCGGGATCAGGCTCAGCTTGGGCGGATAAGCAGCCTGGGAGTCATCCCAGTGATGATTCCACAGTTCTGGGTGATTGACAGTGCATGGAATCTGTTCCAGCTATGCCGCCTATTGTTTCAAACCGTGGATGAAGTGGTCCTCGTAGATATCCCGGGAACTGTCACCCCATACAGCATGGAAATTATACCATCCGTTCACAGCTCAACGTCGTGTTCGCCAAGGACGCCACTTCTACAACGGTCTCGTATTTCGGCGAATTTCCCCAAGGACAATTTCTTGTGGATCTCACAAGCCTCTCAGCCTCGTCCATCTTGGAATGCCCCGGACCGGAAAATTATCATCTGAACTATTGGCCGATTCCCCAATCTTTCGGGAAATCCCACAGTACCCCTGGCTTGGAGCACCAGATCCACCTTTGTCGATCATGCAACCTCCAAAGCGGGAGACCGTTTCGCCGATCCATCCAGATCAGGAACGCTCAAGATTAACACGATAAAGAAACAACGGCCGAGCTAACCAAGAAACATATCGATCTGCATGAGCAAATCTATCGCAGCATATCATTGCTACTGGTAGTGGCGCCGTCGTGAAGATCACAACTCAGAAACACCACACTGCAACTCAGAGTGAGCGTTGGGCCTGCTAGATGGAGTTTGAGTCAAAACGATATCGATGATGAGACCATCTCTGCGTCGAAGAACTCCTGTCCGTGCCCAGATAATGCATTCATCAGAGAGGGTCATGGGGACAGCGAGATTTTATAAAGAACCTCGACGTTCCCTCTGCATTTCTTCCATCCTCATCAGCAACAGTCGCTCTCTTCATCTGACAACTAACTCAGTCGCTCACTAGTCGGAACAACTTAATACAATCTTTCTCAAGACTCCTTTACACAGCAACCCTTCACCTCAAGGCCATCCACACCATCCACACACACCATCAACATGCGTTGCACAGCTATTCTCGCAGGCGTCATCTTCGCAGCCTCTGGCCTGGCTCGCCCTCTCGATGGTAAGTCATTCCCACTTCCTCCCGCATCCAAATTGAACCAACCCATCCATACTACAGTGATTTCCACGTTGCTGATACTAGCTCCAGCCGTCGATACAAGCCTTCTCAGCACGGAGCTCCCGGAAGTCCCTGAAATCTCCGTGCCCGCCCTCCCAGAAAAACGCCAAATCGACCTCTCGGGTCTCACCGACCTCGTCGGCGGTGTCGTAGGAGAGGTTACCGGCACACTCACAGGCCTCATCCCCACCTTGGTCGGCACGCTCAACGAAGTCGGCGCCATCGTCGATGGGCTCCTCGAGAACGTGGAGACCGCAGACATTGACGGCACGCTCGAGGAAGTCGAGTCAATCCTGTCCAGCACCATCGACGAGATCAATGCCATCACCAGCACCGCCGGCGTCGATATCTCCGGCGAGTTGGCCACCGTCCAGGCTGAACTGTCAACTGCCATCACCGAGGCCGAGGCTCTGGTCGGCAGCGTGCAGAGCCTCATTGGCTTGGTCAGCGTGACTGACACCCTCTCCGAGGTGGAGAGCCTGGCCGCCACGCTTGTCGACCTGCTTGCCAGTTTGCTGTAAAATGGCTGGCTTGTGCTCACGTGGCGTCCGAAGCAACAGATACACGAGCTTGTGAGGACGTCGTCGTGATCATGGAATGGAAAGGGGTTCATTGCTGTCGCGACTTCCAGAGTCGAGTGTGGTGTGGTGATGTATGGTATTCTGTGGTGACTTCTTGTATTGGAACATGATGTTGTTGATGAGGCGTTTCTTGAGCATACAATTTGTAATGTGACTCTGGTGTGGGGAGGGAGCAGTCCATAACACCAGTTGTACTCCGAGTGAGGGCATTTACGTTACACGATAGAGTGCAAAACGGAATAGCATGGCGTGGTACGGTCCAAGCCTTCAAAATGTCTCCCTGTTCGATCAATCATTCCTGTTGAATAGTCCGGTTGCGATGTCGCGCTGCTGCTACAGTACAAAGCAGACACCCTGAATCCCCCATACAGACTAGTACACAAGGTTGATCGCTTATCGAGTGTCTCATGTTGTATGCATGTCGTGGACTCGGTCTCCCATTCCTGTCCATCAACACCACTGCCGCCTCCAACATAGCCCAACATCAACAGCCCATCAGTCACAGTGCTATCTCTTGAACTTCACAAGCTGGCCCGCAGACATGTTCATCTCAAGCAACGGGTGGCTGGATGGCACGAGCAGACGTAGATTTCGTCCCACCTCTACCAGGGCCCTACCACTGATTATTCCCGAGCTGGTGGCCCTGATTATCGTGGTACTGCTCTCCATGCTCGACTACCTCTGCATTAACCTCGTCCGCCCAATCACCGACTCCGCCATTAGTCCCGCCAAAGCCGTTGGCCTCACCGAAGGGAGTGACATTCGTGATCTCGCCCAGAGGAGGCAAAGGGGTATGTGTGTTCTTAGCACCACCGAATTCAGGACTCGCGAGAGAATTTGGCGGGGCATAAGGAGCATCGTTCTCGTTCAGCACGTCGGCAGAGTCCCAGGTGTTGGCGCCGTTACCCCTGGAGGTAGTGGCCGCTGCAGAGTTGGCTGGGTGGGGCGCAGCGACGTCCCACCCAGCCGAAGCACCGTCTTCGGCAACAGCGTTGTCCCAACCACCGTTATTGCCTTCTGCGGTAGCAGCAGGTTGGTCCCAACCCGCTCCGGCTCCGTTATCGCCGTCATTTGCGGTTTGAGCACCATACTTCTTTGCCTTGCTCTTCTCACCCCATTTTCGTCTCACGTCTACCTCATTCCGCTCGCACCAAGCGTGCAAGTCGTCGTCCAGCTGCTTGTTTTCCAGCCTCATCACATCGAGAACGCGCATCTCCTCGGGCGTCTCGTCACTGTCCAATTTGGCGGACCACCAGCCCCAGAAGATGGAAGCAGCGGCGACTCCACGGAAGGCGGCTTCTTTCTCCTGGGGCATGGTGGAAGGAAAGGCCGTCTCATAGAACCAGTGCACTTCGTCCCAGGTAATGAGTTGCTTGCGGGCGATGGCGGTCATTCGTTTGAGGAGGTGGTCCGAGAGGTCGCGAGCAGGAATCCCGATGTAGTGGCTTGAGAGGATGACTTTGGCATAGGTTATGAAGAAGCCAGGAGTTGACTCATCGAGCTGAAGGTTGCTCGGAGGGTCAGCTGTGGACAAGATAACAAGGGTGTTCCTCTGAGAATATAAAATGCGTCAAGATACTTACGTCCTTGAACTTGACGATACTCTGCTCTTCAATGCACTGATTGATCCAAGCAAGAACTAGCTTGTGGCCGTTCAGGTCGCCGCCGACAATGGTGAAAGATTTGCTGCCGTTATCGATGATATCGTGGCGAATGCGGTCGCAGAAGATCATCGCGGCATCGCGTGGGAACTTGCCATCAAGCAGCGTGACGGGACTTCGCTTGTCGGGCTTGTAGAAGATGGAGATCGTGGGAGTGGCATTGATGCTGTGTTCGAAGTGTCAGTCAGAATCGGCACTATGGCAGTGGCTATAGCTGGTGTTGCCTTACGTTGAGAGTTTGGCAGGAGGGATGCGAGGTCCGCGATCCTCGCGTTGCTCTCGCGCGTCGGGGGCGGCGGTCTCGAAACCGTCCATGATGACGGGAGGCGAAGCTGAGCTGGGTGGTTATCAAGATTGATTCCAATTAGAGCTGCGAAGGTGGAGAGATGCGAGAGGCAAAGATAAGGGCAAGAACACAGGAAGGTGCAATGGAAATGAATGTAAGCGCGGTCTGAGGTGGTGCCCCTCGACGAGTTTGCTGCCGGTTCACATTCCCGAAAATTCTTTCTCTGCGAGTTGTAGTCAAACGGCAGACGGCAGAGAAAACGATCCGTCGGTAACGGGAATGGAATTACTGCCATCGTGATGACCCCTTGCCGACGTTGTTGTCAAGCAGCTGCTCCGGGTGGTGCGCTCACTTTCAGAGGCCTGTTGTGAGAAGTTTGCCATCCTACCTACCAGCAGTTCAACTCTGCTCTGCTTTCCAGAATTCCTCTCTTGTCCGGCTCAACATAGCCTCCAAACCTGGTCGTAACTTGTGGCGTTCACGATCAGGCTGATCCAGGTTGTTGCAGCATCACGAAACAGAGATAAGGGGAACTTCGAATCAACAAAGTTTGCCCGATGGCATTCATCATGCGGTCTGTAAATCAGTCTTTCAATTCCTCTCTGGCTCAACCCGTCATACGCCTTGCTGTCATGTCATAAATCATTCGCAGGTCTTCCTGTTCGTCCACCTCCTCATCTATTTCTTTCCGCTCTTCTTGATTCCCTGTTGACCGGCGTTCAGTGGACCCTTGCCCTTTGCCTTCTCGGCCATTTCTTTCTTGGCTTTTGCGTCTACACCGACCGATCAGTAAGGGCATGAAACGTATTCGAGGCGATTATGGTTGTACCTGCTTGTTGCTTGGCCTTGAAAGCGATCTCATCCTCATCCATTTCCCTCTTCTCCTTCTTTGGTGCCTTGAGGGGCTTGACTTTGCCGCCTGCGAGAGAATGTCAGCGACAGACCTCTAATGAGTCGCGGGTTCTGGCTTACCTTCTCGACTTGCGCCACCCATTATGAGTTCTGCTTCGACTGTGCGGACAGTTTGCTTTGGTGGAGGATTCAAGGCTGTGATGTTGGAACAAGAATCTGTTCTTGGTGGTATCAAAAGAAGTCGAGATTTGCCGCAGTCTATAACTATTCCATGGGACATCTTCGGATCTTACCTGCACGTGACTATGGCCCAACTTGCTTTGGCTTTGAGGCTACTTCTTCTTCACCCTTTGAGCAAAGAACGTAATTATTCTACGATGTCTTCAGGAATTGCTCCTAGCTCTAAGAATGGATGACAGACGAGCTTCAGAAGGTTTTCTCAATTGAATGGAATGCATTGACTATCTTATCGAGAAGACTGTCTAGAATCCCACTCAATCCCTTTTCAAATCGTTCTCCAGTTTGTGCCGACCTTAAAACGCTTGCTTCGGGGTACTCCAACATCCATACTAAGTGTCCTGGTGACTTCCAGGTTGGTACAATTCCTGCCATACTCTACACCAGGCGCATTGTTCATGCCCCTTTGGAGTTCATGTCCCTCACACGGTATTGTAATTATCCCCCTACGTGCATTGCTGCAGAGCTGCCAGTGAGTCGACAGCTGGTTCTCTGTGTGCCCATGAGGCAGATGAGAGAGGGTGGTCAGCTACCGAGCCTAGAGTTTTGGTCCAGGCTTGGTAGGGGTGTTGGGAGGCGGAGGAGGGTCGTTTCCAGGCATGTTGTCTGGAGGTGTGGTATTTATTTAATGTGGGTTTGATGAGGCGGTTGACGAGTATATCTGCGACTGGTTAGCGAAAGGCACGGTGCTGTGGATGGAGAGTGGTACCTGCCTGATGTTCTTCGTATGATCCTTTTTGTTCTCTGAGTTCTCGAGTTTGTTGATGATGATGACCAACTAAATGAACAGGCCGGCGGAAGGGGTATATATACCCTATCGAAGAGCTGCCCGTTTGGCCGCATCGCCACAGACTCACTCGCGGCTGGCGTTGGTCAAACGCACAACACGAGAGATATTATCGAGAATCACTCTGTGAACGAGCAGAGCCTCGCTTGAGCAAACCACATGGGCAAACACTCCCCGTACGAGCGGGAACCGCTTCCACCTCTGGGACTTTCGCCGCTTCGAAGCCGGGAGTAAGTAAGGGTGCAAGATCTGAGTGATGAAACACTTGTCACTGTTTCCAGACGTGAGATTCAACCGTAGCACCATCATCATCAGCAGCAGCAGCACTGTCCGACAAACTCACGTTTGCGACTGTGAACAAGCCCAAACGACCACCTCCCAGCCACACGAAGTATGATCTCGAATCATCACTCAGCTCTGTTGTTTGACTGTGCTGCGACAGCGTCTTCCCAAACAAGAATTGTTATCTTACAGTCCTCCTAGCTATATCACCGTTCACGGACGAGATGATCACGATTGCCGTTTTCAACCTCCTGTGACTGAGCGTTTGGCACGGTCACCGGCATCGTCTTGAGATCACTTTCGGAGCGCCCACAAACGCAGGCCACAGGAGTTCAGGTTAAGGCTATACCTGAGTTCAGGCGTCTACCTAAGGCGAATACTTCAAAATGCTTCATTAGAATTTACTACGAGTCCTGTAGCGATAGAGCTGCACCAGTTTCCAAATTTGGATGCCCTTGAAACGCATTACCGACGACGTTGACGTCTTCTCAAACTCTGCGGAAGGCATCTGGAAATGCACTCAGGAGAAAACTTCACTAATGTCAGCAAAAGTGGCGGATTCAGAAGGCATCTGCACTGCAATATTGCATGGGCGTTTGTATGTTGACAATGAAGAAATCCGAATCTTTGCTACTCCAATCCTGCGTTTGAGATAAAATGAACTTTACAACCATGTGAAATGCAATTTCTAATTCCAGCCTCTAACAACTGCGGCACCCTTCCTCGCTATCAAAAACGGACGCGATTGTAAACTGCTCCAAGGAAGTCGGCAAGATTGATGGCGGTCGTCTTCTCGTTGCTATTGCATTGGAAAAGTTCTTCGAAAGCTATGAAAGTCTGACGCGCCGTACTTGCCCGAGCGCCTTTCTCCGCGGAGTCGTCTTCGTTTGATGCAAGTGTCATGCCTCTTCCCCAGGTCTTCGACTTGATTAATAAGGTAATATTTCAAATATGCACCGTGACATACTCTGGGGTTCAGATGCGACTACGCCCTACCTCGTTGTCGTGTAGGAGTTCTCCACTATCGATCTCAGCTGTCCATTCATCGGAGATTGGTCATCTGAAAAGGTCCGTCCACGTGTAACTCAACTTATACTGCCGTATGGCACAGCCGTTGACCATAGTGAGGGGAGGCAGAGCGAAGTGCATGCGCGCACGGCCCAACATTCTAGTGGAGCCAGAAGTAATTAGTAAGGGCGGGCCAACTCAGACGGTTCGAAGCTCGCTTCTATTTGGCACCCATTTGACATGCGCCTTTATTCACAGGCAGGTGCTCAGCAGGTTGCATGTCTTCAGGCAAGCCTGAGACTTATCGATTACAATGACGGCGTGTTGCTCCTGATGCTTGCCGGATACAATGACGGCGCGCTCATTGGCAGCAGTATTGCTGTCGCCGTAAGCAGTCGACAGATAGGTGCAGTGAACGGACATATAAGCTCGAAATCAAACTGCTTGTGCCATGGTGTGCCCATCAATCCAGATCACCTTCGAATTCTATACGCTCCAGCTATCGTCAGCGGTTCTACAGTCTATACTCTCTTACGCACTCAACATGGCCAAGCTCCTCGTCTTAGTCGGCACGGGTCCTGGCATTGGCCTCTCGACCGCCACGCTGTTCGCCTCCAAAGGCTTCAATGTCGCGCTCCTCTCCCGCAACGCCGCCCGCCTTGAAGAAGACGCTAAACAGGTCGGTGCGGCAGGCCAAGGCAAAGTCAAGGTCATGTCTTTTCCTGTCGACGTAAGTGATCACGTCGCTCTGAAGAAGACCTTGGGCGAGGTCGAGCAGCAGATAGGAAAGCCGGAAGTGGTGGTTTTCAACGCGGCGAGGATCGCGCAATCGATCATTGGCGAGACGAGTGAGGAGGATATCATTGGAGATTTCAAGGTGAGAGGGCTATTCCCTGAGCTAAGACAAACGCTTACGAAGGCCAAGTTGATGAATATTGGCCAATATGTTGCTGCATCCTGGGCATTGCCATTGTTGGAAGAGGTAGCCAAGGAACCAGGCACACATCCGTCGTTTTTCCTCAACAGCTCGGGGGTCTCATATGATCCCATACCGTTCATGTTGTCGCTGAGCATGATGAAGGCGGCGCAGAACAACTTCTTGGGTAGCTTAGCAAAGGTGGCGGGGCCGAAGGGGGTGCATGTAGGCAGAATCGACATCAATGGCGTGGTCAGTGACCAAGAGGAGGTGAGGAACGCTAAGCATATCGCGGAACAATTGTGGGAGCTGTATCAGCAAGACAAGGATAAATGGAGCTTTGTGGAGGACTGCGGCGATATGGATGGGCTCCTGAAGTCAGTTGGGGTGGAGAGTAAGAGGATCGTTCCAGCATAAGCTACGTGATATACGTGCTTCGGTAGAGAGACCTGAAGGTGCTACTCAAGCAACGTGATACAAAATACAAAACCAAGACGAAGCCGAGAACCAACCACCAAATGCATCACGTCATGTGCCATCCTTTGGTAGTCATACAGTCATCAAGAAGCCTCAGAGGCCATCTGCACCATCATGCGCGAAAAGACGGCTCTTATCAACGCAGGGCTACGTCGTGCTCATGCCAGATTAAGTTCGGTGAAACGCTCAGCTGGGCGGGTAGATTCGGTTCTGCGGTTCGCGATACTGGCCATCTGCTTGGTGAAGATGCGGATGCGGAAGGCAGGCATAGATTGCTGCTTCCCTGCTTCATGCATCGGATGGATGGCGAGAGTAGTATTGAACCGGATCTGAGAAGTCGAAGATTGTATGGGAGCTCTGCACCAGGTGTTGGCAGGACGTTGAAGATGCTGCTTCCGATGCGGATACTTGTGCGGTAGCAAAGCAAACCCGACTTTATGTAGAGTACGGTGTATTTGTGCCATTGCTTGGATGGCCATGGTGTTCGACACGCTCTTCAAGACAGCAGGAGGGGCTAACTTCTGCTTCCGGTCCCCAGACCCTTTCCTTGGCTTGATTACAGAAGGTGCGGGCCGGCCATCTCTTGGCTTCAGCTACCTAGAGTTGCGCCTCAAAGCTTTCCATCAGTGGCGATCACAGACAACGCAAATGTCAGACTGTTACTCCGTACTCCGTACGCCTTCCAGAACCGTGAAAATGCTTTTCGAAAAGGCTTCGAGTGTCTCCCGCCAACCCATTTCGCCTCTTAACATCGTGAGAAAGACAATGAAAAAAGCGACGTTATTTGCCCTTCAGGCCGCCTAACCTAGCCCCAGGTAGCTGGCAGCCTTGAAACACGGGTCAGCCCTGCGAATAACGACCAATCTCGCTTTCCGGGCCAACGAATCAGATACTCCAGGCAGGAGCTGAACGTGGTCGAGCGCCTTCATAGTGGATATGGTGCCCTTAACTTGTGCTCAGGACACAGTATTGTAGGGCCGCTCTAACTTAGCCGCATCTCTAATGTTTAGATCACGAGTCCAAGGGCACCATTACTCTGTATGTAGCCCTGCTGCGCCAATAAACTACGCACTACACAGTATAAGTCTTGCGCCTATCGTGGGGTCTGAAACACGCATCCCGCACCCAGATGTGTCGATGCCCGCCTGATGAAAGAGCTTTATATGTCCACTGGGGTATGTCGCCTTCACTGAGGTACCACCTCGCCCTCTGCACACACAATGGCGCATGCACACCAAGAAGACAAACCTACTTTTCTTGCAGAAACACGACCTGACGATGGTTCACTGTTGAACCTTAATTCGGTTCGCGACACGTCACCATCTCAAGGCCATCAATACACTCGAAAAGCTCGGCACCATTCGTCCCTTAACGCTCTTGGTGAGAGCATTCTAGACCTTCTCGTGGCAATAGCCTGCGCCTACTTCATCGTCTTCGCAGCTTTAGTCTACTCCAGGCGCGATGAACCTCTTGATCGGTCTGGGAACCAGGAATTGCTCGATGCTGCCAAATATGTGAGTACAGCTTTGCTATCCTCTCTTTACCATGCTCTTCTATTCGGGCAGGCCCAGATATCAGGAACAGCTCGTTATCTTTTGTCCGGGACCTCCTATTCTGTCTCAACATTGGTGCCACCCGCTTCTCGTGCAACAATGCTGACGAGGAGATCCAGAACCCAACCATCTTTCCAATCCTGTTTGCTGGTGTTATTGGGAAGTTTCTGAAGGCGGTCGCAGCCATCAAGCTGGAAAATGGTGCTTCCGTGCTGTCGCTGGAATACCTTCTTCAGAGCCGCACGGTCTTGAGCACGGTCACGGCGCCACTCATCCTGAAGACCGTCAATTTGCTGACGCCCCTTCTCTTCGTACTTTGGGCGCTGTCGCCCTTGGGTGGCCAGGCCGGGCTCCGAGCAATATCAACCAAGGATGCCTTCACAAACACCACCAATAACTTCACGTATCTGGCTTTCGTTTCACCTTTCACCAATGGAGGCGTCAATTCGGCATCAGCGGAGCCACTTATCCCAATCAACGCTCTCTTCACTTCTGCGCTCATAGGGTCGGCCAAAGCCAAGTCTCTCGCTCAGGATCCCTACGGCAACGTCAAAGTGCCCATTTACGAAAGCCTACCTCCGGGGTCGTCGGATAGCTCGCTAGACTGGAGGTCGGTCCCTGACAGTGGTGACTATCAGTGGAGTTCCCTTACCGGGCTTCCGATCCACGGCCTTCCCTCAGCTGGTGTGTCAACCTTCAATCTGGAAACCGGCTACATGGTCACGACGTGCAATGCGACCGGTCATGAATGGTCCGATGCATACAGGCAAAGCCTCATGAATCAATCGTTATGGAGTGGTGCGAATTACGCCTTTACCCTTGGCACCGGCAGTCCTTTTTCACTATACACCTTCAGCTTCCTGTCTCTAGATCTCTTTGACGGTGGTTCAACCGGTCCGACAGGAAAGATCCTTACCATGGCAAATTGCACAGTCACGATGCGCTACGTGGAAGTCCAAATAAAATGTAACGGCCAGACTTGCGAGAGCATCGCTGTCCGGCCGTCGACCAATCCTGCCAATCACACCGAAGGGCCTGGGGTGACCAGCCTCAACGAGGCCCAATACACGCCGATCAATGGCCTTGGTCAACAGGACACATTTTATATGTCATTCCTCGCCGATTTGACCAATGCGACAAATCCCACCGTCGGGTGTGACACTACCCTCTGTCCTCCGAGTGTGCTCGAAGCATACCTTGCTGATCCGGCAAACACGGTGTTGCAGACTTCGACCACCAAGCTCTGGGCGCTGCCAGACGAGCTGATCTCCCAACGATTCACGCAATTGTTCAACACCTACTGGATCAATAGCATTGCGCCTGCGCCAGTTTCGGGCAATTTCAGCTTGCAATTCAGTGACTTTGGGACCACGAACCAGTACAATACGGATAGTATGCTGGGGACAATCACAACCACCCAGCGAGTCATCAGGTGCGATTATAAATGGCTCGCAATCCTGTTGATCTGTTCCCTGGTGTTGTTCTTGACCGGCCTCGCAACAGTGGTTCTAACTGCCTTGCGACGTGGGCCCGATGTGCTGGACAGGTTCAGTCCCTTGTTGAGGTATAGTCGGTTCGCAAATATCCCCCACAAATCGTCAATGGAGGACGCCACGGAGCAGTCGAGGCGGCTGCGGAATATGACGGTCCGCCTGGGTGACATCCGTCCCGAAGATGAGGTCGGGTATATTGCCATTGGAGTCCTTGATGGAACTCACCCGGTCCAGAAGTTGAGTACGAGAAGGACATACGCATGATGTATTGTCTTACCAGGCTGATTAAATTTGACCTCGGATACTTGCACATCTCCGTCTGCGACTACTGAAAAACCTGTGGATATCGACGAACGTCGGCATGGCTTTGTTGAATGCCAGCAGTCTGCTCGCTTCCTACCAAGTCGATCGCGGTAGCAGCATGCTGCATATCAAACGAGTTCGCCTTCGCAGCCCGCTTCTCCCCCTTCCATGCTCCTTCTTTGGTGCTTGTACTTTTTTAATGTAGAGATCCCAGGGTCTAGAAATTGAACATCCAGTTGGGCGGGTTAGAAGAGGTTGTGCCGGTAATTGTCGACATGAAAAGCGGGGAGTAAAACGATGCTGGACGATTGTCATCGGCCTCTCCAAAGCATCCAGCAACAAACAGCAAGCCTAGCCCACTGTGATCTATAGAGAACCAAGGAAGGCGAGAATGAAATGTAAGTGAGCCGGAAGTGAAAGAACCCAATGGTTCGATGAATTAATTCTACGTTGGTCAATGGGACGGCGGGACATTTATCCGAAAGGGTATTGGCCTTGCTCGCCTTGGCAGGCTTCCACTTGCACGCTCTCTGCGCCTGCTGGTAATCCACCAGAATCTGTATCTTCCTCTCTTACATGACTTGTCAACGTACACTCTATGATCCGGCAGGTAACTGTCTAGAGTACGACCGACGTTCGATTGATAGATTGGGAGGATTTGACGGGACGACCGGTCGGGCTCTACAACTACAAAATTTTCAATCCAAGAACCTGCTGGCTAACACTTCTATCTCAACTGAAGGCTAGGTCGCAGTCTCGGCCTGCAAACCTACCTCTTTTCCATGGCTTCGAGATCACCGAGCCGGTCTGAGGGTGAACTCCTCAGCTCAGACTCGGAAGCGAAGGCAAAGACCGTACCATCTTTCCGCAATAACAGCAAGGTTGACCGTCATACCAGACCATCTTCTATCCCGTACAGCGCACCTAGGTCGCGCCGATCGCGTTCGAGATCCCCATACCGAGCCCCCAGGGGCGAGAAGCGTCAACGAGATCATGACCATTCGAGGAACAGATCACACCACGAAGGACGCACTCTTGCCCTGAGATACGAAGACGACCTACGCAGCCATCACCGGCACGACTCACCCGAAGAAAGACGCGCAAAGCGATCCCGAACGTATTCACAAAGTCGGAGTAGGAGTCGTTCCCCGTATAGGCACTTACGACAAAGAGATGATGGCCAGGATGACAGGATGAGGGCGGCAGATCGCTCCAATCGAAAAGCTGGTGAGAACAAGAGTCTGAACAATCCTGTTGCAGGTACAAAACCACAAACTTCACAGGATGGCAGACTGGGCCATTCTGACCCTAATCCTGCATCTACGTCAAGCAACGCCATCGCAGGAGAAGGCTCAAGAGTCGGATTTGACAGATCTAATGACCCGACGCGGCAAGCGGATCCAGACAAGCCTGAAGAGCCTCAACCGCTCGATGAGGCTGCCCTGATTGAGGAGAGACGGAAACGCAGAGAAGCCATCAAGAACAAGTACCGCAGTCAAGCCCGACCACTGCTGGTTCAAGCTCTCCACCTTGGCGCGGATTCCGTCTCTGGAAGCCCTGGTCCGGAGAGCTATACAACAACGCCACGCAGATCTGGTATGTTTGTTGAGTTTTGCTGGCAAAGTACACAACTAATGTTACCAGAATCTCCTACCGCTTCTTCCCCGCGAACACCCAGAGATCCGTCTGCACCCCAGTCTCCAGCGGAAATCAAGTTTGAAGGGGAAGCAGATCTGGCTAATGCCGATACAGCGTCGCCGGCTGAAGATGGACCATCTGCTGCTGATTATGACCCCACAGTGGACATGAACGAGGAACGAGCCCGACATGATAAGCGTCTCTTCAAGGAGGACGAGAGATCGCTTGAGCAGTCGCAACAACAAGTGGCCGTAGATGCTCACAGGTCCACGTCTCCGCCCTCCAAATCCCCTGGTGAGTTGGACATGTTCGCAGAAGCCGAGGACGAGGACGATATGTTTGCCGAAGCTCCCATGAAGCCGGAAGCTGAGACCAAGACTGCACAAGCTCTTGATGCCAGACTCATGGACAATTGGGATGACCCGGAAGGATACTACATCACGATCCTGGGTGAGCTGATCGAGGACCGGTACCATGTTACCCAGAATCTTGGGAGAGGCATGTTCTCATCCGTTGTTCGAGCTACAGATAGACGGACGGGAAAGTCTGTGGCGATCAAGATCGTCCGGAACAACGAGACCATGCGCAAGGCGGGCCACAAAGAAATCGACATTCTCAAGGATATCGCGGCAAATGATCCGGAGGACAAGAAGCACCTCATCCGTCTTCAACGCTCTTTTGATCACAAAGGCCATTTGTGCATGGTGTTTGAAAACCTGTCCATGAATCTTAGAGAAGTCCTGAAGAAGTTCGGGAGAGACGTGGGCATCAACATTAAAGCGATCCGGGCGTACTCCCAACAGCTCTTTCTGGGCCTGAGCTTGTTGAAGAAGTGCCAGTACATCCATGCTGATCTGAAGCCAGACAACATCCTCGTCAATGAAGCAAGGAGCACGCTCAAGATTTGTGATCTGGGCTCTGCATCTCCCATTACCGAGAACGCCACGGCCCCATACCTGGTATCTCGCTTTTACCGAGCCCCTGAAGTCATTCTCGGTATCCCATATGACTACGGAATTGATATGTGGTCCATCGGATGCACGCTCTTCGAACTCTACACGGGAAAGATACTGTTCACGGGGCGAAACAACAACGGCATGTTGCGTGCGATCATGGAGTGCCGTGGTAAATTTCCCCACAAACTCCTGAGACGAGGTTCCTTGACCTATGAGTACTTCGATGACTTGCTCAATTTCCGAGCCCAAGAGACGGACAAGGTCACGGGTCGGATGGTCGTGAAGATGGTCGATATCAAAGCGAAACCGGTCAGAGATTTGAGGTCGCGGCTGCTGCCCAAGGACAAGAAGGTAAACGAACAGGAGCGAAGAGAGCTTGATCTGTTTGTGGACCTTCTGGACAAGTGTTTGGACTTGCGCCCGGAAAAGCGCATCACGCCCAATGATGCGCTCAAACATCCTTTCATAACTAGACCAAAGCCATAGCCGGGGCGAGCTCGGGATTTGACCTTGGCAGCTGATTGAATGATCTTGGCAGCTGGTTGAATTGACTTGGCAGCTGATCGATTCACTTTGGCGGATGCTTGACAGTCACGGCTAAAGCATACGATTGGAGCAACCTACAGCTACCTGTTGCTCGTTATATCGTTAGTTTTGCCTGTGCATGACCATGCAGTCGAGGTCATCCGTCCGAAGGATAGTTTTCCTATGGTACGCAGCTGCTGATGGTCGCCGCACGGCAGGCGGTCTCGACAGGCACCGAGAAATATACTAATGTTCTGCGATCTTCCGAGACAACACCACTCCAAGCGCTAGACAACGTATACGGACACGAGAATTGTGGTCGGCGCCCGGGCCTGGACTTCAACGCTCCATGTGGCACGATTGACATCCTCTTGCGCCAGATTTACCCTTTCATGCCTTCGTCTCGTGGAACGAGTCTGCAGCTGGCAGCCTTCTGTGTCACACACAACTAGGCCAGCCCAGTACATCTTGAAATCAGCCGCCCTTACTGTTCTTCCACTTATCTACCACGCGCTCTACCACACGATGACAAAAATCGCGGCGTATCTGACAGTGCTCTTTGTTGGGTTCTTGGTGGGCGCAAACGCCGGACAACTTTTGACGGCGGACAAATGTCCTGATGACCCTAGCATCCCATGCATCTTATTCCCTCCGGCGAAAAATCAAGTCTACAACTACATAGACAAGATCATCGTCACGTACACCTCACCATGGGCACGAGGGGTGAATCTCTCGCTCAATTGTTGGCCGAGTGAAACCGATGCAGACCGGTCGCGCAATTTCGTCCACCTCGTGAAAGACGATCTATTTTGCTCTCAGTGTGCGTTTCAACTTCGCTCTTTTCTTGGCTCTGAATCCGTCTCTGATGCAGGTCTAGGCGCTGGAAACGGCAGTCATAAGTTTGAAAATCTCAACGTTGCACTGAATGGCTCAGTCACATATCCCACACGCTGTTGGGTTGCCTTGGGGCCATACGAAGCTGATGACCTGCCTGGTGATCCATATCTTACGAGCACTGGGTCAGAAGCAATGACTGCAGTGATAACCGGCGGAAACTTCACACTGGCCATGAAGAGGAGAAAGCCCGTGATAACTCGAGAGATACGACCTCCCGTGTGGACAGGACTGAGCGCCGGGATGCAACTTGGCATCATCGCTGGTCTTAGCCTCATCTTGCTGGGGTCTCTCGTTGCGACGGTCATGATAGCGGTCAGAAAAGGCCGCTTGCTTGAGGATCCGATGAACCCGGCATATCAGGGACTATTCGTGGCAGAACGGAATGTTGGTGTATCCTACAGAGCTCTTGACGGCCGAGCACCTGATGCCGACTGGGCTAGAAACGCTCAGGCTAAGGAGCTACTGGAAGCTGGTGGGAGCAGTTCATATCCGCTACTAGGAGGCTCCAGCGGCAGGCGATATTGAATACAGAGTACGGAGTAGACGTAACCCGTATGTGTGGGTTCACAGCAAGAGCCCGCAGGAGAGGAAATCTTGGCAGCTTGAGCCGCTAGAGGAAGAAGGGGAAAGTCTAGTGTCACGCGTCACGCGTCCCACGTTATGCGTTTTCCTACACCTCTCAGCTGCACAAGCTGTTATCACCACTGTCTCGCTATCCAGACCACTGCTCTCACGTTGTCCACTCCCCTGTCCACCTCTCTATCTGCGATCTCATCGTTATCCCACCAACGCGTTATTGGCGTGCCCTTCAAAGAGCCTGGGCGGCGTCAAGACCTGCAATGCGACCAAATGTCAAAGAGCGCAGCACACTCGTTGCAGGCGGATCTACAAATCATATCAGTTCCTGTGCCAGAGAACATGCTGGGGATCAGCTGTAGTGGCAAGAAGCGAGCTTCCGCCGGCCTCTCTGAGCGACCAACGTTGACTTCCAAGCCAAAGAACTTACACTACGCATAATTAGCACATATACAACCCACAGAAAGCAAGATGATTTGCTTACCTCGTTATAGAACAAGCCGCTCAGCTCCCCAGCACAGTACAACCCTGTTCGATGTCAGCAAAACAGACCATTCGCACACTCTGCTAGCGGTGGCAGCTTCCGGAAGCGAGAAACACCCGTTGTTCTTACCTGGAATCGGAACTCCCGTTGTGGAAAGCACCCTCGAGTCAAGGTCACACTTCAAACCGCCATATGTGAAAGTGAGTTGCGCTGGAGGCAGTCAGTACGAGCTCGAGCGGCCGTCTCTAAGAGCAATACCCTTCATTGGATACCTGGTCATTATGAGTGTCAGTCTCCGCTCCTATCGGCTCCCAAGAAGACTTACCCGTAGAATGGGGGCGTGCTGATCGGAGCGGCCCAGTTCGTCTTATCAGGCGAGAGACTTCCAGAAGCATCAGCTTGTGCACAGCAGATTGTCATCTTGGGCACCATACCCATGAGTTCTCTTGCCGTCGAGTTTCATCAAATCGAATTCATTATCGTTGATGCTGAATTCTGTTAGCGGCATTCAATGTACTGCAGGCCGGAACTTACGCCGCATTGTACTCGTCAATTGTTTTCTTCAGCTCTTTGGGATCGAGCCCCAGCTTTTCGGCTAATCCTTCGATGGTATCGCTCTGCTCCGGTTCCTGGTCCGTCGTGTCATACACCCAACCTGGTCTGAATCGATCCATGATGGGTTTGTCTGTGACACTGCGAAATGGTCAGAACGGATGCTAAAGAACAAGTGCTTCTTCTAGCCCACAAGTATGACTTCTGGTTCTGGTCTACTCGGCGTCAGTAACATGGAACGTTCATGGCTATTAGTGACTCACCCCGCCAGGTCTCGAGTGCTATCATTTCAAACGTCGCGAAGAGGCTACCCATGTCAGCAATGGCCCGTCTCTGGTTCACACATCACGCACTGTCGCTTGCCCTCGTCATAAAACCGCTTGCAGTGCCTGCATGTCGTCAGTCACGTTGCCGAGAATACCAAGGTGTTCCGAACTCGTTGACAACAATCCCATAGTTATGGCCCCAGATCACAGCATCGGGCTTCTTGGCTCTGATATCGACGAGCTCACACTGGCGCATGGTCAGCTTTGTGATGTAAGATTTTAAAGCACTCACATGCATGCCGCTCATCGATCCAGCAGTGGCAGCGCCAACCTCCAGACCCATCCTCAATCCAAATCCGGTGTTATACTTGAGGCCGGGCGCGATGAGCTCAAGGTGTTCGGTCCGGGGTCCGACATATTTGCCTAACCTGTTCCAAGTCATGACGTGCGTTGACGCGTCTCCTAGGAAGCTTACATTTCGCGATTGCCCTCGAAACCGCCACAAGCCAACATGACTTTCTTGCCGCGGATCTTGGTCATATGGCCGTCGGCTTTCCGCACCTGAACGCCGGTGACTGTGCCGTCCTCTGCGGTGAGCAAATGCTCTGCATGCGTCTCCCACATGATGTTGACATTGTCAAATTTTCGGATACTGTCGAATAGAGCATTGATGATCGCGTGTCCGCCACCCTATTTTCACTATCAGATCGAGTCTGCAACTTCGAGTGGCATGAATGACCTCTGGAAACACGAAGTGTTGATCTTGCAGTTGATTAGCACCGGAGCTCAACAATGGGAGTTCGGATCACTCACTGGTGTCGAATTCGAGAAACACGTTCGTTTCATCATGATGGTTGAGCTTCACTCCATCTGTAATGATCAGCAATGCGGCTTGAACCTCACTCATCCGGCAGGCTCACGGTCGAGGAGATACTGGGCTGTTATTGGCACTTCCTTCTCCATTTTCGCACAATAATCCATATCAGCAAGTCCCTCGCTTGGTTCGGGTTGTCAGCGACCCTCTGTCTTGGAGGTGAACTTGACCGACCTGACACGCTGCAGACCGTTAGCCAGCACTGATGGATATGCCGAAAGCGTTTCTGCCTACCTTCATTTCATGCTTCCACCCAGCATCGAAATTGTTGTCTAGGGCTTTTAGCGTCTATGACACCCCTCCGTTATCGATACACACCTTTATCCAGGCGCAGATATGCCATTGTCCATCTGGAAGCGTTCAGCCCAGATTCTCATGCTGGGTAACGGAGCATACCTGCTCGCGCCGCATCGTTCGCCCTCTTTGCCAGCCTCAATAAGCGCTACCCTACCTCGTTTGCCCAACTTTTTGCACTCTTCGAGGAAGTTCAGTGTGGTCATGGAACCCTGCAGGACAGCTCAGCTTCGCCCGGTAATATTCCAAGTCGACCTACAGCAAACCCGCTGCCCACAACGACGAGGTCATACACTTCTGGACTTGAGCCCGTGAGGCTGCTCACGATTTGACTTGCCACGGTCGCCATCTCGGGGTGCGATAGCAGTGCTTGACGACACAGGTACGGTGGTGCGAGACTCTTGTGTTGCAGGTACTGTACGAGTAACAAAGCTGGAGTTCACCGGCAAGGTAACAACCTCTGCATTCTACTCACTCACGCCATCTTTAATACTTTGCACCACCTACTCCTTACCCCTCAAATCGACCGATTCCTTTAGACGATACTAAACCCTACACCCCGCAAGGGACGACAAATCGTAAGACAACAGCCCAGAAAAGCCGACAGCTTCTGGTGGAGTAGTCTTGCATGGCAACCGCATGTGCAGACGGGCTTTCCCCGCAGGACGACGAACCTGTTATGCGGGACCGGTGCTTGGGCCGGTACTCTCCATCTACTCGTACTGTACCAACGCTGCCCTGTGGAGATATGATGTGGCCACGGAACTCACTGGTCGCCAATCGCGGCGCGGCTTCTACTCGCCCAAAGTGAAGGTACCTAACCTTGTGCTCGGTGGATGGGGAGCCAACGACGTCATGCCCCAATCTCCGAGACGCGACAGGTTCTCGGAAACATGGACGCGAACCTTAAAATGTATGATTTCGAGAGTCTCGAATGCTCGACTCTCGTATCCGAGGTTGTCGCCGATTCCTTCCCCATGCGAGGGGCCATCGCACAGATTGAGCCCGTACGATGCATCAATGCATGGCTCATGCTTCTGACGTCCGTAAGTCGAGCAAAGATGTGCCTAGTTGGAATTTCTGTCCGATGCAGTCACATTACGTTTAGTGTCCTATGCGGACCACGAACATTTGGGCTGTGAGACGACTCTGCACCCTCGCCGGAATAGGAGCATTCGACTGACCCGCTCTCCGAGGTTCAGGGATCAAGCAGTGGAACGTCATTTTCGATGCACTTCTCGGAAACTCTGCGGCATTTGCTCCTTACCTATACCGAACGTGCTAGTCAAAGACAGCCGAATAGCTCCGAGAATAGGAGGTGCTGTGGGGTCGACTCAGTCCGGATCTCTGGCGGATAGCTTCTCGAACTCGGAACGGCCAGCGAGATGACAGTACTGTGGTACTGCCAGAAAGGCATACTCGGGCTGCGTCGTCACTCTTCCTGTTCCGTCTTCGGCTTGGCGAGCGAACTCGGTGGTCAAGTATGGCTCTACTGAGAGGCCATTCCGATTGATTCTGCCAAGGATCCAGGAGGTTTTGTACTCTCACTGTACCCTAACTAGCTGCTAAATCTTGCACTCACTTGGTCCCAGTAGCTGGTAGCGACGTTTCCGAGACGTCTTTGTCGAATCCACCTACCACGGCCTTTCTGTCTTGCCCTTATGGAAGCCTTTTGGCGGCGCAAGCAAGAGGAGTCTTGGGTTTGAAGTTGCGCGCGCGGGGCAAATGTCCGTCTATTGTAGCTCTGCTTAGAATATATTAGCTGCTACGGGCTCATTCGAATATTGCACGGTCTGTTGAACCGCAGTTCATGGGGCAGCATGGGTTGATCGCACGGGTCAAGATTCTTCGCCTATCGCGGCCTCGTCCGGGACCGTGCATACCTCGACGATGCTCGACAACGACTAGATTACCAGCCATGGCAGTGTCTTCTGGGCAGGTTTGAGCAGGGCAGGCCAACCGACATCGCACAGGCGGTGTGGTCAAAGCCGGAGGTAGAAGTAGGAACGGAACTTAAGGTAGCCTTCAACGCAACCGGATCCGGCAGACCACCCGTTGGCCGATGATCGGTTTGGACAGAGTAAGAGGACTCCGGCTTGTAACGACCTGAACACGTCGTCGGCATTGGCCCGTAGGCACTAGACTCCACAAAGGAGTATCCTTGAGCCTCAGTCATGGTCCCTACACTGATCTGGTGCGGTGAGTCATTTTCCTCGGAGGGGCACACAACTGCACGGCGAGGTGCAGTCGAAATGAGTCAAAGAGTGAGGCGAGGCCTGGAATGGGCTCGCACACCGGACAAGGAAGTACATATCCTCGAGCCTCGTAATGGGCTCTACACTGGTGCGCAAGCCGTTCCGTTCGGAGGGGCATACGACTGGACGCTGAGGTACTAAGTACTGTCGGAATGAATCAAAATGTGAGACACGGTCGTGGATATGCCTGGATCTGCTGAGCGCTACATTACATGCTGTACGCTGAACCTCTCTTGAATCGATTATCTGCATTCTTGGAGAGCAGCAACCTCTGTATTCGGATTCCAAGGCGACGGAGTCCCCATGCTCGCTACCTAGACAAAGCTATGTGTGACTAGTTATCTACAATAACAAGTGGTATACCTACCTAGGTACGGTAGGTGGTCAGACGGTTCAAGCCTTGATGAGTGAGCCCTGTCGAATCGTCTTTACCCCACACCAGCATCGAGTATGTAATTAATTATCCCACGCACGATTAGGTGACGGTCAAGGATCGCGCTCCCCGCGTTGCACACCAAAATACCAAAAACGTCGGATGGGTGCCCCTCAGAGACGGCACCCGTTAAAGCCATAGTTTATCACCGCAAAAGCTTCTGTGCCGCACCGTCTGACACTGATCGAGACGAACTCGATTCCGACCTTGGAGATAGAGCCTTGCCCCCTAATCGACTAGATACCGCGTGCGTTCCAGACAACATGGAAGGCGAGTGTCTGTGCAAAGGTACGTACGACACAACACAGTACATGATCCCAGAGAATACTTCCCGCGGCATGCCCCCGCTGGGATACACAATGCTCATCCCGCGGTGCCCTTAACGGTGCTCTGTAGGGGGTCCTCGCACCACATACGCAACTAACCAACCCTGAATGCGCAGCTGTGGCCGTCAAAGTCAACGACGACAACCTCTTCGGCGAACAACGCAGGGGACATGTCTGTCACTGCGCCAATTGCAGGAAAGTCGCAGGCGGGATGTAAGTGGCCTTTACCTACTCTTCGTCACTTATCAAGTCATGCATGCATGCATGCCGGCGGGACGAGGCTGCCTGGAGAGGACCGAGATGAGATGCGCAGCTTCAATGTTGTCTTCTCTTGACACCTTGCTCGGCCATGTACACCGTTTGGGAACAACTGCATCGGCCTTGTACGCCGTCCGTTACTTGGGAATTCTCCGCCTCCCAGGGGAGCGCAGCGTGTCCGGAGAGAGTGCAGCATGCAGGACTGGGATTGCCACACGCCGCGGCCTTGCAATCTACACATCCACATCCAGCACATTGTGAACGGCTGGCGCGGTGCATGCACATCCACACACTGTGCACAGCTGGCGCGGTGCATGCGTACACTTCCACATCCGCATGAACCTTGTCCACACTGTATGCGGCTGGCGCGGTGCACGCACGCACGCATGCGTGATCGCCTCACCAACTACCAGTACTGACTGAATCACTGACTGAATCCCTGCCTGACTGACCGGCCGACAGATTCGGAACCAACCTCACGATCGAGGAAGAAAAGGTCGAGTTCCCAAAGGGGAAAGACAACATCAAGTCGTACACAGTCAGTCACGCTTGCATGTCCATGGCCATCTCAACTATTCGCTTTCACCTGTGCGTATGATGCGGATGCAGTGTACGCTGACACCACCCACATCAACGTCCAGGATCCCGACACTCTAAGCGGAACTCCATTGCAGAGGTACGTACATACATCTCCACGTGCGCGGCCTCGATAGCCGCTGGAATGAGCGCGCTGGGAGCAACCAACCAAGCAAAAACGCAGCGCACGTACGTACTAACCACATCAATTTCACCACAGGTGTTTCTGTCAAACGTGCGGTGTCCCCATCATGAGCATCACGCCGCTGTATAAGGGCAAGGTTGTGCTCAAGCTGGGATTGGTACGTCCGCCACGGTCTTCGCGGTGTTGCCTGCATACCTACAGTATACACAAGCCAGTGGCGAAAAGCCGCCACCCTATCCGTTGCCGTGTCCATATCCAGCGAACACGGTGGGCAGGGCAGGGAGTTTGACGACGAACGTCTCACCGACTGGTCGACTGACTGGCTGACTGACTGGCTGACCGACGATCCGTCCCCAAGCATATCATGTTGATGATATACTGACTAACTGACTCTCTACTCGACGACATAGTACCCCAAACTCCCCGTCCCGGAATGGGAATCCTTTGCGGAACGGCGCCAACACTGGGAAAAGCCCTTCGAGGGCACGATACAGTATAAAACAAAGGTGAGGTCTCCCACTGCCGCCGCGACTCCTCGTTTTGAACTCCGCACCCCTGCATGTACGCACGCAGGCAAGCGAGGGAAGGATGAGAGGCACACACGCACCATTGAAGGAAGAATACAAGTCACGCACTCAGGCACGCAGGCACGCAGGCACGCAGGCACATATGATACGAGACAAACATATCATGACACATCCATGCACACCACACACGTCTATCAGACATGATAACGGTCAGTTCAGGCTAACGCTCCGTTCGGACTCTAGAGCTTCGGTGAGAAAATGCCCGGATCGCCTGAGGAGGCGGAGAAGGTGAAATTGCAGGAGCAGTAAGGCTAATGCAGGTTGGACGGGGGCGGTGTGGATAGCGTGGACAGGCGCGTACTGTACTCGGAATGATACTGTCGGAGTAAACCTGTGTACTTCGAAATAGCGCGCGGAGCAATGCAATGCGGCAGTACCGGGACAACCCATGCCAGTGCCGGTGCCGGTGCGATACCAGCGCCAGTGCGATAATCAGTGCCTGTGCCAATCAGTTCCAGGTGCTGCGCGCATCTTGCACCCTATCGGAACCGGACTGCGCGAGTTGCAGGGACGAAGGGGGGATTGGCGTACCGTACTGAATCGCCTCGTTGTTACATACGAAGTGTCTTCTTCGAATATACCTGCTGTAGCTGTGCAAACGCGTGTCGGCCTATCGTAACCTGCCCGCTCGGGTGGAAGCCGTATTTACAAGTCCAAAGGATCGCTTCGCCCGATATATGCCTATCGGATATCCTCCTCACTAGGCTCCGATGATCTGTACAATGACGTCGTCATCCAGCACGATCTCAAGCCGGTATCGCTGAAGCTGATCCAGCCTTCCTGTCCTCGAACATGGACCCGGGGACACGTCATCGTGCCATGATTATCGAGTTGTCTTTTCCTGGTGAGAGCGTGACTTTGACTCCCAGAGCAGGAAGATCGAGCTTGCTCATCGAAGCCGGCGCCGCGTCCACCGAATCACCAAACGAGGGAGGTGCGGACGGAATGGCGAGCCGTGTCCCCAGTGTTCCGCTTGACTTCTGCTCGCTCTAACGCGGAATTTGGCATCCTTTCCGCGGCCTTCATCGTCTCATTGGCGTGGGTCGCAAGGGTTTTTCGTGTCATTGTGTGAATAAAGTCCTTCCATGTCCTGATCATTCACCACCCTGACAATGAGGTCCGCTTCCGCGTCGTCAGTGCTTGAATTCGATACCCACACAACGTACGTCTTGTCGTTGATCGCAACCCTGGGATCAGAATGGCTGCACGTCCACTCATGAAACGTGCCGCTCACACCGATGAGCACGGGCTTCACGGATGGCTTGATCGCAATAGAAACTCGGCTTCATGACGCGGGAGTAGTTCACCATGGTCCATGACAACGGTGAGCCCTTGTATCTATGTGAGTTGTCGTGGTCGAAACGGCGCTCCGGTGCCAAGGTCAGTGACGAAGGGGCCGAAAGTGTCGGGATGGGATGGTCATTGATATTGGCCTCTCGAGCCATGCCTACTGAGATAGGACATCAGCTACGTATGATTCACTGTGTGTCCAGCGTTGGTGGCAGGGCAGAGCCACGAGGATTACCGCGTATGCGCAGGGTAAGAGCGAGGCTGCCAGCCTGGGAAACTTGCCATGCGACTGATGGATGTCGCCAATTGTCGAACCCCATATCGCGGCCCCATCTCCCCTAGACTAATTTGGATGATGAACTGCCTGCGAAACCACCTTCTGCGGGGCCTTGAGCATCGAGTACTCGTCGGTATACCTTGCCGGAACAGTCGTCCTTGGAATGTGCTCGGGATTCTTGCCACCATCGTACCCGCCCTCGAGGTTATGCTTCCCTTGGATGCGATAGTCTTCGTTGTCGCCTGTCTAGATGTATAGAGCGGGGTGGGATCATAGACGACGGATATTTGGAGGGACTCGGGTCTTCCTTGGGATAGGAACAAGCAATATGTTCTCTCTGGATCGCTGGCGGAATAACCATGGCCTTTCGCAGACTAGATACGGCACGTCAACATCCTTGTACCCAGCAGGGTTAACCGATGGCGAAGCTGCTTGCGGTCGTGGAGCGATGCAGATTCGAAGATCATTTGCAGCACATCCTCGCGCCGAGGAGTCAACGCGAGAACCGAAGTGTTGGTGGGGAGCAATAGCTCTGACATGGACACTCTCTGTCTGGCGAGATCTTAGGAGATTCCAAGCGAGATGACCATCACAGATTCGATCCTCCGTCGACTCCGGTTGCCCAAGTCGGGGTAGCCTTCAATACCCAGGGCCATATTCCATGATGCAGGGTACATTGCTGGGTACAGTGCTGCTCGGCGTGGAGTCCTCGAAGTGACCAGTCATCGCTTTGGACGATTTGATGCGCGCAACTGTCGTGGGATTTGAAAGCACAGCCATACCGTTCGTAACCATTTCGGACGCCTGGAGCTGAGCACGGCGAGCCATAATGAACAGGTGAAATCACATACCCGCTCAACGGTCCCCTCATTGGTCGCTCCAGTGCTCAGACGCAGGCAGCCCCGCATTTCTGACGGTCAGAAGCCTCTGACTATCTGCATTCGACTGTGGTGTGAGTTTCCAAGGTCAGAATTAAGCACGGGCCTTAGCGACGGCGATGGCGGCATATGGACGAACTCGTCCGCTCGGAGGAACTGAGTATAGTTCGGGAAGCATATAAGATCGGTAGGTCCGTTGCAGCATCGACTTGAACAGTGGTACACCGTCCAGCGCTGTTCTCTTGGCGAATCATCGACCATGGGCTCTACTTCCAAACCATCCATTCTTCTCATTCCTGGCTCTTTCGCCCTTCCGGAATTCTATGAGCCGGTCTTCGAACTAGTTCGTGCAAAAGGCTATGACATTCGGGGTCTGCACAAGCCGACGGTCGGCCTTTCGGCTCGTCAGCCTCGGCCAGGAGCGCCGCCAACAATGTACGACGACGCCGCGTATATTGCGGGAGAAGCCGAAAAGCTCGCCGATGAAGGTAAAGACGTGATTCTCGTGCCTCACTCCTATGGTGGTGTACCAGCGTCTCAAAGCACGAAAGGGCTCAGCAAGAAAGAGAGGCAGGAGGCGGGAAAGCCGGGCGGAATCGTGAGCATCGCCTATCTGACGTGCCTGACGCCGGCTCTGGGCCAGACAGCAAAGGACGTGCTAGCAACTGTTCCACCCGAGACTCAGATCAACTTGACGGTCAAGGCAAGTCCACTGAAGGCGCTCTCACTGCTCGCGAGGGCTAACGGTCGGGAAAACAGGAAGACGGCTGGATGATCCATGACCCACCCGAAGCATCGGCTGCTCTTTCGTTCTCGGACCTTCCACTGGAAGAAGGAACAGCCTGGGTCAACAAGTTCCCTCAGCATTCCGCCATCAGCTTCGTGAATGAGTTGACCCACGCTGGATACAAGGACGTTGACGTGTCGTATCTGGTCTGCGAAAAGGACCTAGTTATTCCGCCAGCCATACAGAGAGCAGGTATAGACATGATTGAAAGAGAGAGTGGCCGCAAGGTCGATGTCACCAGCATTCCACGGGATCATTGTCCTCTGGTTCGATACCCGGAGGAGGTTGCGGATTGGATCCTGAAGGTTGCTGCAAAATACTGAGCGAAATCGTCAATCCTGGACTGTCGGTTGAATGCTTCGCCCCAGAGGGATTCATAAAAGTCTTGCACTTGCTATTGCCGGTCCTGCATCTAGTAAGCTATGATGACATAGAATGCTGATATCGCCAAGGTGAGGCGACTGATGAAGTAGCAGTCTTTGGATATATGCAAGATGTCGCCCATCGGAGCTTTTAAGGCACTGAGTTAAATCGCAGAGGGGTCCGGCACGTCGGATAAAATGTAATCTCATGGTTAAAGAGGTATCGACATGGTGCGTGTGGATTTTGGGAAGGATCAATAAAACAGAAAACCCCACTTAGCAGCGAAATATGTCTCGATCTTCCAGGCCTTAGGATCCCATGGAGCCATGCCGGGCGAAATGGTGAAACTCGGTCGAGTACACAGATCGTGGGTAAAATCCTCCTCGTCAATCATGGTGTGCATACTGATCATGTTGTCCCGCATCTTGGGAAACGGGAAACGATCAATGCCCGGCTGATGTATAGTGGTCAGCTGGAGAAAGGTGGGCTGTAAGGATATCGGAACGTCCGGGCCCGTGGGTGACGACGTCTGCGGGATAACCGTGCAGCTCTTGAGACCTATGATGGCGCCGTTGATGTACATAGCAGAGATGACGGTCATGGAAGGACAAGGTTCATAGCCAATATCGAGAGCCGGTCCAGCGGCTGTAATTTGAGATGAGCATTTTCGACACAATGGTGGAGCAATAGTAAGCTCCTCGAGGCGTGGCATCAGATCGAGACGATTGGGAAGGTCAACAGGAGCATTCGAGCCGAACGCATCATATTGGTAAGCATTCATGTTGCTGGCATGGCTAGCCTTCTCTTGACCTTGTTGGCTCGTCGGCTGTGGAATTTGTCTTCCTTCGCGGAGGCGTTTTCCTGTCGGTGAGCACGATCAATCAGCATCGTCTGCACCGGTAACACATCCGCCGGCTGGTATAAGGTGAGATCCATCCTTTGCTTCGTCGAATGAGCAACAGACACGCCACTTGTGAGGGAAGCTACTACACAGGCATTCCGACAGTGTGGACTGAGCAGCACAGTCAGGATGAGACACGGTGGTAAAGGACACTCACGTCTCGCTCGCTGAGCCAGCTTGTCCTGGATTTTCTTCCTCTTCTTGGGATCTGTGACATTATGCCAGTCGTCTTCTGAGAGTCTGGAGGTGATCGCCAGCTCAGGCATCGTGTGGCTGGCTAGAGGGAGAGGAAAAACAAGCCTGCTTGATCTCACAGACCTGGTGGCTGATGGGCGGACTGAGTGGAACGGAGGGAAGAACCTCCGAGCCTGAACAGCTGCCGATGGCTAGAGGCTCGTCTGGTGACAGATAAGTACTCCGTACTCCGTACATCTGAGGTCGAATGCAGGACAGTAATCCCCGAGGCAGCATAACTGTACGTCCATTCATTCAGGCATTTGAATGCACTCTACCTTTGACGGCACGAAAGGCTGACACGACACCCGCCAGTGTCAGTATTGCGATCGAAGACTCTTCCGTTTATGACATCTGTTCTATAACTGAGCCGGCTACCCTTACTGAACAGGGTACAGGTAACGTGCGTCACAGCTCGTTTTCCTCGTTTCCTACCCGTCATGTGTACGCATAAGTTGACGGTTTAATGTATGTGATTACAGAACTCGCAGTGACCCAGTGCCTTTTGGGTACCGAGGCCTCCATGTCTTCATGTCCCTGATGATCTCACTTCATCTCTTCACGACCGTCTGTTCTCGTGCCCTTGCACTCTACGTCGAGCGTATGTAAACTGGCTCCACCCTCCCAGCCCAACCCTTCAAGATGCCCTTGATGGATCGCAACCGTGCGCCTTCACTTCTCTTTCTCCTCCACCGTGCCTGACTCCTTCACCTCGACGTGGACCCATGCGTGCAACCTAGCGTCTCGCGCCGCCAGTGTTTGTTCCCTCTCAACTGTATCACGCTGTGCCTCCAACCGGTGGGCGAGGCGACAAACGGTGTCTCAGCTTCAAGTGGCAAAGACCTGGGGGCGGGGGCAAAACTTGGGATTAGGTGAAAAGTGGTGATGGGAGCCCTGCTGTGGCCGATGTGCAAAATGGTGACTCAGAGGTATCCGAGATGGAACGTGTCCTTGGATAGATACTAGTCGACAAATGCGTCGCCCTTAGTATGCTTGCGTGAGGCTGCAGCGTAAGTTTCTTAGCCGTCTTCATCAGTGGCCCACAAGGTGGTAAGCAGCGCACGTGTAGCGAGCCCTGATTGTTTTTGGTCGGTTATGGTTGCCTCGCAATGGCGTAAAGTCTGTAGCCAGCAGCATGATCCGGCACAAGCAGTGCCAAACCCGCCCCAGCTGACCCTTCTTGTTCCGTTGCAAAGGCCAGACAGTCCTGGTTCGCAGTCCAGGCCACTCCGATTACCTGCAAATGGAGTCCCCGGTGCTTGGAACTGCGCCATCTCTTTTCGAGCACCACCCCCAACTGATGAGTGGTGATCAGAGGTCATGGCCGTCGTGTCGAGGAGATGGCGGTCTACATCACTGCCGATTTGTGAGGTCGCGCCCGCAACGGAACGTTCACTCAGTCGAGATCCATCCCTCCACCGGGAACAGCGGCCGGCTGGGGACTCTCGAATCGATGATGATCAGCCCAATTTTCCATCTTAGATTGCTGGGGAAGTTGTGTTTGAACAGCTTCCGGCCCTGGCGTTCTCTCGGCTCGCAGGACCTCGTCACCCTCAAAGACCATGGGTTGAGATCTCAGGTTCTGAAGACATGTCTCCCAAGTTCTGCCAACAAGCTTTCCCTCTAATAAACTGTCGGAGAAGAGGAAGAAACCCTCTTGGCATCCGACAAGATAGGCATCAAGGCCGGCGTTTCTCAGTAAAAGTTGCGCTCCATGGATATCTCTCGAATAGTGGTTGTCGATATACCTTGCCCAGCCTCTCGCCGCAGTCTGGAGAGACTCGCTCTCGGACTCCATCTTGCTCCATCCGATACCTAGCGCGATAGTCGCCTCATCAAATTCTGGTCGCTCGACGGCTGTTTTTGGTGGGCTGGCTGGCGCCGAGGCGATACCAGTATCAATGGGCAGGCGAATCGATGTCTGAGACAGTCTGACAGACTTTCGGCTGGTTGGCATTTTTGGGCGAGTATACGAGGCAGCAATTTCTTCTCGGAGTGCCGTCTCGTCTGCCTTCTCTTCAAACCAGGTTCCTGTTTGGCTCTCTGCAGAAACTGACAAACCCGTCTTGGGATTGAGCAGCACCATGCCCTCACCGTAGATTGGTTCCTCTTCTGGTATGGGTGCTGGAGTTGAGACTGAACCAAAATACGAGCCGTCCATTTCGGCATCAAATGCAGTCTCATCGCGCGATCGCTTCCGTGATGGATTTGTCGAAATGGGCGTCATGGTGTCAACCGGGGTGTAGGTTGTTGAGTGGTTGGCATATGAGGCAGGCGAAGGCTCGTCCTGGTCCATAGCCCTGGGCGTGTCTGAAGGAGTCGGTAGCTGTTGCTGATCCAGAGGAACAAATGACATGTTTACAACGCCGTTCAGAGCAATGCGACCAATCCAATGCAAAGTGAAATAAATTCGAAAATTGGGGTTGGCAGTTTTGACGGCTACAGCTGACGACTGAATCTAGGCATGCGACGACGTGAATGCAAGTTCAAGTAAAGCCTCGATGAGGTGGCGAACGAGGGTAAAGACCAGAGGCATAGGAGGGCAGTAAAGTGAAGGCAAAGTACGGAGTAGTCAACAGAGGATAGGCTGGATCAGGACGAAGGAAGATATTTGAGGGAGGAGGGCTGGACCAGAATGAGGCAAAAGTCGCAAGCTGAGAACCGCAACGAAAAGCGAGAATCTGGGGACCTTGCGGTTGACATGATTCCTTGTCAGAGCAAGTCGTAACCTTGATCCAGGTGTGCTGTACGTGGTGGATCCTGGGATGCGAGGTCTGAGCGGCGGCTTCACGGCAACGGGCAACGCTGCACAGAATTCGGGCTGCCTTTTGGCGATGGAGACTGCCTCGAAGCAGTAAAGCCTCGAGGCAAAGCACAGGGATTGCCAGGAACGCAACAGTGATCGGGCAAAGCCCATTGGAACGAGTCGATTGAGGCGTGAGCTGCATGGCATCTGCATAAGCAAGCACATTTTGCGGTATCCGATCCACAGCGGGTTTGAGGGACACGAATCAAAGGCAGACCATGACTGAAAATCGGACCTGTAAGGCGACATCCACTGGACTTTGAAGGCCAAGTCAGGGTCCAGCTGCACACTTTGCAGGCTCTTGCCTGGCATTCGTCCCGAGGGTGCCAATCCACATCTGACTGTCTGACTGGCCACTGGCCAGCCTGTAGTAAGGCCCGCATGTGTATTATGGAGAATGGAGCTCTTCGAGGCGTTCATCCTAAGACGGACAAGATAATGTTGTGGGCAAGACTTCCACGAAGTGTGGGGAAGAGACGGTCTAACATGCCGCGAGCCGCTGACAGTGCCCTGACGCAGTCTGTCGCAAGCCACCTCGTCTACCTAAATACGTACGGCACTGCAGCGCATTTTTGAGCATAGCACAGGATACGTGATTGCCACATGGTTATCGCACAGCTCTCTCAGTTCTTTACGAAAAGCCTCGTACGCTATGGCAATGTCCAAAGCAACATGATTAGTAGTATGTGACCTGCTGTACAGCTTCCCACAGAACTCCGCTGACGGCGCAACAGCTCAGTATAACTGCAATCTGTTCGAACATTTGCCATGCGGACCCAAAACTCCGTGACTGTGCGTTGAATGTCGTAACAAGCTGCAATGTCTATGTGCTGCGGGTTTGCAAATCCCTTGTACAAAGTCGGTCCCAGCTGGTGAGAGGCCCTCCTGTGGATCAAAAATTTCCTGCAATCTGAAAGGTCGTTCACGAGCCGAGCCCCGTGCTGAAGATGTCCTTCAGATTCTTCGTCTGCGCTGGTGCATATGTCGGAGCCAAACCACCCAGTAGCAGGAAGATGGTCACAAGGACCAACCCGAAGACAAGCGCTTTGCGCATTGCGGGTCTCTGGACGCCAAACTCGGACCAAGAACGGCCTGCTTGCTGCAGATATCCTTTGAGCTGCTCAGCACCCAGTCTGTAATAGAGCATACCTCCCAGGGCAATCGAATATCCGAAGAATTGCAGGTTTGTGACAGGCGTGCCCCAGATCATCATTGAAGCGGCGACCAGAAGGATGTCCTTGAGAATTCCGCACAGTGTGAGCACAAGCGAGGAAGTTTTGCCAATCTATTCTCTGTTAGAAAAGAGGACATCACACAGCAAGTATAGAGAGATGTGGCTTCGGATGGTCTCAACTTACCAGGAAGACGACAGAGACATTGAGAAGGAAGGCGACCATTGCATTAGCCACCAGCGTGAAGATACCAACGTCATAGACATTCTTCATGCTCATGCCGGGCACCTCAACGACCAGGGCTGTCAGACCGTTCATGACCGCGCACACAGGCGCAAAGTAGTAGAGTGAGACCAGTGGATCCATCTTGTATTCCGCTGAGCTGAGAAGGCGTTGAACAAGCACTAGTCGGGTGGCTTCGAACGTAATACCACCGGCTTGATACAAGAAGCCTGTCAGATTGAACTCGATCGAGCCGTAGGACGCAATGACCACGCCGACGACAATGAAGGAGACGTTCCCCAATGTCTTCAGACTCGGAGGCGCCACGCCCATTGCCCACGTAGTCAGAAGAACCGCGACCGGCATGCAGGCCTGTCCATTATGTCAATATCCGCTCATTCTCTTATCATTTGAATTTCCACTCACTTTCAGCATCTGGATGAAGGCAACGCTCAGATAGAGGTACGCTTTGTTTCCGCAGATCAAGCTCAAGCTGAAGAAGAATCCAATGGGGAGGATAGCTCGAAGGTAGACCTTGCCGGTCATCTTGACCGTCTTGCGGCCATCAAGGAGGGTAGTAGTTCGCGCTAGAAGCTGGGTCATGAACGTGGCAAACATCATATGCCATGCCGTCAGAGTAATGGGAAATTTGAATCCCAGTGTGTCTAGTAGCCACTTGTTGAACAAGATGACACCTCCGCTGAAGCCGATCCATGTACTGCGACATCGTCAGCTGGTGGCCCCCCCTCAGAACATAGGCGACGTACACCACGTAAAATGCTGGGTGCAATGAAGGCTTCGGTGGTTGAGGTTTCTCTGTGGTCGGCAGTATTGAAGCAGAAGACGCCGCTGGCTCTACTCTAGCTTGTTCGCCAGACACGCGCACTTTCTTCTCGGCTTCCGCCATGGTGGCGGAGGTCGGTAGCAGTTGGGGTGACCGGGGACGAGAGTGGGTGAGGAAATCCTGAAAGGAGAATGGACCTGATGACCGCGAAAAGGTCTTTGGCTTTAACAACTTGGACACGCCGTTGGGACTTTTGAAGGTCGCCAGGACTGTCAAGATATCCAACGCAGTACAAAGGGGAAAAACGAGAGCGCGCCACAGGCTAGACAGGCGAATTCGAAATATGTGATGGTGCTCGACCAGACGCAGACAGCCAACTCACTATCGGGGACAAGCGCGAAAAAGGTTAAAGTGCAGCAAGCAGTGGCCACCACGATTCACTCAGCAAATCCGCAAAGGCAAAAATTCTCCTGAGATTTCCGCTGGGGTGAGCCGTGCCCTAAAACTGCCTAATCTCCATAGCATCGCCACTTTTCGCCAATCGACCTGATCATGACGCTGAGACAGCCAATCGCAGCACGCGCGTTCACCCGTGTTCTTGATATCTATCTTTGGCCATTCCCAAGTGTTTATTCCCCCTGGTGGGTTGTACTCTACTGTGGTAAGAGGCTGACAGCAGACACGAGTAGACACAACCGGACTCGGGTGTTTGGACGTCACTATGTCCATTCACTATTGGCCGAGAATTACAAGGTCCGCAAACTGTCATCGGCCAATATTTTGGCAGCACAGATGGTGGTGGGCGCGCAGCCGTGACCCTCATACGGATGACATTTCCCGCGCACGTCCGAGTTGAATGGAGCCGCGGTGAATCAAACCGTCATTGACCACACCGAGTTTACCAGTGTGCCACGCCGCTCGTTATCTACATAGTACTCAGACACTAGCGACTGTTACTCCATACTCATACGACCCGGCCAGAACACACAGCGTGACGGACACATGGCCAGAGGTATTGGACGGCATTGGATTGCAGGACGGGAAAGGTTGAAATCACCCAGTAGTCTGGTCCGCTATTCACGGTCATGCCAGCCCCTGGATGCAAGGCTGCGATACCTGATGCTAATCCCACATCAGCACATCCCACGCTACTGCCACTGTGTTCTTCAGTCCGCTGCCTTCAGGTGGGTGCTATTTATGCCCTATTGTGTACTGTGTACTGTGTAAGCTGCGTGAAACCTGCATGGATCTACTCCGGATAGTCCTGACACAAAGGATTGTGAAGGCTGGGTTAGTGGGGAGATCGTCCCCTGCCAAGACCCTGCGCCGCGTCTGCAAAGTGTGAAGCGGTGGTCAACTTTTTCTGGCGGGCGCGGATGCTGTTAAGACGTCTGCGGCGTTTGAACACTCGTCTCTTTCACCACGTTCCTCTGTAACTATTCAGCGTCGCCATTTGGTGTTGCGCAGACAGTCCTGCTGCACCTCATCTTGTCTCCTCATTCATACACTGCATTGCACCCAGAAAGCTTGCCCAGAATGCCTGACATGTATGCGCCTCGTCGAAATCCGCCCCTCACCGCAATTAACATGGATCATACAGTTCAGTCGATATCCTGGTGATTGGCGCTGGCCCAACTGGTTTGGGCGCTGCGAAAAGACTCAATCAGATTGTGTGTACTTCATGCGCCGACTGAGATTCAATAGCTAACCACCTTCTAGAATGGACCCTCGTGGATGATAGTCGACTCGAATGAGATTCCCGGAGGTCTTGCCTCTACCGACGTGACCAAGGAAGGATTTGTGTGTGCCATTATGCGCGGTGTCCAAGCTGGCATGGCTAACTGCAAGTCAGCTGTACGATGTCGGCGGACACGTCATCTTCTCCCACTACAAATATTTCGACGACTGCATCGACGAGGCTCTCCCGAGCGAAGACGACTGGTATACACATCAGAGAATATCCTACGTCCGCTGCAAAGGGCTATGGGTCCCATATCCCTTCCAGAACAATATCTCTATGCTGCCTAAGGAGGATCAAGTGGTTTGCATGGACGGCTTGATCGATGCTGCCATGGAGGCAAGAGTAGCGAACACGAAGCCCAAAAACTTCGACGAGTGGCTTGTGCGGAATCAAGGCGTTGGTATTTGCGACATCTTTATGAGACCTTACAATTTCAAGGTTTGGGCTGTACCAACCACGAAGGTGAGTTGACTTTGGAAATCGCCTATACCGCATTTCTGATCAACGGCGCAGATGCAAGCAGAATGGCTAGGCGAACGCGTAGCTGCTCCGAATTTGAAGGCTGTGACCAAGAATGTTATTCTAAATAAGGTCGCTGGCAACTGGGGACCCAACGCCACCTTCAGATTCCCTGCCCGGGACGGTACTGGCGGCATCTGGATCGCCGTGGCGAAGACCATTCCAGACGAGAAGAAGCGATTCGGCAAGAAGGGAACCGTGAAGGCAGTCGATGCAGACAAGCAGCAGGTGCTAATGGAGGATGGCACCACTATCCGCTACGAACGACTCGTCAGCACCATGGCCATCGACTCCTTAGCCGAAGCTATGAAGGATGAAAAACTCATCGGCCTCTCGAAGGAATTGTTCTACAGCAGCACCCACGTCATTGGTGTGGGTATCAGAGGTTCGCGGCCCGAACGGATTGGCGACAAATGCTGGCTCTACTTCCCTGAGGATGATTGCCCCTTCTACCGAGCGACCATCTTCTCCAACTACTCCCCTTACAACCAGCCACAGAAGGATGTCAAGCTCCCCACATTACAGTTGGCGAACGGATCTCGAAGACAGAGCATGCAGGCCAAAGAAGGCCCGTACTGGTCAATCATGCTGGAAGTCTCCGAATCCAGTATGAAGCCTGTCAACCAGGAGACCCTCCTCAAAGATTGTATCCAAGGTCTTGTCAATACCGAAATGCTCAAGCCCGAGGACGAAATTGTTTCAACCTACCACCGTCGCTTCGATCACGGCTATCCGACTCCGAGCTTAGAGCGTGACGGGGCCCTCAAACAGATGTTGCCTTACCTACAGGAAAAGGGTATCTGGAGCCGTGGCCGTTTTGGTTCTTGGAAGTACGAGGTCGGCAACCAGGACCACTCATTCATGCTTGGTGTCGAGGCAGTCGACCACCTCGTCAATGGTTCAGTAGAACTGACCCTCAACTACCCTGACTTTGTCAACGGTCGGCAGAATACGGAGAGACGACTGGTGGACGGAGCACAGCTGTTCGGCAAGCAGAAGACGAACGGCAGTGTGGTTGTTGGAAGACGGATGACTGGCGGGAAGACTGAGCTGGGAGGCCGGGTCGAGACCAGTGGAAAGGAGGCCCTCAATGCGAGCAGCCGGACCGCGACCGCAATGAAAGACGGAAATTCTCGAGTCCTGAATCGTCAATGGTGAAGAGATGTGGTGACAGTTCCGTCTTTGACCTTGGACATATTTCCCTTTGGTTGCCGCGTAGAGCAGGTCATTTCCACGGGGATGAAGCAGCCGACCTTCCAGGTACATAGATGCTAGACTAGATGGGAACCCGGAACAAGGGCCAAGACAGAACGACCGTCTTTCTCAGCGAAAACCAGCAAAGACTTCTGCAGTCACTACGAAAAAATTTTGCGGTCACGCCATCGAGTCACAGCCTTCAGGCTTCCTGTACCTGATGCTCGTATACACACTATGGCCTGGACCGAGCCATGCAACAGATGAAAATGCGGGGGAGGCTAGTACGAGCTGGGAAGCACCAAAAGATCGAGATGATTAGCTGAGTTATACGGAGTAATTAGACGCTAGACAATTGAGGAGGAAAGTATGAGGGGTCAGCTATCTCGAGGGGTACTGGGGGACTCGTACTTGATGCTGCATGAAGTATCTACCACAGTACCTCGTATGCCACCTTAGCCGGGGAACCCTCCCTTCTGAAACATGTGGAGCAAGCGCAAATGGCTCATCGATCCAACCTGGTCACAAACCTGTCGAGGTCCACTGCGGGTCTGATGCTTCAAGCGCTTCATCGAGGGGCCACAGTGTGAGATCCTGGAATTCGTGCTTGTTGGGACGGCACGTCTCAAACCTCATGAATCTGTTTGTGCTTTGCGGCACAGAGGCTGCCGCAAGTCTTGCCATGTCCCTGACATGTCACCTATTTACACGGTACTTCTGCCCTCCTATCGCGTGTTGTTCTGGGGAAGCCAAACCCATTCTCAAGTCGATAGAGCCGGGGATTGTTCTCGCGGCAATGTCCCTCGGGACACGCCATTTGCAAGGTCGTCAATTAGAACGGGACAACGAAGTTACCCGAGGTACTCGTACCTGCAGATTCGGAGGAACATGGGCATCGAGCAAGTTGCCGCCAAACTTTGCCAAAGCCATATCGGCACCTTTGCCTCGGCGTCTTGCTCTCTATCGAGCGTTCTTCGAGGCATTGAAAGTGCTGAGGCTTTGGCAGCTTCTTTATCACTTCCGACTGTTGGAGGAAAAAGCACAGACCAGCCTTATGAAGAAGAAATGCGAACTTTCATCTGCGATCGATCGAGCAGTGGTTGACAACGATCGCGACAACAAGCCATGCACCACGTCATCTGGTGGGAATGGTTCTTGAAGTTGAGTGGCCACATTCCGCAGTTCCTGAGCCAAGGCCCACCCACAATGCCACCAATGACGCCGGGGGCAATTCTTTCATCTGACCCCGGGGCTAACCGGATGCGATGACCCAACGGCATCAGATTTGCTTTTTGCTGCTTGTCTTCTGACTCGCAAGAGACGCGCAAATTTGTTCGTAAGGCACGGGAATCACGTACTGTATGAGAACGTGACCGTACCCCGCTGAGCCCGCATCGTGAGTATAGGGACGCAACCATTCCTACGTAAGCCTAGCTGTCTTCTCGCCCGCAGGGGCGGTGACGGGCAATAAGCCAGTGACCATGGAGCCTGAGGTTCCCAGTGTGGCAGACGTGCATCATCAAACCCGAAAGGCGTGACTCGTGATCTGTGATCGGTGAGAGCCACGTCCTTAGGGCAGGTGTGGTTCCTGCTTTTCCATGGTCGAGTTCCTGCCGCAGACCAGCGCAAAAACACTTCGCTCCCAATACAAACTCCTTTCTCGCTTGCATTCGACGGTCTGCCACTATAGAGTCAACACCTTTTGCTATCTAACCGCTGTGCATTATCTTGCCGAGTTTCCTTTCTCTTGATTTCCTTTGTATCCCTACCCCAAAAGGTACGTAGCTTCTCCAACAGACCCAGTCGTCGCGGCGCCCTTATCGTCATGGCCATCTTTGCGTTCCGCCGATTCCAATGTCCCATCCCACCTCGTCCGCTTTCTGTTGTACTGCATGTTGTTAGATCGATTGCTAACACAACCTCGTTGCACAGTCGACATCAAGCATTGGATTGCCCATCATGTCGGCCCACGTCGCTCCATCGATTCCTCCCCGGCCAGCTCGAGTCCAGCAGGCTGCTGCTTCCCAAGGCGTGGGCAAGCTCCCCGACATCCCTCCGCGTCCCATGAACAAGCGTCTTGATCGCTCCGTCTCCCCCAGCAATTTCCCACGTTCACCCCTCAATGAGCCATGGTCAGCCAATCTCACCCGTCAGAAAACCAATGAGAGAGCCACCGACGCACTGCCACGCCGGCCCAGCGTGCAAAATCTCCCTTCGATCGGCCAGGAGGGAATGGAATATGCGGATATCGCGGACCTGCAAACAGATCAGCAGCCACCCGTTTCTTCTCTGGCTGTTGATGCCGCGGCCCAGACCAGGAATATCGCCCAGGACCTGCACCTACATGCTCCCAAGCCGTCTCTCCCGAAGTCCAGTGCTACTGCACAGGTTCAGGCGGTCACGAGGACAGACTCGGGCCACGCAGCTGTTCATGGTCTAGGCAAGCCGTCAAGTCCTTCGCCGGAGGAGGGCGAGGGTCTGCGCCAGGTGCGGACGAGAAGCAGTTTCTCTCGTCCCACCTCCGCAGCCGCTGGCGAGCGCCGCTCCTCGGTCTATGGAGACGAAGAGACAGGACCTGCTGAGCTTGGCCTGCGTGTGCCTATCAACCCTTTGTTAGGAGACGTGCAGGCGCCCTCCCCTGCACCAGGTCTGAGCCCGTCTCACACAGGCACCAACGGAGACAGGAAGCGGCCTGGTCACTCCCGAGCAAGGACCAGTAGAGAAATCTTCACTCCTCCTGGCAGCTATGGCCTTCACGGTCACGGTGTTGCTCCCCAGGACAGATTCGAAAAAGATTGGTACTCTAAACACCCCGACGCTGCTCAACTCGAGGAGACACACGGTCATGGAGTATATGAAAGCATTGGAAGCGGCCGCGGCGCTTTCGCGTTGAGCAGTGACGATCTGAATAAGATTGTGCGTGCAACTGCCAGCCGTGGATCAGGATTTGGTATGTTGTACGACGCACGTAGCCACGTCGCTTGCTAACTCGGCCTCTAGGTACATCAGGCGTTGCACAGTCGTATCCCGACGAGCAGACCGGATATCTTGCGTCGGATATGTACATTGCAAGATCACAACAGAGTACTCCGAACAGCCTCGCAAAGACCGTGACCAACACCTCCCAGCCCGCGCACGAATCTCCTTTGAGGAAAGCCAGCTTCCCTGCCGATGACAGCATTCCAGCTGAGGTTCGCCGTAGTCGATTATCAATCTCGGGCAAGCCCGACGATTTGGACGCTGTCGACAGCGAGCAAGAAGGAGACACGCACATACCACCCGGTCGCCGCTACAACAAAATCATGGGAGGTGAAGAAAGCTTGAACGAGTCAGTCGAAGCTCGCCCTTTTGTTTCTCACCCAACGCAAGAAGGAGATCATATCAATGAACATGGTTACACTGTGCCGATTCTAGCAGCAGACGAAGTCGCGAAAGGTGTGGGCTTGGAAGATCTCCGACCAGCAGTCTCCCCCAGGCAAGAACGACGTGGGAGTATGGAACCTGAAAGCGGCGCCGTCACACCAGGCTCTCGACCGTCGAGCAGACCGACGAGTATGTACAACCTCCATAGCGCCTCACATTCTCTGTCTCGCTTCCTATCACACCATGAAGAGCAAGAAAGGATGCACACCCCGCTCGAAGACGTGCACGAGTATGAGCCTCTTTTCCCCGAGGACGATGACAAGAAGCCTATCAATCACGCGGAACGTTTCAAGCCGAGACCGGATGCTCTCAGACAGCGTTTCCCCAGCCAGGACATTTGGGAAGACACCCCCAGCAGCCTCTACTACTCGGCCACCGTGTCGACCCCCGATCTTCCTGCACGATCCGAGGCAGCTCCTCCTCCGTCTAAGACATTCGAGCGTCCGGAAGCGGAGTCAGCGCGCAAGGAAGAGGTGTCGGAGAAGGAGAAGGCTAAATTGATACCCAAGGAGGAGAGACTTGCCACGTCACGTTTCGCGCCGCATCTTCGGGGCGATATGCCCACGAGACCAGGCATGGTACCTAGGTTTCCCAGCCAAGATATTTGGGAAGATAGCCCGGAAAGTCACCATCTTGTTACCGTAATCACTCCCCGACCGACAGAGCCAGAAGAAGAAGAGACCTCGCCAGTGGACACAGCGAAGCCGACCGTTCCTCCACGACCAGCGAAGAGCCGATTAGGAGAAGGCGCATCGTCTGCACAGATTGCACCGAGCATACCGCCGCGACCATCCAAGGATACACGTGCTATGCCTGCGCTAGCGGCAACGTCGCCGGACACCAGCAAACCGAAAGATACTTCCCCCACCCTTAAGAAAGTCCCCAGCATTCCTGACCGCCCGAAGCCTCAAATACCTTCTCGGCCGGCAAAGAAACCTTCCTCGGATTCGCTTACGAAAACAGTTTCCGGAGAATCTGCAGGACCCATGGAGCAAGAGAAGATCTCGCCCCCTGTCGCGAAAGTCAAGCCTCAAGTTCCGGCCCGGCCGGGTGCAAGCAGTAAAATCGCGAGCCTGAGGGGCAACTTCATGAATGATCTCAACCAGAAATTGGGCCTGGGACCGCCTAAGGAGAAAGAGAAGGAACCCGAACCGGTCGCGGAAGAAGCGAAGCCTCTCGATGACGCCCGCAAGGGAAGAGCCCGAGGTCCGCAACGAAGAGCCCCGGCTAAATCGCCGGCCGCTCCGGTCAAGTTGATGGGGTTTGCGATATTTGCACCACGACCTCTGTGGACCATTGAAGAGGGAGAATTGAATGTGCCTTCAACCGACAGTGCCCCCGGCACGGATATGGAGGCCACTTCTGAGAAGGTCTTCTCTGAAAAGAAAGCAGAACAGGCTGAAAACTCGACAGCTGCTGATGCCCCACTGCCGCCCACTATTGAAACCACGGATCACGCCGAGTCGCAGGGCTCAAAGATGGAAGCCGAGCAATTGCCAATTTCTGCAGGGGACCTGGCAGATCCTGAACCGACGCTCGGGACTCCGACGCAGGAGAAATCCAATCCGCTGAGCATTGCACCAAGTCGAAATGAGTCAGGTGCACCAAGTAGAAACGAGTCGGGCGAGAAGAAGGCGATGGACGCTGCTGATGCTGACGCTGACGGCGGTGAAGGTGTTGATCTGTCTCAACGCACGACTGAAAGCAGTGGGCAGGCTTCCGGGCCGGAATTGGAGAGGGAAGAACCGGATCCCACGACTGACGCGATCCCCATTAGCAGGCAGACCACCGCCAGCTCCAAGGGTGATACTATTCCTTTGGAGAAATCCGCGTCACGAGAAGAGACCAGGGTCTTGAGGAACATGTTACCCGAGGGAGAGCCAGGGAGGGAGAGCATGGAGCAGGTGTAGAACTCAGTCCGACCGCGTATATGAAATATGGGATGTGGTGGGACGAGGGATGAGGCTAGGTTATGATTGGGCTACGGGCCTGGGGCCGGGGCAAGGAAAAGCAACAAGAAGTGTCGCATTTGCACCGTTCGTTTAGAATAGCAAGAATCCACCAACTGGTGTGCTTGAGTTTATCACATGTGTCTGCTCGTACTTGTCTAACTCTACCTCCAACTCCATACGGAGTGGGATGTCATGCTCTACACGGAGCACAGTGCTTGACAGGCACTAAAGGCTACATGGCCAGCTAACTCCCCTGCATACGCCAACAATGGTGTGCCTCTGGAACATGTTATCTTGCTCAACGCCCACCCAGTTCATCAGCACCGGCCTCCGCTTGAGCGGGTTCCAGATCGCCTACCGAGTCAGTCAGCTGGTCGGTGGTCATCAATCTCTTGTGCTTTGCCCCTCCGTACCTGTCTTACCGTGTTACTGTCCAGATGTCTACCGCGTCAGTTGAGGACCTCTGGGTGACGCCGACACGTGTGCTGGTGCCGCGACAACAGACCTGACCAGAGCAGACCACACCGCACCCCAGAGTTAGACTCGTGCAGGTGTTGAAGTGTCGAGTTGTCGAATTGTCGAACTCTCGTATCCCGAGGGTATGAGCCTCGGGCCTGGTGTTCGCTGACATTTTTTTGGATTTTGAGCCACAGTGTACTGTAGGTTATCATTCATGTGCCCTTGTCTTGGGTTGTCAGTCTACAGGATCTGGTGAGCGACGGACGAGCGTAAGTCACTAGGAGTCAAGACAAAGAAACACCGAGACACTGAGACACTGAGACATCGAGACAGGATGATTACGCCGAGATCTCTGCATCTAGGTCCTTGTGTCTAGGTAAGAGCTCCGTGTTTGAGAGGGGATATGGTTAGGTCAGGTCGCTAATTATGTCTTTGTTGCTTGTCGTGTCTTATGCTTGGGTGATTGTCTTGCCTTTGAAACGTGGGCACGTCATGGTCCATGGTTGATGGTTTATGAATCATTGGTGTATGTGAAAATAAAGTGCTTTGAGACGGTGGCTTTGGGTGCTGCTGAGATGGCCGTTGAGGATGGGGGCTCCTCTTTCTGTGTCGGTCTAGGATTTGAATCGAGGCTGAGGTTGAGAATGCGTTTGCGGCTTGGGGTCCGGAGTGGGAATGGGACTGTGTCTTGGTCGGTCTGTCCGTCATCCGTTGGCGCGGTCGGCCTTTTGGTTCGTATAAAGCGGTGGGAGCATCCTCGTTGGGAACCGGTATTGACGAGCATGTCAAGTCAAGATTCCAGATTGAAGCACCGCAACAACCACCACAGCCATAACCACAGTCAAGGCACATCCGCGAACCATCCCTTTCGACTCAGAACCACATCTCCGACGAGGAACCTACGTACTGCAACCAGATAAACGCTACAGCACAGCTTTCAGCGCAACAATGGCCCCGTCATCCAACTCCAAGTACTCAACCAGCAACATGCGATTCGCCAGACAGAATAACATTTTCCAAGTCATGCCTTCAACTAGCCCAGGCTTCGGTAACATCCTGTCCACTAGTAGCCGAGATCAGGAGATACGCGACGCTGGAGGAAGCGGGCTTACCGAGGTATTTGACAATTTCAGACCTTTCGTCGCAGGCAACGAAGCTGCTACATCACCACAGGGCCAGGAGGGCCACGATACCCGCCAGCGCTGGGGCAGCACTTGGGGAAGTACTTGTTCTGAGGGATCCAATTCGCGCGGCAACAACAAGAGTAGCAGCAGCAACAGCCCAGTCGGAAGTAACGGGCAAGGCAACAACACAGAGGCAAAGCACCGGATGGGCAACAATGGGCAGCATCACGATAAGCAAAGCAGCGATGAAGATGAGGATAGCGATGAGGAGGAGGGTGGTGTTGAGGAGGAGGGTAGTGATGAGGAGGAGGGTAGTGATGAGGAGGAGGGTAGTGATGAGGAGGAGGGTAGTGATGAGGAGGAGGGTAGTGATGAGGAGGAGGGTAGTGATGAGGAGGAGGGTAGTGATGAGGAGGAGGGTAGTGATGAGGAGGAGGGTAGTGATGAGGAGGAGAGTAGTGATGAGGAGGAGGGTAGTGATGAGGAGAAGAGTAGTGACGAGGAGGAGAGCGGCGATGAGGAGGAAGGTGGCGATGAGGAGGAAGGTGGCGATGAGGAGGAGGGTGGCGATGAGGAGGAAGATGGCGGTAAGGAGGAGGTTAGCGAGGACTGGTTATGGGAACAAGCAGCCGAGGCAGCTGCTGGGGCGTCGTGGTGGGAGAGGAAGTGATCGAGTGGTCCAGAACTGGGCGTGCAGATTTGAGATTGCAATGCGGCTGGTACGAGAGCTGGTGTAGCGGTGGGGACGGGTCCATGGTTAGAGGGAGAGTGACGGGGCATAGTCGTAGCTTACTCCTTGCGGCTTTCTCTGAACGGAAGGGTCCTGGCTCTCTGAGATAGCCGCGTCATCTGAATTGAGGTCGGCTGGGACGACGGTACTAGGACGGAAGTAAGGTCTGCGGCGAGCATCATAGCCTCGATCATATGAGACCTTGGCTCTGGGCATATGCCGGGGCTGGAGTAGAACGTTCGTGACAGAAAATATGGTAATTGCGGTGCTCTGATACATAAGCACATAAGTAGGCACCGGGAATGGAAGTTTGATACTTGGCGATGAGCTGTTATCTTCAGAGAAGGCCATTCGATGTATATTTCTCCAGCCTCTACCTCCGTAAGTGTCGAGTGCTCGGTGCTGGATTTGATCATTGCGGACCTTCAAGGTCAGGATTCGGCCTCCCCTTCCCCACGCGCTGCTTGGTGTTCCCTCAATTGTAGCCCTTAGGCATCACCTCGGACGAAGAACGAGGTGTGAGCCGAGTTTTGGGCGACAAGGACTATGGCGGAGAGTAGTGTCTCTTCGTGATTCCGCCTCGGAGCAGGCCCTTTCATTCCGCGTACTGTGTATGGTTATCGCATACCTGCCGGATGGACGATAACGCTCATACGCCGATCGTGCTTGTTCATAGACCTGTGCTCTGTGAATCACGAAATCTCGTCCTACTGGCGTGAAACGGTTTGATTTAGCCTCTTGCAGCACAGACCTCCAGAATCAAAATGTTTCTCCAGGAGTTGGGGTAAATCAGGGGTTTGTAGAAGCGAGATATGCGTAACGCTCTTCGTGTAAGCCGCGTGTTCGCGCGCGATAACGTCGAGAGGCATGCGTCTACTCTCTCAATGTTAGTACTCCGTAGCTGAGCAGGTGATGTGCTCGTAGTCGGTGCTATTGACAGCGAAGCGCGAGGCTGTGAATTTGCGGCAGGAAGGTTTGCCGTGCCGCTAGCGCGTAACATCAGCCTTGCGCACCTCATGCTGTTGAATCCGGAACTGCCTCGGTCACTTGTGCTCAACCCCAGTTGAGCCTACGTACGCAGGGGAGATATGTCGTCTTGTGCTGTCGACGAACAAGCACTCCATCACGATGACCCCTTCGGACCCTGACATCTCCGCTAAACTCTCCGCCCCCCCAAAGAAATCAATCTTCGAACGACAAAAGGCCGAAGCCGAAGCCAAGAAAGCGCGAGAGAAAGCAGAGACTGCAGCTGCCCTCGAAGACTTTGTCAAGAGCTTTGATGATGACGGGGATCAGCAGTCGAGCCTCCCTCCCAGGGCGGGAAGAGGTGCCTTTGGCTCTGGCAGCGGTAGTGGTGGAGGTGGCTTCGGGCCTTCAGGATCAGGGAAAAGACATTTCACAAGTTCAGGCTTGAAAAGTGGACCGGGAAGCCTGGGGCCGAGTCCGTCTGTGCCACGCAGCGGGCCCGGAAGCCTGGGACATGCGCCTGGCTATGGAAAGAAGAGGCAGTTCGACGAATACACTGGCCGACAAGATCGAGACCGAGATCGCGAGCGAGACCGACGGGACAGGATATTCTCTTATGGAGATGGGAGAGATGATAGCACCAGAAGAGCGATAGGCGGTTTCAGCCGAGAAGAAGATGAAGACATAAAAGATGCAGAGGACAAGGCTGCCGCAAAACCGACGTTGCATCTCTCATCTCTCCCTCCGGGGACGTCGCCCGCTATCATCAAAGGCTTATTTGCTCCCTCGCCATTGACGGTCGAAAACGTGCGCATCTTGCCGCCTCCGCCCACCTCAGGCATGGAACGCAAGTCTGTCTCGGCTATCGTCACACTCGCAGCTGAGACGCCAGCCACCGACATTGATACCATGGTGTCACACTTGCAGAACAAGTATCTTGGCTTTGGCTTCAATCTGTCAATCTCTCGCCATTTGTCCTCCACAGCCTTGACGGGCCCAGGTTCACTAAGCAACAACACCCCTTCGTTCAATCTCCAAAACCTGCCCTTTGGCGCAAAACCCATCTCTCAACATAGCTCCCTCTCACGCGCTCCCCCACCAGGCCAGGGACAGGGACGCTTCGCTCCGCCTGTATCGTATACGTCCTCGACGCCATACGGCCCACGCTCTGCAGCGAACAATTTGCCTCCCACACAAGTCAATGTACAAATCCCATCTGACCTCAAAGAATTGCGCCTGATCCACAAAACCATCGAGACTCTTCTAACGTATGGTCCGGAATTTGAAGCGCTCCTGATGTCTAGACCAGAGATCCAGCGCAACGAACAGTGGTCCTGGCTGTGGGACTCTAGATCCGTAGGCGGAGTCTACTATCGTTGGCGACTGTGGGAGATTTTAACGGGTGCAAAATCACGTCGAAAGAATCAGCAATTCTCAACGTACGGGTCGCGAAAACCACTTGGGGATGTCCTTTTCGAAGGCCAGAGTACGTGGGCGCCACCGAAGGAGAATCTCAAATTCGAATACACTACTCAAATTGAAGAGTTCATCTCCGACGAAGATTACAATTCATCGGACGAGGAAGATGTCGACGATGACAGAGGCGGGGGTCTGGCTGGACGATACCGCGATCATCAGAGAGTAGGCGACGACGACGTTGCCGGCGCACCGGCGGATAACGATGGTCAAGGTTATCTGAATCCGCTGGCCAAGACGAAACTCATACACCTATTATCTCGTTTGCCGGAGACGAACGCCAAGCTACGCAAGGGTGATGTTGCCCGTGTAACGGGTTTTGCCATCGAACATGCCGGAGCTGGAGCGGATGAGGTGGCGGAGCTGATCACGGAAAATGTGGTCAGACCATTCCGCTCCAGCGTCAAGCGACCAAAGGGAGATGAACCCTTCCAATCCGAAGGCTCAGATGGCGATGAGCACGAGAACGGAACTCCGAGACCACAACCGGGCACCGAAGATGATAATGAAGGGTCGACCGAGAAGAAGGATACAACGACGGATACTACTCCCTCCTCTCTAGTTGCCCTCTACATCATCTCTGACTTGCTCTCTGCCTCCTCCACCAGCGGCGTTCGCCATGCGTGGCGATATCGCTCTCTCATCCAGCACCATCTGCTCCGGCAAAAGACGTTCGAAGTCCTCGGGCAACTCCCTAAAAAGTACCAATGGGGCAAGCTGAGAGCGGAAAAATGGCGACGACAAGTCCAAGTTGTGCTTGGCCTATGGGAGGGGTGGAGCGTCTTCGAGGAAGCGAAGATGAGGGAGATTGAAAACAGTTTCCTGAATCCGCCGCTGACCAAAGAAGAGGAGCAGAAAAGGGCCGAGATTGAGGCAGAGGAGAAGAGAGACAAAGAAAAGTCTATTAATCGCTGGCGGAGTCTCGGTGATACGAAGGACGACAGTGCTCAGGCCACGCTTACCGGTGCCGACGTACGGGATAGTGACGTGGAAATGAACATGGACGGTGTGCCTATGGCTGAAGACGACGATGACAGAGAAACGGTCATGACTGATGAGAATATCGACGGCGTTCCAATGGCTGATAGCAGTGATGAAGAAGCCGAGCCGGTGCCACCTCCACCACCGCCTCCTGCAGAGGAGAGCGAGCCTCATGCAAAGTCAAAGGAGGCGGAGCCAGCACCAAACATAGCTGCAGACCAGGAAGCTGCCGCAAACTCTGTGCATGCGCCGCTCATGTCTCAGGGTCGGCGGGTTCGGCCAAAGGCTGTGGACTTTGACGATATGTTTGAATAGGAATAGGAATCAGACAGGGAGGCGAGTCGCTAGAGTCTGAATGGTCCTCTCATGATTGACCTTGGTATGGTTGGTGGTATAATATGCCTGGTCCTGCCTCAAATCTATGTCTACGGCTATTCCTGCCACTTCCAATTGTTGTGGATTGATTCCCTTTACCACCAGAAGTCATGGGTCCTTTACGCATTATGTTCGTCCGCGCACGACTCTGTTTGGGTTTGCGCCGCTGGTCGCCTTCCTCGACTCGACTCTTGGACTCTCGGGGATGTCACTGCTCAAAGTTCCCATGGGCCTCCCCATTCTTAACACATTGCCTGACGTCTCGCTGAACACGAGGGGTCATTGTCAAAGCAGATCCAGCAGAATTCCGGGCCCAGTACATGATTGCTAGGTAGGATCCCAGTTAATCCACCTCCCCGAAAAACGCCTGCTAATATTCACCATTGCCATCTTTTTGGCTGCTTCCCTATGTACATCACTCCTGTTCGCGCTTTGTGCCGACTATCATCAACTCAATGTTCTCACCCTCCCACTTTCCGAATTTCCTGGCTGGCAGTTTCTGCTCGAACATCAAGTCAAGCTGGAGCGGCGTACGTCCGAGCATCTCCGGAATGAGATACCAGACCGCAACAAGGGTGAGCAGGCACAGTCCTGTCCAGACGAACCCGATTTTCGACCGCAGATTGCCCGAGTCGGCATTGTAAATGTAGGGAGTCACGGTGCTGAAGACGAAATTCGCCAGGCCACCTGTCGCCCATCCTACACCTTGACTCCTGGCACGAAGCCGGAGAGAGGATGCTTCGCCCCCGATAACATAAGATGCTGGCCAGATGCCCAGGGCAATGGTGAAGGTGACGACATTCAGAGTCACTCCGACGTACCTGGGGAGAATTAGCTTTCGCGAGAATGGGATGGGTTTGGGAGATGTTGGTTGATTTACCATGGCGAAACGCTCGAGTCGAAGCATCCAGCGATGCCCACTGCAGGACAGGGTCAATATACACTCGGTACAGATAGATCTAGGGAAATGGCAAAAGTGACTTACTACCCAACCACATGAGAACCACGGGCGCCAATGTTACGAGGGAGAGTCTCCTCCTCCCGATGAACGTGAGCAGCCACATACTGATGAGGGTCCCAAGAAGACCACCCACGATTCCGGCGATGAGAAATATCAAGCTGTCGTCGGAGTCCATGCCGGCGATCTGCAGGAAGTAAGGGCCGTCGCCCAGGATCGGCAGTCCGATGAGTTGTGGCATGACGGCCGCGAACATCACAAGAATGGTACGACGTCTGTCAACGCCTTTGAAACAGTCCATGTACGTGGTCTCATCGGAGCTAGCGGACTCTTGCTCATGCAGGATGAGCGCTTGAAGCTCTTCAATGCGGCCTTGTGTGTCCTCGTTGGCTCGGTCGAGACGCTTCTGTGCCTTGAAAGCGGCTTCGAGTTTCCCCTTGCGGACGAGGTAGACAGGACTCTCTGGCAAGAGGAGAGCGACGATCAGCGGAACTGCTGAGAATGGCCATTGGGAAATGATGCACATCCGATATGACGTCGGCCCTTCCGTGTCTTCGGCGGCGAAGACAATTACTGCAGAGATGAGCTGGCCCAACAAAAAGAACACAGGGAAGAAGGCGATGACCGGTCCTCGCAGGGTCGACGGCAAGAGCTCAGACATGTAGGTCTGCGTCGCAGTCACGACCACGCCGATGGCCAAGCCCATCAGCACCTTGCCCAGCAGGAATATGCCCTGAGGACTCCCGCTGTACTGCGAAGCCCAGACGACTGCTACTCCCACTGTTGAAGAGATAGTCCCCAATCCGAGAGAGAGACGACGGCCAAAGTGATCAAGCAGGAAACCGCCGGCGAGGGCTCCCAGCACCATCCCGATGGGGCTCCCAGCATTCCAAGCACTCATCCATCTGGACTCTATGATCCACTCGTCCTCGTAGAGCACGCCATAGTCATGTCTGGGCAACACGATGTCAGTGCAAGTGCGAAATCTGGGACGCCGATAAACGCACTGGAATTCTGGTAGAGAAGCAAGGTTCCCGACCATCGCCATGTCATAGCCCCATAGCAATATCGCGGTCGTCAAGGCAAGGCAGTATCCCGCCACCTTGGGCCATTTCCGAATGGCTTGCCAGAGTGATAACTTTGCTTGAGCGGGAATCCCGTTCGGTGGAGCGTCTTCGACGTGCATGACTGGGCCTTTGTCTGTGTCGCTTGCTTCCATCGGACAGCCTCGAAAATGTCCCGGACCGGAAAAGGCGGCACCTCACTGTTGACAGAGGACGACAACACAGGACCGGCCGTTGCCTTCTGGTTATCAGAGAGTGTTGGGTTGATGGACGCGCAATCTCTCGAGGCGCACGGGTCCACACAACAATTGAGGTTTCTGAGGTAGAGAGAAGACAGAGTTCAGCCAAAATCCGGGGTAAGGTTTACTCCATCCCTTGTAGCAAAAGAGCTTGCTGCGCCTTCGCAACTCCGAGCGAAATCGCAGTTGGCCTGACCTTTGCCCCCCTCTTCATGGCTCAGAAGGCCAGACTTGGCACCAAAAGCCAAGCAGAGATTGCGAGTCGCTGAATCGATCTGACGCGTCGAGCCTTCCACCGTGGATGAATAACGTGAGAGTCGGCGGGTTGCAGAAACTCTTCATAGAGGATACCCCACATTCTGGAAGCCCGGGATCGACGGGGTGGCTACTGTAAGAGGAGCCTAGCACCCACCTGGGAAGCCTAATTTCGCACCCCTAGAGCTAAAGCTGGAGGGCAAGCTTCCCAACAGCCGAGGCTTGACGGAGCCTATGAACCAGCTAGGCACGCCTAGCACCATTGGCTTGGGGCTGGTGACAAAGCCGCGCCCACACGCCTTGCTCGGTTCTCAAGACATGAGATATTTCAAGGATATTGGATGAGGTCCACCAATCCGCTAACGAAGTTCCCGCCTTCAAAAGCCCAGGGCATACCTCATACGGAGTACAGACGTGTGCACTGTGGAACTGTCAGCAACGAGGCTGCATAGATTAAGGGGCTGCTTAGGCGGAACCCCCTAGGCGGCGAGGCGGTGCATCACAACATACTGTACCCTACATATCTCGCCCCAGCAAGGCAAGGCCAAATTTGCCAAGGGCGGGGCTATTATTGGAAACACAAAAGTTCAAGCTTGACGTACGGAACTCATCGACTTTGCAGTCTGCTCATGTCTGTACGCCGTACGATAAGCATAAGCACGCGTCTCATGAATTATGCTGCCTGGTGCAAGAAGTTGAAAACCACATATCGAGCCAGCAAGGAATGGCGCGCACGAGAGGATGTCTGCGTAGTTGCAGCATTGCCAGCAATAGCATTCTGAAACACGCAGCTCGCAATCAACATGGCCGATATATCTGAGGGGGTCGCTAGGCCCAAGGGACGCGTCAAGTCTTGTACATCATGTCGCCAGGTAAAAGTATGTATGAGTCCTGTCCTCTGGCCCGACTTTCCCGCTGATGCGTGGTCGCAGCTGCGATGCGATGCCGTGACCAAATTTCCGGCTGCTTGCTCAAGATGCAAAGCACATGGACTGGACTGCAGGATCGACTCGAACTTCAAACGCGTCAGCGTCAGAGGGTATGATGCTCCCCACCATGGGAGGAGAGAAGGCATGAACGTTCTGGCTAACGCGTCACCGTGTTCTTTCCCAGGCGACTGGAGGAAATGTCGCGGAAGGTCAACAGTCTTCAAAGTAACCTTTCGCATCAGACGCCGGAGTCTCTGTGCGCTCCTTCTTCGGTAATTCCTCTCGGACCGGGAAGCACCACCTCGGCCACATCCTTCTCAGGTGAGGATTGGCTGGTGCTGTCCGACTTCGATGTGAACCAGAACAGAAGCTGGTCTCTGGGAGACGTCGTGCTGGGTTACCAGAATGTTTCCGAGCTGTTGCACTTGTAAGTCGATCGTGAAAAGCTATCTTTACGGATGACGCTGAAGGGAGTGAGCAGCTATGCACTTCACTACTACGACCATCTGCCGATATTGGACAAGGTGACATCGATTTCAGCATTGCATGACCCCAATCACCTCCTCTTTTGGACCGTTTTGCGGGTCGCATGCTATCGACACCCAAGATTCAGCCACGTCTTCGAACTGAGCTGGCAGCCTTATCGGCTCCTTCTTATGAGCCATCTCGTTGCCATCATCCATGACTTTAGAACAATCCAGGCGATCGTCATCCTTTGTCACTGGCCGAATTCTGGACCAAGACAAAGCCAGGACCCAAGCTGGCAATATTGCGGCATTGCATTGAACGCGGCGATGCAGATGGGTATGGACCAGCCACACCCCGAAAAGATCTCCCCTGGGTTTCATGGCCGATCTAACGTCCATCAAATGAGTGTCTATTCACGGCACATGACCTGGCTGGCGTGCTTTCATATCAGCACAAGGTATGCTCCGCGTCCAAGCTTCCACCAAGTAGGCTGACTTTCCCCAGTCTCAGCGTATGGCTCGGTGTTCCACCCCATCTCTCGTCGCCTGCCCAACTGAACGCTATTTCATCCACGGCCAAGGAACCCGACGTGCCGCAGCAGCTCATGGTGCAAATCGAAATTCAACGCCAAGTCGTTCAGTACTCGACGTCTCTTGCCGGCGACGTCGACGCAGGTACCGCCTCCACTCTTCTCAATCTCTTCAATAACGAGCTAGACAACCTGTACAATGCGTTTCGAGAGATATGGTCTTCGAGGCTCGAGATTCAATTGCTGGGCGCCAAACTGTATCTCTTCTCCTTGTGTCTCACGGTGGTGACGAGACGGCCGGGTAGGATGGCCGAGCATTACGTTCCTGACCCATCGAGATTGCCGGTCCAACTTGGCCTTCCCACAGCGGTCTCTTTGATCCACAACATCTCCAAGCTGAACAGAGAATCGTCATTGGAGCCACGTCAGTCTGCATCAGGAGTAATACACTATCCGAAATTCTATTTCCGCTTGGTAGTGTTCGCCGTGGGGTTCCTGATGAAGTTCCTCAGCACGAACCCAAACGCTTCGCAAGAGGATAGAGAGCTTGCCATCTCGCACATTATGACGGCGCATCAGTTCTTCTCGAGCTTTCCGACTGGGGAAGACTTTGCTCGAGTTGCCCAAGCAATTGAAGTGCTGGCGAAAAACCTCCGGTCGGACAAGCAAGACGACTCTGATCCGATAAGAACCCGATCTGGGGCGTCTTTGTTGTATGACATTTTCCAAAAGTTTAGAGGGCAGACAGATCGTGTCGGAGGAGACGACAATACCACCATTACTGGGGCACCGATCGAGCCTTGGAAACAAATTGACGATGCTTCGAGGACGACATCGCTAGGCACCATGAACCCTGGCACGTCCACGTGGGCTTCAGCTGGGACCTACGGCGAGCTGTCAAGTTTTCAACCAGGCTTGGAGGAGAGTCTCGATAATCTCCAATGGATGTCGGATGACATGCTCTCGGAAATGTTCAGGATGTGAAGGTGATATGGCACCTCGGATATATACGCCCTCTGGCTGTGTGTGAGAAACATGTTCTCGGGCACAGTCGAGAGGTATCTATGAGTTTTACAGCGTGCCAATTCAACATCATTCCAGCCAAGCGTATGCCATGGTGTCGAAGCAAAGCCTGGGTGCAGTATCTGATATGACATTATTTCGCCCTGCACCGTTCGATAAATCCAGGCGGATCCAGACCAAGTCGTCGCGCCAAGGTCGTAGAATAAAACGGATTCCGAGTCGGAGTGATCGCTTTGCTGGACTTTCGCCTTTCCACAATAAATAGACGAAACCTCCGAGGCAACGAGGCTTGCAGTGATTGGCGCGTTTCACAAAAATGGATTCAGTCCAGGCCTGGATGCGAACATCGGCTTTCCAGCCGCATGGCAATTGGTCGCTCAATTGCGGTTTCGCCCCGACGAGCGAAGGGTCGACTTCCAACGAACAGACGCGCCTGTCTGCCACGGCTCAAACTTATGCGATGCGGGACACCCATAGTATGGAGTATACGAATGGGATACCCTGGCCAAGCACAGTTCTCGACTGTACAGTCTCAAGCGACGGCCCCGAAGGCATCATTGTCCGGCGCCGGGATGCAGGGACGGGATCATCTATTCCTTTTAAAGAAGACGGATTGATGCTGCATGAACGTCTTGCCTTGTGCCTTGGAGAGTTGTTAACCACGAACCCAGCCTTGAGGACATCTCCTACTACTTCCGCCCTTGACAAAACAACACCAATCGAATATGGCCCCGTATATCGACGGGGACGCCCAAAACGGGGTGTCCGCAGCTCCTGAGCCAGGCCGCCTTTGTCAGATTGTCACTCCCGTCGGAAACCTGGGATACGGCTTCGTTGAATCCCAGGTCGTTGCAGAGTTGGAGGGTCTGGCGAGTGTGCCCACTCCCACTGCCATCATTCTCGATGCCGGTTCAACAGATTCAGGGCCATCGAGATTGGCCCTGGGCATCACAGCCGCGCCGAGAGGCCACTACGTGCGCGACTTGGGCAAACTCCTCAAGCTCGTCACCAAGTACAAAGTCCCGTTGATGTTCTCTTCTGCGGGCGGCGACGGCAGCGACGAGCATGTCGACCTAATGGTGGATATCATCCGAGAACTGGCAGAACTGCCTGAAAACAAGTGAGTCTCTAGCTCACACCAGCCAAAACGGGCAAGCACTGATGTGGTACCACCAGATCCTATAAACTCAAGGTTGTGTCCGTGTACTCGACCGTCGCGCATGATCGGGTCTCCAAGAGGCTCCAAGCAGGCCATGTCGTCGGTTGTGGACCGTGTGTCCCGGCGCTGACGCAGGAGGACATCGACGCCACCCCGAGAATCGTCGCTCAAATGGGTCCCGAACCCATCTTGCAGGCGATGGTCGCGAACCCGGATTTCGACATCATGGTCGTGGGCCGGGCGTACGATCCTGCTCCATACATCGCATTCGCGGCGTATCACGCGCTGAAGGGGACTTCCACAGACCTGAAATCGCTGTCCAAGGAAACTCTCGGCGCGTTCGTGCATATGGGCAAGATCCTGGAATGCGGAGGCTCGTGTGCCCGGCCCAAGAGCCAGGCTGCCTCGGCGTACCTTTACGACGACAACTCGTTTGACATCATCCCCCTGGATCCGCAGGCCGCTTGCGTCCCGCTCAGCGTCGCGGCCCACACGCTGTACGAGAAGAGCAGACCGGACATCCTCCACGGCCCGGGCGGGTACATGGACCTGACCAAGACAACGTACGAGCAGCTCGTCGACGAAAGGACAATCCGTGTACGCGGCGCCACGTTCGAGGCCTACTACGACCAAGGCGAACGATACACGGTGAAGCTCGAAGGCGGGCGGCTCAGGGGCTATCGCACGGTTTTCATGGGCTCCTTCATCGACCCCATCCTCGTCGGCCAGCTGGACAAGGTCATCGCGCGGATCAAAGAATATGTGACGTTCCAGCACAAGCACATCACCGAGAAATGGGACCTCGAGTTCCACGTCTACGGCCGTGACGAGAATTGGACGGGCGAAGGTCGCCCATACTCCGGCAGCAAGGGCATTTTCGTCGTGGGCGAGGCCGTGGCGGAGTCCCAGCACGTGGCGACGAGTATCTGCGCGTCGGCGCGCATCGGATGCATCCACGCCCCCTACCAGGGCCAGAAAGCCACGTCCGGAAACTTCGGGTTCGGGCTGGGAGGCAAGAACGAGATCGAGACGGGACCCTGCACCGAGTTTTCGGTCTACCATCTGCTCTCGCTGGCCGAGGGCGAGGAGGGCGCCGTGGCAGCCGAATCCCACGAGGCGGGTATCGCCAACACGGTCGACGGCAAGCCCCTGTTCCACTGGACCACAGTGAGCGTGGGCAAAGGCGAGGCCGAGCCAGCGGCGGCAGCCGAAGACGCCGCGTCGTCCACGAACGGTAGCGCGAAGAAAGACTACAAGCCGGGCATGTTCGAACTGGCGCCGATCCCGGAGAATCCTCGCTTCCTAGCGGACATTGCGCCCGTCGTGCGGTCCAAAAATTCAGGCCCTTACGAGATCACGGTGGACATCTTATTCTCGATGCCGGAGGTGTATGAGCTGGTCAAGGCTTCGGGGATTCTTACCACCGAGGTGGTTGCCACGCTGTACGGTTTGAGAGTCGACGAGATGGTGTGGTGCGGCTTCTTTGATCAGGCGCTGGCGTTCAAGGCCACGTTCCCGAGGAAGAGGAATGGTCGGATGTGTGCTTCGGGGGGTTTCCTGGAGAATGATATGCATGGGAGCCAGCAGTACATGAATTTGATGGAGTTGCCTTTGGGCGAGGAGCTGGAGGGCAAGTTGGCTAAGGTGTTGAAGACGGCGACGTAGCTTGAGTGGTAGGCGGCGAGGGGAGGGAAGGGAGGATGGCTAAGGTGTTGACGACGTCCCTCCTCAGTGGCGGACATTACGTCTCTGTAGTGTGATTGAACGGTAGCAACGCGAGTTGAGACAGGGATGAGATGAATGATGAATGAGCTGAGGGGAAATTATCCAAAGTGTTGAAAACTGCTTGATATGAGAACCTCTAGAAGTAAGGATATCGAGTAGCGCATGGCGCGCAGTGAACATGAAATACTAGTACCTTGAGATTCATCGGATCGCCATAAAGTCCCCTTCCACGCCGTTCGACCGTCCGAGTACTGTGAACCAAGTCTTGTCCTGCGGTGGGTGGTGGCCACGAGGCTGCACAGAGTTTGATTTCATCAGCCGGAGCCCCAGAGGGAGGGACCATACTTCTCGAATGCGGATCGACCATTTAACCTTCTCCACGATCAGAGTCTGAACCTTGACTTGCAGCGCCCTTTTCCATGTCCTGCAACAAACTCGTCCACGCTTTTGATGTGGCTGACTCGGACGCTGGCCTGACGTGCTTGTGCTTGTGCTTGTGCTTGTTCATCCGAGGACGGGGCGTCCCTTGCGGTGGTATCAAGCCCGTGTTGGCGAAGAACACGCTGACTGCATGCCCTCAAGGTTCTCGCTTTGATGGCTTAAATTTCTTGTACGATAAATATCGACATTTACAGAGAGGTACTCCGTAGTTGGCTAGAATGGCTGTCACGTTCTTGATCAAGACGTAGTAATTACATAAAGCAGACCAGACTTTCCGGCACCGGGCAGCTCACGGCTCACGCGGAGGCTGAGGCTGAACCAAGTTCCAGGTTCGGGCCAAGAGACATGCATGATACGAGCATCTCGAGGATACATACTAGAAATTACCTGGGCAAAAGCGACAAGCTGCTGTGCGAAGCTGCTTACCAAGGCTGTGGCCACAGTCGGGCTGAATACTCCGTACCATGGATACCGATATCGACCAACATTCACCACTGTCGGGCTAACCCTTGCTATCACCTTTCTTGTCCATGTCGATGTCTGTCATGCGACCACCATAAATAAATCAATGTTCACCTGTGGACTGTCCTGTGCTGTTGGTGCAGACAAGCTCACGGTCCAGTGTCCATCTCGCCTCATCTGAGCCGTAGGGGGAAGGATGGATAAGGACCACCAATGTTTCATCACAAGGCGGAGGGTGTCATCATTGATATTGAGGCAGATATGTATATAATTCGGTTGTCGCTTGCTGGCTGTGTAATCTCGCGGTGTGTGTGAATCTAACTCTATTTTGGGTATATCAACATATCCATGGCCATGCACGTGAATATGATACAATGCCTGCATGCGTACGTGCCGAGTCATCAACCGTGTCTTCCCAATCCCTTCCCTCTCTGCTCGTTGTTCCCAGCCTATGTTTTCCCATCCCAACTCCGTTCCAAAATGCTTCCTGCCCTGAAAAGCCGCCTCGCCTTCATCTAGACCTTCGGTCCGAGGTCATGCGGCAATCACACCATACTTGCTGGCCGCTGCTCCATGACGAAGCCCTCTTGGCTCCCCGTATCGACCTCCTTGTACATTTGCACACTCTTCTTCGTGCGCAGGTGGAACCCGGCCTCGACCCACAACTTCGCTCCAATCACCCAGCCGGGATGGTAGGCGGTGAGCAGGCCGACGGCCACAAAGATCATGGGGCCCTCCAGGATCATGAACTCGAGTTCATTGTTGGCGAGCTTGCCGTCAAATCCCTGCTGCAGCTCCGCAAGCCGGTAGACGGATCTTACTAAGATCGTGAGTACCGCGACCGCAATGGCGATCAGCATGCCCTTGAAGCGGCGGGAGTTGCGGAGTGTGGTGAACTGCGGGTCCAGCTTAATCGGGTTCTTGAGCACCTTCCAGCCAAAGTGTGCGCAGATGGCAATGAAGATGACCAGCGACACAACTTGTGAAGCCAAACCCGCAATCATGACGTTTATGCCCACTTGGTTGTCGGCCTCGGTGTCGGATGTGGAGGCGATGGCGCCGCCGGCGGCCTGAAGGAGCAGCGAGACGAAGTCGCAGAACACGAAGATGAGCGTAATGGCTCTGGGGGAGAGGAGGCTGAGCTCGATGGCGTAGAGGGTGATGATCCGGCCGAGGCACAGGTAGATGGCGGCCGTGAGGAACGCAGGTCCGATGGTTAGACCGATCAGGTAGATGATGAAGGAGTTCTTGTCGAAGATGTTGTCATGCAGCATGATGCGGCCAATGTAGCCGACGATTTCGAGCGCGAGACCACACAGCATCCCGACGAGGTAGCCCCATGTTTTGTGGCGGATGCCGAGGAAGAGCTGGGAGAAGAGGAGCACGCCGAAGATGCCAGCGTAGATGACGTTGCCGGCGAGGTTGGGGATGTATTGGATTTGACCGTACTCTTTGACCGAGCATGTGGCTAGCGTGCAATCCGCGCTGTCGAATGTGGTGGAGTTTGCCATTGTGGGTGAGGGAGAGGTCGTTGTACGGGAACGATCGGGTGGAGATGAGAGAACACAAGGAGAAGAACTGACGGCTGCTGAAGCTGGAATTGTAGTGAATGTGGTTGCAAGCTGGTATCAACTGATGGATGGAATGGAACGGAGAGGGACGAAGTACCATGCTATATACTTTGAACAACCCATATCAAGGTAAACGGGTTGTATGACCCCTGGCCGAACCTGACCCATAACAACACCAGAAAGGAATTGGAAAAGCCAACCACAGCCTCGTTGGTTGTTTGATTGTAATCGCAATAGCGAACACTGCTGCTGTGCTGTGATGTGCTGCGCCATCCAACGACGTTTCAAGCGGCATACGGAGTGCCTGAGGTCTGTATGTGGTCCAGAGTCCGAGTGCGAGCAGGCAGAACAATTCAGATCCGACAGCGTGGTGAGCGGATCTCATTGTGGGTACGAACGTGTTGAGATACTGGGGTGCTGTGTGCAGGGTATGTATTATTTTGGGACTCACAGATCATGAACAAGCCTCCTGGTGAGTGTCCGGGCAGGCATCGTCTGCCGTACTGCGTGCTTCGTGCTTCGTATTTCGTGTCGGAAAAAGCTTCGCTGCGAGAAGCGAAGTTGAGTGACACCGCAAGGGAGCACCTAAACAGATTAGCGGCCAGGACGGAGCCAGTAAAGTTAGGCAGCGAAGGCAGCGACGAAACTACCCGCAGTAAGCCTGGCGTTGCTGGCGGGGCAGGCACGGGCTGGGTAAGGCCCCCTCAAACGCTACCCTAGTGCCCACTAGAGGCCGCCCTCGAAGGTGTCGGTGCTCTGCTAGTGGGACCGAACGTTGTGTTCTGGGGGGCGGTGCCGGTGCACTGTTATTGGTCTGCTCGGACCGCTGCGCAGAATACGGAGTAGGGACACAGTGAGTGCCGCAGTTTCAGACATGGCTTCACTCGCATACGCAGAGCAGAAGGATTGTTGACCGCAGGGAGATGTGTAATTGTTTGTCACTGCTTCTATCTATCTCTGCCTCGAATCAGAACGCAACGGGAAGCATTGGACGGGGACTCCCTTGCGTCCACGCGTCTGATGGACCAAAGTTTTCTCCATTCCCTTGCCAAGCTCGGAACTCGCAATGAGATATGCTGCTTTCTACAGAGATTGCCTGTGGTAGCATGGGCGTTTCGCCCTGACAAATACCCGGCATTGGATATTGTCGCCGAGACGAGAGCATGCGCACTGGCTACTCGCCCGGGTCCGACCGGCTTGATGTTGCGGCTGCAAGAACGAGGGTACTGTATCTCTCTTCTTGGTTGATTCCTGGACGCATCTACTGTTCACTGCATCAGGGTTCGGTCTGGGTTAGTGCACGAGATGTCGGAACTTGATGGCTGTGGCAACGAAGGCTTGGTCTTCAGGATCTGACAACAACCCCGTTCTCTCTTGAAGTAATTCTATGTGTCCTATCTAATCACATGACAGAGTGCGAGATGGAACCACATCCGCTGCTTCATTGAAGAAAGTTTGTGCAGCCCGACGTCCCCCATGTGGGACGATGATCGGAGGCCTTAGCGCTAGGCGCTGGGAACTGATTGTTGAAGGTTCACGGCTCTCATTACGTCTTTAGTCTCTGAAGCACCGTCTTGCCTCGCGAACCCGTTGAACCGAACACCCAAGTCTCGCTCCTATTGACTCCCGTCCCCCAAAATTCCGCTCGCCAGCACCTTCCAGGCCCAGGTCGCCCATCCCCACCTCGAGCTGGTCGACTCATCCTCCTTTCCTTCATCGACGCCAAAAACCACGGAATATCTACTGGCACGATCATGGACAACTTGATCATGGTCGAGAACTGCATATCGGAGCCGGTTCTGCAGCTCATTCTTAGCTGTGCCGAGTTGGTGTCCGTGGCGGTGGCAGAGACACAGCCCGGCAAGTCGCTCAACCTGCTCATTCGTGATCTTGTTCGGGGTCATTGATTGCATGGCTTCGAGGACTTCGCGCACCTGGGCCGGATGGTCTGGGAAATGAGAGCCAATCGCCCATCTGCATCGTCCTTTCATTTTGTTGGGGACCCGGCCGATGCACACGATTTCATTCCGCCCTTCATCCGTGATATGAAAGACCACATCGGGAACCAGCGGTAGGGATTGGTGGACATGATGCTAGTGCTAGGGGCGGTGAATCGAGGGATCGAGAATGGATTGGAGCGCAGTGAAGAAGTTGTAGATGTGGGCGGCTGTTACTGTGGGTTGCTGTTCCGGGAATTGATTATTGTGTCCGTTAGTATCAATGCTCGGTGTATGGTGCATGGATCTACTGAATGACCCGGTTAGTTGAAGTCCTTTATATAGGAAAGATAGCAGGCGGCAGAGCCAGGCAGTTGATTCATGGCGAGAAGGGACTTGCGAAGCCCATCTAACACATGTTCAGCAAAAGACAAGGAGGATATTTCTAGGAGAGCCACAGGTGAAAGAAACATCTCAGACACTGATTCTGGCAATGAAAGATCACTTGTCTCCGGGAGCTGAAACCAGTTTACTTAAACAACCGAGCACCGGGGACCTGTTTCTAAGAAGAGCTGGTGAGATTCATGCCGCTGAGTTGGAATGTAGTGGCATTTTGCTCGGGCAGGTTCCTTGCCGGCGAGACAATTGAGACATGGACAAAGGGACCTAGTCCCGGCTTGTGGCTGCATGCCCACGACAAATCGAGAGCTAGTCTCCGTGTCCTTCTTACCCAATTCCCGCTCCAAACTATCGAATCCAAAGATAGCCCGAGAGATGCAAGACGCTGGATGGATTGGCGATAGGTGATTCGTATCTTTTGCGTGAAATAAAAGTGGACGGGAGACGCGCATCCAAGGTCGCAAAAGCAGTCGGATACCTTCGCTGAGTTGGCACGACTGATACAGAGAACGGAGGCTCATGGAGCAGCAAAGATAGTGGTATCATCCTGTACGGTTGAGGTCTCTCCAGGTCGTTGTAGAGAAGATGCAGAATGTTTGTGGGCCAAGTCTCTTAGGCGCGCCTTCCATCGTTTGCTGGCTTCGAGCTCCGTGCGGGCTCTTTCCCTTTCCAGCTGCGTCTGCAAGGCTGCATTGGCGAGCTGAAGATTGTTCGTTGTAGCGGTTGCTTCGTCCAATTGATTGCGATGTCGTTCCAGCTCGCTTCTTGTTGCTGTAAGCTCTTTGGTGGCTGTCAGATGCTGCTCATGCAGAGTTGCGAGCACCTGGATCTGCACTGACAGGTTCTGCTCCGTGGTCTGCAGATGTTCCCGGAGAGTGATGTTGGATTGCTGGAAGTTTCTTGCTTGTGCTTCGGTTGTGGACATGGCTTGCAGAAGCTCTTCTACTCGGAGACGGAGCGCTGTCTCCACGACGTTGTTGTCCTGCAGTTGTGCTTGCAAGTTTGCAATGGACAGGTTGAATTCTACATTCGAAGTCTCCTTATCGGCGATCTTGGCTTTCAGTTCCTGGGGCCCGACCTCCCGTTGCTGGACATCAGCTTGAGACTGTCGCAAGCTCTCCTGTAGTTCCTGAAACTGCGCCTTGGAACCCTTCTATTTGGCTTGGAGCTCCTGAATACGGTTCGCCGACATTCGATCCTTGTTTTGAACGTCCTCCGCCGTTGCGTTCACCAGCATCGTTTTGCTCTTTTCGCTTGCGAGGTCTGTTTCAAGCTCACGAATCTGTTGGTCTTGGTGGGAAGCATCGTCGAGCGTCCTCTGCAGCTCCCGAGAGATTTGCTCATCTTGACAGTTGTCGTCGACACCGAGCTTGTTACATGGGCTTCTGCGGAAGGCTTTGAATTGGAATTCCAGCCTCTGGATAGACGCATGTAGGGAAGAGGCTTCGGCGAGGCGATCCCCCAGTTCTACCCGAACGACTTCTCTGTCGCTCTTGTGGCGGGCGCATCAGCAAAGGTCAGCCAACGTATCGAGCTCGGCATCGAAGACACAGGTTGGCCGATGGTTTTCCATGGTAGCAAGTAAGTCTTGCACTTGTCGGCGCTTTCTCCGATTGGACGTGGTGGACCGCATGCATCGCAACCACTCTCCTTCTGTTGACCGTAGCAGCCCTTGGCAAGGGACTTCCTCGTAGTGCGGTTCCATGACGTGTAGAACCATGTTGGGTTTCCAATGATACGCTGCCATATTGCATCTGTCTGTGCGATCTTTGGAAAAGGTGAAGCTGATGGCAAGAGATATGGAATAATAAGAAACGATGTGAGCCAATGAAACCAAATAGCGGACTGAGCACGTATCCTATATGCTCCGTTGCTTACTCCCGAATGGAATGGAATCGGCGTGATGACCATGGCCCAGCAGGTCGCGACCGTCGGTAGAGGGGCCACATTTTGGCTGAGCCAAGCGCCAGCAATGAGACGCGACGTATTCTACCTCGAGTACGCCTCGGGTTGAGACGAGCCTTCCTCCTTCAGCAGACTATTGTCTGCGACCAAGCCACTTCTCAGCCTTCGCCGCAGACGACGAATTGACCTACTTCGCGTTGGACACCTGCAAGCGCCTCGCAGCTCGGTGAGCGTGCCGAAAGCCCACGAAACAGAAGGTAGGCAAGCGATTCGCAGCATTTCATGTCGCAGATAAGGCAATGATACCACCGTAGCGCGTTGGTGGCAGCGAACACGGCAACCGACAGGTTGATGAAAAAGTGGTAGGATTGTAAATTGGGCACACCGTCTCGAGTCGCGTTCGCAGAATGAGAACGTGAGAATCATGACTCGTGCGCGGGTGTCGGCGGGACATGAATGACTCGCGGAGGCATTCATCCCACTTCTTCACGAAGGGACTTCCTCCCACTGCCAACTCAAATGCCTAGATTTGAGTCCGCCCCCAGAAATTGAGTACCATTTTCGGGCTAGATGAAGTTGGAATGCACAGGGCTTTGCGAAGGTGTCCGGATCTGATCCGCCTATGTGGCCAGAAGACTATGCTCCAACTGTGCCAGCTTTGACAGCATCATCTACCATCAGCTGACTGGCCCCGAGATAGTTGACTGGATCACAGAGACCTCGCAGTTTTTCCTCAGGCACATGCTTTGTAACTTCCTTCTTTGTCTTTAACACATCAAGTAATCCCTTCTGCGTCTCTATCGACTCCTTGCAGGCTTCGTACACGATGTCGTGAGCCTGTTGCCGACCCACAAACGGAGCAAGTCCCATCATAACAGCCTCTCCAACAATCAGTCCTTTCGTCGATGATAAGTTTCGCATCATCGCGTCAGTATTGACGACAAGGCCACTGAGCGCGAAGTTCATTTGGTGCAGTGCGCCTACAGCCAGAACGAACGCTTCGGATATGGCCACCCACTCTAAATGCCAAGGACCGGAGGCTCGCTCGAAATCGGTTACCATCGCGTCGAGCACAAGGCCTGCATTTGCTCGCAGAAGCTTTGAGGCCGCCAATATGACTTCACTCGAGATCGGGTTTCGCTTCTGCGGCATGGTCGAAGATGCTCCGCGATGAGGCACAAATGGTTCAGACACCTCTCCCAGCTCGTTCGAAGACATGATGATAAGGTCATACGCGATCTTGCCCAATGATCCTCCGACCAGGGCCAGAAAGTTGATAATTTCGGCCACGTTATCCCGCGCGACGTGCCAAGTGATGGTGGGGTTTTCGAGACCGAGTTCCCTTGCTAATTGCTCCCTGACACGGAGACCTGTGTCGTCGGAGCCCAGGGAAGCCAGAGTGCCACCAGCACCGCCGAACTGAACTAGAAGACACCGCTTCTCAATCTCACGCAGTCGCTCAGAATGACGGATGATGCTGGAGAGATATACTGCGCATTTGTAACCGAAAGTGGCCGGTAGAGCATGCTGCAGATGTGTTCGGCCAGCCATAGGAGTGTCCCGGTATTTATGCGATAGATTTCGTAGTATGCCCTCGAGCTCCCGCAAGTGCCGCTTGACTATCTGCAACCCTTCACGCATCTGGATCATGGACGCATTGTCCATCTGCAACAACCTGGGTCAGAAGAGCGTGGACAAAACGTATTGATGATGTGTATGAGACTTCTCAGCGCAGTTACTGCGAAGCCGTTAGGCATCCATAGCGACTTACGATGTCTTGGGTTGTCGCTCCCCAGTGGATGTATTTTCCCATTTCACCTGATGCATGCTCAACAAGTTGGCGCACGAGAGGAAGCACTGGGTACCCTACAATCTCAGTCTCTCGTGACAGGCGGTCAAAGGCGAGGCTAAGCACGTCTGATAAGCCGGGAGTTCAGGCAAGGATCTGAGACTCACAGAAAGCGGTCATTGGTAAGTTGCTTCTTGAGGATCTCGCCTGCTTCGACGGGGATAACGCCAGTCTTGGACTGCGCAAGAGCTAGTGCGATCTCCACTTCAACCATTCGCCGAGTATACGCTTCATCGTCAAACACAGCTCGAATCTCCTTCGTGCCAAAGAGATCCCTGAAGAGGCGTGAATCAAGCGCAGACACAGACATGTCGAGAAAGAGTAGCAAACAATGAGAGCTACTACCTGGGAGTCCCACGTCGAAGACACAGGTAGCGGAAGGGAGGCTTTGCTTGATTCTGCCGATATCAACGGAGAATCTCCCGATACTGGGACGCCCCGGGCTTTTTTAATCACTAGCAAACCGACATTGACCTGCCGTGCCGTGCGTGCCTGCTCATGCCGGTGTGGGGCCGACATAAGCCTCGTGAGGGGAGAGCTTTTCGACGAGGCTGCCAGCTTTCTGCTGAGGTTGGCTCCTGGGACGCAGGCACACATACCGCGACATGTCCAGAGCTAGTACGCATGAAGTTGCTCGATCAGAGTGTCGGCTCTGCCGTGCCTGTGCTCTTTCACAGTAGTCGCCATCCTGCGTCTAGAGGCAAGGGGAAGTGCAGGTACGAGCAGGAATGGTGGCAAGGACAGAGACGGCACAGCTTCAATCGTAAGCCAGAACATAGCCATGACGCTAGTCCTAATCTAGACGCTACCGCAGTGGCGTGCCACGTGACCTCGACTCAAGTCAAATGAGCAGTTCGAATTTCGGATTAGTCTTTGAAGCAAAGAGCTTGGAGACATTCTCATCAACCTCTCTCTACTTAGTCTATGGTCGCTGCGCTGTTGAAGGGTGGGCATGTATTTTTGGTTGCTGTTGTGCGAAAAGTGAAAGTCTTGGCAAAGATTGTGCCCCGCCTGTGTCGACCGCGGTTGCCAAAGCCTCAAATTTTGATCCAACTTTCTGCGTGTCTCCTGCAACACCAACGTCCTCGAGCGTCCGCGCTCTCTTTACCACTTGCCATCCAATCAAGATCAAAATCTTCTACCCCTTTCGGCGAGCCTGAATACTTGAAGACAGCGCATGGCATCTTTGCTTGCTGTCACACCTGGATGAGCCCGAACACACCAGCCTCCTCTGACCCCGCCAAGCTCATCGCAGTCAGCGTTGACTCATATCGCCGCCTGAGCTCTCAATCATCCGCCCTCCCACGTCCACTCCCAAACAGATCACGTGCTCGAATATGCTTTTGATGAGAGCTCATCGTCCATGTTACTTGACCACGAATTCTTGGTCAGTCTAGATCCAGCTCTTTCCGCAAACTGTCAATATGCCCCCGGTTGCTAAAGCGCCACCGCCCAAGCCGCGTCCCGGGCAGGCCCGCCGAACAATCTATCGTGGCCGTATCGAAGGTCTCGGCAGCCCCGTGCCAACCTCTCTTCGTGCATCCACGCCTACACTGGTACGAGCAACCACCCCGGCTACACAACCGCAAACTCGTGCAAAGTTACTGTGTCCCAACCCCGACTGCCCGGACCGCTCCAAAGTCAGCCGTACCGACCAGGGTCTCATCTGCGAAACTTGTGGTGCCCTTGTGCAGGAAGAATCTGGTCTTGTCAGTGAACAAGGCTTTGGCGAGACTGATTCAGGTCGTATTGTTGCTACAGGTGTTCAGGTCGGCCAAGATCAAACCCACCAGAGGACTTTTACCTCGGGAGGCGCCTTCGGAAATGCTGGTCGCGAAGCAACTTCGAGCAGTGACCGTACCAGAATCCAGGCGAGAAGCATCATGACCTCTTATTGTCCCATTTTCAACATCCAAAGCTCCGAGGTGGAGAGAGGCATGCTATGTTTCGGCCTCGCTGTCACAAATGGTTTTCTTGCAGGCAGAACCATCGAATCTGTCGCCGTCGCATCACTCTATATCGCTTGTCGGCGCAAGAAAGAGCAAGTTCAAGGAGTCCAGAGACCTGTCTACAGCCTCATGTTGATCGATTTCGCCGAGAAACTCAATATGGATGTCTTTGCCCTCGGCAAGATATATCGCGACCTCTACGAGAAGCTCTGGTACGACAAGAAAACCGGGTCGTGGAAAGATGAGACGGCATCAATAGATTTCCAAGGCATGGACCCCGCCGTGCTGGTGCCCAAATTCGTCAAAGAGCTGGAATTCGACAGGAGAGACGAGCTCAAGATCCAGTACGACGCTATTCAGATCATCAAGCGCATGAAGCGGGACTGGATCCATGCTGGCCGTAGACCTTCCGGTGTTTGTGGAGCGGCTGTTCTTCTGGCTGCTCGGATGAACAACTACCGACGCACCACTAGAGAGGTCGTGCTGATGGCAAAGGTCACTGAGATCACCCTCAATAAGCGACTCCAGGAGTTCCACGACACAAAAGCCAGTAACCTTTCCGTTACGAACTTCTTGCAGGAAGCGAAGAGTTGGGAGGATGTCCCGCTGGGCTACCATTATCTGGATGAGCAGCAGCCGCCTATTGTGAAGCAACAGATGAAGACCAAACAAAAGAAGAAAAGAGGACGTCCTCGAAAGCGACCCCTTCCAGAGACTGCAGCTGAAATTGAAGGAGAAGCCGCTGCCATTGAGCCGCCAACTTCAAATACAGAACAGTCACATCCGGCGAAGCGAGTTCGAATTGATGCAGAAGGCTACAAGATTCCGGAAATCCCAACGCGGCGGACAGAGGCAGAGTCATCACAGAGTATCGACAAGACACCAATAGACCCGCAGCTCGAGGACATTGCTTCTGATTCCTTGCGAGGAGAGGAGGAATCTGCTTCGCAAACCACAGAAGACAACGCAGATGCTTCTCCTCCTCCGGCTGACGGCCAAGAAGCGAATGCCGATATCGAGCGACCTCGCAGGAAAACCAGAGGTCCAAGTTGGCAACCTCCGGCCCCCAGCACCGCCGAGATAGCCATGGAGGCTGGTATAGAGAACGCTATGGATGAGACATTTGTTGACAATGCTGAACTCAGTGATAGGCTTGGAGTGCGTCCTTCCGGCGGGACCTATGTATCACAGCCCGGCGCCTCTAGTGACGATGCACAAAATCCTTTAATAGGACAACATGATGTTCGGCATGATCCTATGGATCTCGACACCGACCCAACCCAAACTGTCCCCCCACACCCAAAGGACAAGATTCTCGGTCCGCCTGTAAATACCTCTATCGGCAATTTCGGCCACGTCTCTCTTTCCCCGATACTCAAGCCAGATGAGTTCGACTCGGATGAGGATGTCGCTACCTGCATCTTGACAGAAGAAGAGTCCCGCATCAAAGAGAGGGTTTGGGTGAGCATGAATGCCGACTGGCTGAGAAAAGATCACGCGAAGCGCATAAGGAAAGAGCTGAAGGACGCCGAAATGAGAGCAAAAGGGCTAGACCCTGCCGAAGAAGAGCGCAAGAAGAAGGCAGCCAAGGGGAAGAGAAAGGATGGCACCCGGCGGCCAGGACGAAGGGGTGATGTCAGTTATCTGAACGAGCAGGGTCGAAAGAGGAAGCCTCCTGCCGAGGAAGGTGAAGGCGCCGGGGGACGCCAGGAACAAGAAGATGGTGGAGCCGATGAGGCAGAAGATGGCGCTAGACCTGAAGAACCACCGAGAACTGCCGCCAGAGCTGTCCGGTTGATGCTGGAGAACCGTCGTACATATTCGCACAGAATTAACTACGATGCTGTTGACCACATATTCGCCACCACCAGCACAAGCGAGGAAAGCGCCGAGTCACGCAGCGCAACAGGCGATGGTGAAAGTCGAAGTGGCAGCGTCGCCGCGTCCGCGGGGACACAACAGACCAGTAGAGAGGGTAGCGTTTCAACACCTGCGCCAGACAACAACAACAACAACAACAACAACATTCCTGTCAGACACTCGACTCTATTTCGCGGGAACAAGCCCCGAGCAAAGAAGCGCGGTCCCGCCGCTGCCGGGCAAAGAGAGAAGGAGAGACAAGCGAGGAATGCACAGAAGAAGCCCAAGACAAGTGCAGGGCCCTCGGCAGACCGATCGGCTTCGAGAAGTCGAAGCACGAGCACGCCTGCTTCTGGGGTTTCTGGGCCATCGCCAGGACCTCATTCGCAGAACCTAGGACAGGGGGAAGCGCAACAGCAAGCACCAATCGCAGGTCCTCTTCCAACCCCACCCGGTAGAGACAAACAAGTTGGGCCCCAAATACCAGGCATTATTCCCACCGCTTCGATATCAACAGCGCATGCCAATCATCCCGGTCCACAGATACCCAGCTTGAGGTCCACGGCTCCGATTCCAACGCCGCCAGCCACGCAGCTTGGACCAATGATCCCAAGCATAAGAAGCAGCGGTGCGCAACAAGGTCGGAGCTCCTATGCAGGTGGGGCATCAGAGGCGAACCCAACCCAAACTAGCAGACATGGATCTAAATCTGCTTCTCCCGGAGAGGCTAAAGCACAGGGAGAAGCAGGCCCCCAAGAAGACGAGCTCGAGGCTGCATTGGAGGGACGCTATCGAGCAGGCACTTCGGAAGGCGAATATGAAGACGAAGATGAGGATGATGATGATGAAGATGAAGAGGACGAGGACGAAGAGGACGATGGTGAGGACGAAGCATAACATGGCATTCCCGGAAATGCAACAGGAGACATGCTGTGCAATGCTTCACGGAACATGGAATAGGAGCTCTGCTATGCAACCAGTGCTATGCTATGCTATGGCATCGGACACATTTGGCCTGTCCAGCTTGTTTGATGCTCAAAACCAAATCATTCGGAGGTTGTGTATGGCTGTTCAACCTCGCGGGTCGAATAAACCCCTGAAGATTGGAGATTCTTGGGCTTTAGGGCTAAGACATACAGTATGTACGATTGCACTGGACTGCACGGATGCGTACCGTAGATACAGTAGATCCAATGGCGTGAACGGGAAAGGAATGCGCCCCAAGATATCGAGTAGGTATTCACGACACAAATGCACGAGGTCCTGCGCACAAGACTTAGCTAGACGGTGATAGCGTGTTCAGACTCTTTAAATCCAATCCAACATCGTCCTATGGGTCGAGATTTTTCCGCCTGTCCAGGTCTTTCGCGACTAAGGAGGTATGTTGTTCTGTTTTAACTAAGATCTGGTCCCACAGAGTACCTAGCTTTGCGCACGCTGGTGCTGAAGTTGAGGCGAGCGGAGCGAAAGAGGCGACGGCGACGGGTAGCCACTTCTCACTTCATTCATTCACTGCTTCAGTATATGGTTCTCGTCCACGGCGCTTGCATGCTGACTGAGGTTGTTCTGTCGGCTCCGCTCTGTGATGTAGCTTCTGCATGTGTTCAAGGACGAAATGCGTGTCCGCCTCTTCACCACCCACCAGCCTCCATCCTGGAGGTGTTGCAGGTTGCAGTAGAAACAAGGATGGGGATCTGATTCCGACTGGAAATATCGTTGGCTCGCTGATTTTGGGGCCCTCCAATCTCGACCATATCGTCTAAGGTATCGTCAGATGGTTATCCCGCGAAGGTGTTTGCCGCCAATTGGTTCTTCGACCGCCTCAGGTTCTGCGGCGTTGTGATAGTGCTGGTGCGGGCGTACACTCCCCATTTGTTGAGCCAAAGGCCTACCAGTAGCATTTTGCAATGTACGGAAGTGCTGAAACTGTACTTCGCAAGCTCGGTGGCCGGCTAAATCGATTTCCGGGACGAAAGGAATCCCCTTTCATTGAAGACGAGGGAAACCCTCTCTCTCATCTTGGGGCGGACAGGCCAAGCGAGCAGAAGTTCTGTTTGCGATTCTTCACCTCTGACCCGCTCTGTATCCCACCTTTGTGTATGTGACTGTGTATCGTGCCAGGCGGATGTCTCGACAAAGCAGGATCCCCTGTAAAATCGCAGCATGCCGAACGGCGCAATGTCGAAATCGTTCGTGCGACCTTGAGTGATGCGCGTCTCGTGCCGTACGTGTCTCTCTCGTATCGCAGGATTCATCAGCTGCAATGCGATGCCTGAGCAGTGCAGGACCGTACTCCTTTTCCCTTCCCCTAGTGGTAATGTGTCTGCAAATCTCGTCTGCTAGGGCATCCGCGTCTCGTTCCTCATTGCGTATAGCGTATAAGTCATGCTCGTCATAACAATATGATGATCCTCGTGGCGTAGTTTTGGTTTTTCATGTTTCGGCTTCATCCTCCTCTTCACCTTATCTCGTAGCCATCCCCTTCCCCCTCCTCCTTCTCCTCGGATATACTCTCCCTACTCAAATCCCTCCGATGGCCCTGGCTTTGGCCCTGGCCCTGCTGAACCCTCCTCTCGCCCGCCTCACCTGCGCCTGTGGCCCCAATTCCACCCCCAGCCGTCAAAATGTCCTTGAAGCTCATCCTCCTCGCCCGATCGCGAAGACTGGGCGCCCTCGGCCGCTGCGCGCCTTGCGCTCGGCCTCCGATAAAAGGCACCTCGTGCCAGATCTGGCGACAGACGTAGTAGAGGACGTCGTAGACGATGGCGAGGATCCAGGGGATTATGTTCAGGATGGCGAGGATGAGCTACCACGCAGGCTCGAGTCAGCTGGAAAAGCGACCGCGTTGGGTTGCAGCGGATACATTGAGGGTGGTGTGGACTCACAAAGGCGCGAATGATCCATGTTTCGTAGGTCGTCAGGTGGGATGGGAGGATCGAGTACCACGCCATGCCGTCACGGGAGTCTATTGGGGAGTAAGGTGTATGCACCCCTTCCACGGCCGGTAATGCGGCTACGGTACTCCGTAGACGAGACGTTAATTCTCTCCTCGACGATGATTCCGCGAGGGTTGGTCAGGTCGATTTCAGTAGGGCACGGGATACGTGCGTCATGTCCAAGTGTGGTCAGGACTCGAGAACATCTCGAGGTTGCACCAAACACGCAATTTGAGTCGAGCGAGTGCAGCCAAGCATGTGGTGGTGTGGGAAGGAATGCTTCGACCATCTCCGTGTTCCAGGTCCGAGAATACGAACATGGCCTGCCACCTGCCACCACGCAATGCGGGATTGCGGCAACGTTGACATCACACGAGAAGACCTGCACGACGAAATGTTTGACTACCGTGCTGGGATGCTGTGAAGCCTGAATGTATTGTAACTTTGAAAGCAATCTATGAGGTTTCATGGGATATCCGTTGACCGCGTCAAGCCAAACCTCCTTTTCCCAATGAAGCGACAGAACGAAACCTAGCTACACGCAAGCTGCTCCTTTTATTCCGACCAGCACTTCAATGAAGCTTCGCCTTTTCTCTTTTGTAACACGTCTCTCTCTTCGCTACCAGCCCGGAGAAACATGAAACCGGTAGATGACCACGGGGATCAAAAACCACCCAGGCGCAAATGACGCCAACAATAATCGTGAACCGTACATGGCTTGCAGGACAGGGCAGCCGTACATAAGACATGGGCAAGAGCATACCGTATCATCATGTGTCTCGTCAAGTCATAAGCCTGCGCTTTTTGGCAGGCGTCGCAATATCTGGATTGCGACCGTTATTGGGATCCCGCATTCGCTGGACCGGCGTGACACCCTTGTAATGGGAAGAAGTGTATGGCGACGAATGGGTCCTCTTCCTGTGGCGCGGTGCTGGTGTGGCCAGCGGAGAACTCGTCAGGTTGACGTCTAGATGCGATGGCAGTCTGCTCATGGCAGGATCAGCGTTGCGTCGAAAAGCCGTGACATTGCCACTGTTGAGATGCGCGAAATCATTGCCCAGAGAATTTTGACCTCGAGGCATCGAGATAGGCGACGCGACGCCGTCACTATCTTCCGAGTCGCTGTCAAACTGTATCACGTCGGCCAGATCAATCACGTCTTCGCCGAGTTCGTCTCCCTGGAAGCCGCCCAACATGTCATCGTCGAATAGAAAGTTGGTGGAGGGATAGAAAGCCTCGAGAGGACCGATCGCCTGTCCTTGGCTCAAGGGCCCATTGGCAACAGAGTTGAGGCTGGCCAGCATGATGTCTGGTGTTGGGCCGACCATAAGGTCGGTCGACTCACGATCACCAACATCGCTTTCCTCGATGAGTTCAGCAAAGCCTACGTCAGGACTAGAAGTCTGAGATGCACCGTATCGGCGGGCGAACTCTTCCCCCAGCAAGTGAGGGTTGCTCATGAGAATGATCTTGCCCGAAGAGTCGAGAATGCCGGATGTCTTGTCGCCTTCGTCAATGAATATTCCCCGCGGAGGACCTTTACGACGAGCAGGCTTCTTGCCAGACTTCTTACGTGGGGGTGAAGGCGGCGGTGACGCATTTCTTCTCTGTTCGAGACCGTTTGGGGTGCTCTGAAGTGCTTCGTCAGGCAGGCAGTCGTCGGTCAGATCAGCTGCAAGCATTAGTCATCATGTACGGAAGCAAGTCACGCTGCAACATACAGTCATCCAGATTCTCAACTAGTCCGCCAACACGGTTATCAACACCATGAGTCGGAAACGGAGTGTCAGGTAGTGCTGACGGCAACAATGCGCGAGTAATGGTGGGCGACTCCGACATACGCATGAAGATTGTGGGATTTGCGTCGGCAGCAAAATGAACATGCCTTTCCGCGACAGCTTCAGTAGCACTGTCGCCGCTTTGGGACGATGGGAAGCGATAAATGCTACCATCGCTGTCGTCGCCGAAGCCGTAGGCGGATAGCCCGTCAATTTGGTTGAGAAAGTCAGTATCACTTAGCTCTTCCTCTGGGAGCATAACAAGTAATTCTTGCTGCTGAATGCGTCGTTCATCCACGTCGTCGTCGGAGTCACTGATGTCGTCGACTGCTTCGTAAACATCGTTGTCATCTTCATCCGAGTCTGCGAAGACCTTCTGCTCAAATCGTTTTCTATTCTCCTCGGGGGAAACATTTGGGTCTTCATCCTCCTCATAGTAGTCGTCAAAATCCCCAAACATGCTGTCCGAGCCAGCAACAGAGACATTATCATGAATAGTGTGAAGTTTGCGCCCCGCCCCGTTCATGTGTCCAGAACGAGACGGGGCTTTGACAGCTGGCAGGTCGTCTTCCTCATCGGCGTCACCCTCGCTACCTTCGTCCGACGCATCATCTGCACTGTCGAACCCACCGAAGCTGGACGAACTATCCACCGAGACGGGAGTAGTCGCTCTCTTCCTCTTGCCAAATTTCTTCGGGACAGCGTACTTGCGCACAGGTTTACTCTTCTTTCCATTCGATGGTTGATACAGGTCATTTGGGTGTTCCTTCGACTTGGGCATTTTGATTGTGGAGCCCAGCATTGGCTGCCGGCCTCGGGAATTGCGGGTGTAAAGACGAGACATCGCGGCGTCTTTGCGGTAATAGAGGTAAGAAGAGTCTGGTTATGTGGGAAAGCGGTAAGTTGGTGTGAGGCGAAGGTGAGTGGGCGAAAAGTCGTGATAGGTGAGAATATCGAAATCAACACCTTCTGTCGCCGAGGACGAGATGGTGCCTTGGTGGTGTGTAGATGAAGCAATTTCGAGGGCAGTAGTTGTTGTGAGCTCCTACGCGGTAGAGCCTCGAAAGAGTAGATATCGAAACGAGGATTTGCTGAGGCGCTGCTTGACTGACCACGAGAGACCCCAGGAGGGCCTCTCCGGCCGTCTAGAAAGCAGCGAAGGCCATAGCAAAAGAGGATCCTCGAGCGATATGTGATAAGAATGCTTTTACTCGTTGCTTGATCTGGTAATAATTGTGCGGTTGGTGATACTGGCGTTGTGCTTGGAAAAGAGAAAAAAGAGAGGGAGTCAGCACAGGGCAGGAAAAGGCTGCACTTTGTAGAGGCCCGCACTTGCGTCGATTCCTCCACAGACCTGCACATAATGGCATGCAATGGCCACTAACCGTGCAGCCGGAAGCAGAATATCCTCCTAGCCTGTAACTGCTACTCGCTAACATACTCGGGTTAAGCAACTCTCCACCAGGCGGATCTAAACGCCTTCACACCGCTATTCCCGTGTGCCTTTACTGGACAGTTGGCTGGTCTCTATGCTACGTATTATGGCATAATTGGTTCCAGACTACTTGTAGCGCTTGTCACTGCCACTCAACACGTTCAGAACATGGGCACAGTCTGCGTACACTGACATTCGACACTCAGTTGAGCTGGTAAAAAGTTTGCTGACCGGTTGAAGAAAAAAATTATGATTCTCCAAAGCCCCTCGCGTGCTCCGTGGGCATCGGGCCGGCCAATCAAAGCGGAGACTGTAGAAGAAGTGACTCAGGGTGCCAAGAGCAACCCCTCGCCTATCAAACTCAATTTGAAGAAGCCGCACAACGAGTTCTTAGTCGTACCTCGCAGCAATGACGAACACATTCAGCGAACGTCTTGAACAATGGGTGTCAAAGCATAGGAGCCCAGTCTATTGAACAGCTCTTCCTCACAAATTCCTAGTCCAGCAAAGTCAAACTAGGTCATTCGCTCGTGTGATACGAGGTACAGTTTCAACGCTGGAACAATTCCAAGCACTAGCAACCAGAAACACGAGAGAAGTAAAAATGAATACCCCACACCCACGCTCCGCTCGCTTTCATCATAACTGTGTAATGTGGCAGGTCATCACGCGTTCAATCTCCTCACTGATCAATCTTCCATTGATGTGTCGACACCGATTGGTCATGGTACCGCGGTGGAGGAACTGGCTTAGGCTCCATTAGGACTGGCTGCTCAGGAATCTCTGTAGCTTGCTTCGCAGCTTCCACCTCCTGAATCCCAGCTTTCACGTCTTCGATGGATGCGCCTTTATCGGCAGTCGTTGTCGGATGTTCATCCGGATGCTCTGACCTGTATTCCACGTCCAGCTTCTGCATCTCCTCTTCTGTAAGCTGTCGTTCTTTCTCCAACCTGACTTCTCGGCCGCGTTTGTGACAGTACCAGAAGACGAACAGAAGTACTGTCAAACTGGTCAGAGATTTTCAAGCCTTCGTGGGCAACACTGGGATCACTTACCGAACATTGCCAGAGACCACAACACATTGACTCCCATGAACGCAGGGAACCTTGCGCGGAGGTAGTTCATAATCGACCTTAGCGTGGCCGTTATGGCAGTCGGCTTACCAACCAGCTCTTTCAGTGATGGTGTCTTGAAGCCCATCTTCTTTGCGGCAGCGGCCGCTTTCCCAGCGTTTTCCATGTTGACGCCGCTTTTTTGCGCCCTTTCAGCTGCTGCGGCCATTATCTCAGGCGCAAAGCCTTTGGTCATTGTCTCTGGGAGCCGCTCGATGAGTTTCTGAAGGAAGCCCGGGAGAGAGTTGAAGGTGCTTTGCAGCTGCCTGTCGCTATTGGTCAACAGTTTCTCTAGATCATCGTACGCTGTGGGAACGCCATTGATGAGGTCCTTGAACACAAGATTGAACTTCTGCAAGAGCTCCTGGGTTTCGTCGCTAATTGAGAAGACGCGATTATTGACGGCAGCAAGGTTGAGTCTTTCGAGCATGATTGTCATGTCCTCTTCCTCCTTCTTTGCTTGCTTCTCTTCATCCGTGTCTTCCGCTTCACGCTTCTTGAGATCGGCGGCGATATCGTCCAACCCAGCAGCAGTAGCTTCATTCAACTGGCGCTTTGCATCTCGACTGTCGCGTCTGAGCCAGCTCCACGCTGTTCTCGGTCTTGACTCTGTGGTCTCTGCTGCGAGTTTCTGATCGCCCTCCTGAACCACATCGGGCTCTTCGGCAAGTTCGGATGGTGTCCCAGGAGGCAGAGGGACGTTCTGTGCGCCATCCATGAGAGCAAGCTGCGCATCCTTCACTACTGCGGGCACATCAGGCCGAGCTGGTAGTGGAGGCGGATTTTCCTGCGAGGTAATATGATCGAGAAATTTTTCATCCTCTTCCGACAAGACGGGCGCCTCAGACTTGCGTGCCGTCGCAAGATGGGCTTTGGCTTTAATGTAATTGATATATTCCATTGCCATAAAGCTCGACCTATCGCGACTTCGATTACAAGTAGATATCTAGGGCAGTGTCAAGAAACTTAGGGTATGCGAAAGTTAAGAACAAAGGAATGAATGAAGTGAAAACGAGGAGGGTATCACAGATGCTATCGATGATGAACCGGAAATGCATTTCGAGCACATGGTACTCGTAACAGGCCGATGATGGAGAGCGGGCGCCTGCGCCACAATGACGTCGATGCCAGGACTTGGTGCCCAGGTGTTCTCGTCAAATTCGAAGTAGCCAATTATATACCGCGTCGGCCGCGACACAGAGTGTGACCGCGCTGTAGTTCGTCCCCTCCAACGCGATGTTTACGTTGATCGTCACGAGATCAGTAGCGCTTGATTGTCTCTGAAAGTCCTTGATGGCGATGGAGTACTGGTCCCCCCAATCTAGTATCTGAAGTGGTGGGACAAGAAGCGACTCGTTTTTGACGAAGTCATAGCAGGCAGGAAAGTCGCCATCCGAACGGGAAACAGCAGCATTAGACACGATGGAGGTAAGAGGGCATTATCTGGTATTGGGTCTGCCTGGTGTAAGCGTGCCGGACTATGTGGAAGCCGGATGACAGTCTGGAGACTTGGATCCCAGTCGAAGTACAGCTGAAGTTGAGGGCGGAAAGGGCTGTGTTGCCAGGAGTCATATGTGTGAGACTTCGCTCTCATCAGTATCTGGGGACATGCAGTTCACAGGCAGCTTCCACCTGTTGAAACAGTACTGAGCACGTGAAGCTTCAGAACCACCCTGGCAACCAGTGTTGCGCAGTCAATTTCAGCTTCCGTTGCGGTCCCCGTCACTTCGACTGCCTCTTCTCAAAGTCATATCGTTTCGCGCGGCCGAGTCGTCTTCTCCGCGCTAGTTGCCTCAGCTCTGCCATTCCCGTTGTTTGTATTTGCTGCTCAGACCTGGCGAGATTCGGAATGTCGTTTTCGCCTTCAATACCACGGGACAGCGCGGACGCTGACGGTGGCGGCAGCGACCACAACCGACTGCCTTTTCAGGACCTCAGTTTTCGAGGAAATACGCCGACAGAACCTTCGGTGAAGGTGGCCCCTCCGCTCGTCTTCCGTCAGAGCACTCACCGCCTTCCCTACTTTGCACACCAGCAGCTCGATCTGGATTATTTCCCACTAAGTAGGTCCGCACTTATAGCACTGCTTCTTCGGTTCTGACGGTCCCAGCCGTGGGTCGGCCTGTAGGTGGTCCGATAGTCGAGGGAGAGGAAAGCGACCAGGGTTGGGACGACGAGGATAGTCAGGGCGGTGCCGATCTCGAGTCCGATGCAGATGATGACCTGTATCCGGATAAGCCGAGGCGTCGCCGCAAGTTCGAGTCCTCCAAGATAGCCAATGCTGCCGAGCTCAAGAAGATGAAGATCCAGGGAGGCCGCCCTGCCATTGCGAAGAAGGTCACAGCCGACCTGGACTCCGATGATGAGCTGATTGTTCGCATGAAAGAAGCACGATATCTGGAGAAGGACATCGCGAAGGCTCTCGTCGACCAGGGTCGCACTGCCTACAACCCCAAGACCATTGGCACTCGCTGGAGACGTCTCAAGGCGGCTTTGCAGAAGAGACAGGACGACTTGCTTGATGCTGACCTGACGGACTGGCACGAGGGCGACGTAAGGCGTTTCCTGGTAACTCGTGTTAGCTAGACTGACTGCCCGCTAGGATGATGTTCTCCTGCAAGCGGTTGTTAAGACAGACAAGGAGGTCAAGAGGCTTAAAGAAGAGATCGAGGCCAAGAAATGGCGGATGGTGGCAGATCAGGTCAAATCCATCAAGGCAAGTGTCGTGTTTCTGATGCGATCTAAGACTGGTGCTGACCTTTTGCTCCAAGCCCGTTGTCAACTTCTCGCAGAATGCTTGTCGTGAGCGATATGAAGCTCTCCAGGCAGGAACTGCGAAGCCCACGCCCGAGTCGATTGAGACTCCGTCCGAGGAAATTCTCGAGCGCATCAGATCACGGAAAGACAAGGAGCGGAAGATCGCAGAAAGCACTCAGTATAGTGCACTGGAGCAGAAGAACGTCGAGGCCAACGCATGGACATCAAGGATGCGGACCTATTTCTAGACGGGATGGACGTCGATGTCATTGAGGAAGTACAGCAGCGGCCTTGGGTACGCCGATACCGCGAGCCCACTCTGCACACCAGGCACTTCCACATAAAAACGGAACTTTCGTCCTCAGCAATATCAGGAGTGCTTGCAACATGGCTCCAGCCTGGCCAAGGGCCTACGATCAGCAAGCGATGAACTGGATGGATTCTCGGTATTCGAGGTTGCGACAGTATTTCTGGTGAAACTTCAGAGCTTCATCAGCGACCTTGCCATCAGTACTGTCATCTGGAGCGGGATTGAATGCGGAAGGCCGCCCAGAATAACAGAGAATGACGACGTCAGGAGCTGAGGTCCTGATCTTTAGTGACTCCAGCGCGATCCCCGCTATGGGCACGAGACGCGTGCAGGTGTCGCGGTCAGCTGACAATGTCAACAAATGATTCACAAAATATCATGAATGCTACAACTTGTTTCTTTGCACATTTGCTGTGGCCCATCCCCGCTCGGGCTTTGCAGCTCGCATCTGCAGCTTGCCCAGTAAGCGTTCCTGGAGATAGGCGCAGCTCACCAACCATGATTTGACGGCGCAGCTTCGTTGGCATGGTTGCCTTCGCCAAGCCCTGCAGCCGCCTGCGCCTTGGGTATATCTTTCGCTTCGTCCACTCTATCCTCCTTCTTTTCCTTTCTTCACGCAAACGAGCAGGCAAATCAACGCGCGTTCGGAAACCTTTGCTTGAGCAAAGACTCCCGAACCGTCGAGTTTTCTGAGTGGTTTCCATTGGCTGTTGGCTCTCAATCTCTCCGGATGAGGCTGGCAGGCGACGGGGGTTCATCCAGAAGACTTCGCAGCTCACGGATCACCTGGTACTCTGTGAATCAAGCGTCGCTCAAGAAAACCTATCACGCTCTCTACAACTATCATAGGTTCTTCTGCCGTTCCTTCATACCTTCCTTCGCTCGTTCGTGTATCTCTGGATCTTGACAAACAATAAGAATGCCAATGCGCTCTCTCGACGAGATGTTCAAGCGATCGTTCAACACCAGGGATGGTCGCATCGTCAAATCGAAGACCACAAGGACCAATTATCCCGAACATGTGAAGAAGAAGATGCAGGACACTGTGGACGCCGGCTCGCCAGTGGCAAGGTAGGCAACAGCTAGAGAGCCATTTGCGCATGCGCATGGTCAAATCACTGATCGCAATGCAGTACGCTGACGAGTCCCATCGTCACCTTGGTGGTGGGTCGTGAACAGCGTCTTTTCGCTGCTCATGAAGACGTCCTCTGTCATTCACCTTACTTTGTTGCTGCTCTGAAAGGCCAGTTCCTGGACGGCGGTTCGAAGAGGGTGGAACTGCCCGATGAAGAACCCGAAATCCTCTCGTGCGTCCTCGAGTTTCTGTACAAGGGTGACTACTATCCCCGCTTGGTGCACAACAAGCGGCGCAACACTTGGGATCTTGAGAATGCCGAGCAGGATCTAAAAAGTGGTGGCCGCGGAAGCAGCGCATCGACAATCTATCTCTCTGAAGCCGGTGGCGATGTTCTCCGGGACACCGTCGTGTACTGCGCTGCCGATAAATACAACCTGGAGGAGCTGAAGCGCGTGGCTCTGCGGAAACAGGGGCTCCAGTCGGGAATCCAGGTTGATGTGATCTTACGATCGGCTCGGTATGCATATACACACACGCCGGACACGGAGTCGCGACTCCGCGCTCATTACCTAGCTCTGATCATTCGAAGTCGTAAGACTTTTAAGAGGAGCGGAACCATGCAGATGGAAATGGAGAACGGGGGCAAATTGTTTTTCGACCTGTTTGTGGCCATGTGCAATCACATCGATGACATTGTCGAGATCAGGTAAGCGCAACCGTGTTCTGTGGTGTATGACTCGGTCATGGCTACTGGCAAGGGCTTACATCTGTTCCACAGCAATAGCAGGTCTCCCAAAGTCATCTAAGTGCTGCAAACGTCGCAGGCAGGATCGATGGCTTGGAGCTATGATGTGAGGTAGGACAGTATGGTCACCAGGGCCGTTGGCATCGACTACGCGTCGTTTGGTAACCCGTTCGCCTGCTTTGACAGCAAGCAACAAAACTCCACTTCTCCTCGAGGTTGGCCGACGACACTTACTGGTTTCATCCAAAAACCCTACTCTTTCTAGTGGCACCTGATTTGGCGCAATACGGCTTTCCGCTCTTTCGCAGCAGACACTGGGATTTTGAAAATTCCAGGAGAAGTAATCAACTCAATACAGACATAGTGTGCGATCTACAACTCGCGACTCTTATGTATCCATGGGCTGTTTCTCGACTCATCTCGGCGACGACATCTGGTATGGTGAAGCTACTTCCGGCCCAATCCCTGGGGATGGGCACGGGAACCTCTATGATCAAGAAATAGGAAATGAGAGATTCGGCCACCTCAAAAGTTCCGTGTTGATCTGCTTCTCTCTGAACTGACACTATGCGACAGGTCTTTACCCACAAACAGGGATCATTGGGATCCGAACAAACCCCTTGGGTGATTCTTGACTGTGACTTCTCAACTCGATTTCTTCACCTGCTCTGCGCCTCAGATGCTCGTTCATTTATATTCGGAAACTGGCCCAATATCTTTCAGCTCTTGCTCACTCTTCCTCTCTTGTCCAGCTCTCTTGTATACTTGACTCCATCATACTGGCACATTGCAACATCCAACTTCTGTGATGGTCGCAACTTTCCTGGCACCTCTGGCTCCAGAAATTCTGGTCGTTGATACCCACTGGATCGAAGTTCCGCCCTCGATTTGATTAACTACCGCCATACAACTTTCAGTATCATCTCTTCTCGGAATCTGACCATGATGTCAAGACGCTGGGGTGAGCGTCGTCTGTCAGTGGAACAGGTGCTGCGGGAAGATTCACAAGAAGCACTGTTTGTCCCAGAGTTCGCTGGCGATGCGGAAGCTACTGAGATTAGTAGGGAGACCTTCGGTGGAGACCATCGAAGAAGTGGGAGAAAACGCCAAAGAGAATACACAGAGAGGAAGCCAACAGCCACGACAGCCTCAATGAACTCCTTCCAACCATCTACGCCTCGACAAGCAGTCAAAATCAAGTCAGAAGCCGAGAATCAGGCGCTCGCTGACCTGCGATTGAAGTCACCCGATCAAAAGGTGCAAATCTTCGTGGGACCTAACAATACAATCTATGAAGTCGGCTTGGAGGACCTCGAGAAAGCTCCAGCATTGAAAGCGCTAGTGAACAAAACTGGTGCCCAGACACCATTCATCATGCATCCGGAATTGACGAAAATCTCGGCGGACAACTTTCGCTCGGTATACGAATTTCTTCTGACAAATGAGTACATGCCTGCGATCATCGATCATCCGCTGGGAGAGAACAAATTTCCGAAGCGACTGGATGGGTGTACTTCGGCAAGCCATTACCAAGACGAAGCATCGAGAGGAGCCCATCTGTATGTGATCACCAAGCGCCTCGGACTGAAGAGCATGCAAGATCTGGTCCTGCGGAAAATCATTCAAGCCCAGCACCAACCCTACGGGATCGAAGGTCTTCTCGGTATCGCCATGATCGTGTTTTCCAGACCAGAGGATAACGCGGTGTTTGGGCCGTGCGGTTCCGAGAAGTCGTCGAACCATCAAGACAGCGAAGGCAATCAAGACCCTCTCGAAGAGTGGCTCGTTCAGAACTTGGGAGACAAGCTGCAGCCTGTGATGATCAACCACGCTCGGTTGTTCTTCCAAGTCGCGAACCATGGTGCCTGTGCGGCTCGCGGCTTTGGTGTCCGGGTACTGCGACGAAAGGTCGAAGTTTGGGACACAATGGACGCGAATGTCGTCGCAATCGAAGACGATGAGTGACGAGCAGCAGAGCAAATGCTGTCAATGTTTGAGATCGCAGAGGGGAGGTCATGGTTTTGGATCCTCGGCTCTGGATTCCCCGATTACTTAAGCTACCGAACGAAGTGGTGGAACCGCTCCATCGACGACCTTTTGATTTTGACGAGATACGAAATACGCAGTACCAACAGACTCATCAGCTGATCTCTCCGGCAGCCATACTACGGTAGGAGGTCTCTTCTGGTGCCTCTGATCACCCGGATCACATGACGTCATATGATAGCAAAGGGAACAGTTATCCTTTCGGTACATTCGCGGGTAGTTCGTTGGGTAGCCATGCAAATAATACAATTACTTTGGGCGGAGGACGAAGTACTCCTACAGCCTCGGCTTAGGCTTCTCCGACCCGCCAACCGCCGGTCCCTTGTTGGTGCCCCAGATTTCGCTCGCCTGTCGCAGTGCAACACCGAAACACCCACTCTCGCAACTGCATCCCACCGTCGCCCAGCTTTTTGATTTCCCCTCACGGCATGGCCCCGCACGTCTTCGCTCCCCGTCGAGCCCGTCCAGACAAACAGCGCAGCTCGAAGTACGGCAGTGCGCTGGAAGATATGTCTCGAGGACATGCCTTTCCTTCGGTGACTTCGATATTCCCCTCTCGGGGGCTGGATCATCCATCTGCAGTTGTGTCACTTTTTGTTCCTACGCAGCGTCACGGCTCGAAATGAGTGAGCTGAAGCTTCGTTCCGCTGTGGGCCAGACTTGCGAGATATACCGAGTCAGGCCGAGTCAGTGATCTTGACACTCACTCCCGCGATCTGGGTATGTGGCCGTGAAGCGTGCATCGATAATCGGGTTGTCCCGAGAACACATTGGCTGCTTGCTTAGGCGGGCAATGCTGAGGGTCTCGAACCCCTCTTCTTGCCCTGACCTGGCGCATATCATGCACGATGATTCCACCCGACGTGCTCGGCCTGGACTACATAACTGAGCACGCGTCCAGCCCTGACCTTCTTGAGCCGCCTCTTGCTGTATACCCCTCGCCTTTCCAGCCGGACCTTCTGTTTCCTGTGCCTTGACTTGCCCGACACCCATTCCTGACTTACTAGCTTCTTCACCATGGGCGAACCCGCTCCCACCTTCGACATTCCGAAGGAGTGCGTGGCTGCCGTCGTTGTATGTTGCTCCCACTGGTAGCTACCTTCGACCGCTGATATCGTGTCGCAGAAAAATGAAGGCCCCGACTTCTACGTCGAGGTGGAGAAGGTCCCCGTACCGGAAGTTGGTATGATTCCAGCTCGTTTACTTTGACTCTCGCGCTATATCGGACTATCTGACCACTTCTCGTCTCTGCAGGGCCCAACGACGTCTTGATCAAGCTCAATGCCACCGGACTGTGCCTTAGCGATATCCACTTCATGCTGAACGACTGGAATCTGCCCAAGATGTCCGAGATGGGGACAAAGTGTGCCGGTCACGAAGGAGCTGGCGTGATTGTCAAGGTTGGCGAAAACGTCAAGGCATACAAAGTGGGCCAGCGCGCCGGGTTCAAGCCCATTCAAGATGTGTGCCACTCCTGTGAATACTGCAAGTCTGGCAGGGAGACGTACTGCACAGCGGCCGTCTTCACCGGGGGCATGTGTGACGGTGAGTGAGGGCTATGCTGGGGCAGACTCTGATATTGATGGCCTGCAGGTTCCTACAAGCAATATGTCATCTCGCCCGAGAACTACACTACTGTGAGTCCGTACCCTACTCCGAGTGAGCACAGCTGACTGTCCTCAACAGATTATCCCGGATGTACGTGGAACCTGAGAAAATGCAGTCGTGCTGCTGAGTTCTAATACTTTGCAGGGCGTATCGGACTATGTTGCAGGCCCCGTCATGTGCTCGGCATCCACCATCTACTCGTCTCTGAAAGAATCAGACCTGAGGCCCGGTCAGTGGGCAGTCTTCCCCGGTGGTGGCGGCGGCGTTGGTATCCAAGGCGTGCAGTTGGCCTACGCAATGGGTATCCGACCAATCGTTGTTGACACTGGAGATGAGAGACGGAAACTTTCGTTGAGCTTGGGTGCTGAACATTTCGTCGACTTCAAGGAGGAAGACCCAGTCAAGAAAGTCCTTGAGATCACAGGAGGTGGTGCTCACGGCGTAATTGTGACAGGTATGCAGTGACCAATGCTGGCCAGACGCGACACACTGACAAAACGATAGCCGTACAATCCTACCCCATCTCCGTCGACTATCTCGGAAACCGTGGAGGTGGACAGGTCATGTGGTAAGCAACTAGACAATCTCCGTGGCTGTGAACGCATTGCTGATCGGGGTTCAGCATTGGAATCCCGCCACATGGCAAGTATCACATCGATGTTGACCCTTCGAAGCTGGTTTTCAGGAACCAGTCAATCAAGGGAACGCTGGTCAGCAGTCTGGCTGATATCGATGAGACTCTGGACTTCGCAAAACGAGGTATGATCCACGCGGACCGTGACTGCCTCAGCTAATGTCGTTTCAGGTAAACTACGTCTGGAGCCCACCGTGGTAGGGTTAAGCAAGTTCAATGAATCCGTCCAGAAGCTCAAGAATGGGCAAGTAGCGGGGTGAGTGCTGCCACAAGCCGAATTCCAATGGAGGGCATCCACTGACCAGTATAGACGCATCGTGGTGGACTTTAACTTGCCGTGATGAGCCGAAGCCTTCGTTCATAGCCATTCTCGTCGAACCGCCATAAGGTAGCTGGGAGCCTCAGGGAGGCTTGTCCGTGCAGTAGTGCTGTCGGATCGAGCGCACTGGCGCATACTATCGTAGATGTATCCTCGAGGTATTTTGCTATGGTACAAAGCGACAATGGCTACCTGTGAAGAGTTTGCATGTGCTCCAGACCGTTCTTTGCATGTTCGTCAAGAACCGAACGCAGATTGAATGCAGTGGTGGATGCCTGGCCAATCACGATACGCAATCGCGTGCCCCACCACGGCACCCGAAATAGATGCGCCAATCACATTCCTTCGTACGCGCTGGGCGTGTTTCAAGCTATTTCATCCGCTCTTCACCTGTTCTTCACCCTCCCTTCGTCCTCTCCTCCAATGTCCACCTCGCCCGTCTTCACCTTTGCGATTGGCTTCCCTTCCCGCCAATGGCCTTGAACAGCGCCTTTGAAGATGTGATAGATCTCAATGATCTGGCATAACTTCTATCTTGAGCCGCTAAACGCCAGCCAAGGTAGCTCTTCTCCCATCACTCACCGATTGGGTCGCTTGCATCATGGGAGAGGCCGCTGTAAGTCAGTCGTCTTCCTAAGCAAGACACTGGTGGTGTCTGTCTGGTTGCTTTCATATCTCCTCAATCCCAGTCTTTTTCGTTGTCCTTCTCTTCTGTCGTTGTGTGTGTCAGGTCTATTGTCGACGCCAGATTATTGAGGCTGTGTGCCGTGCGCTGTGCGTTTCCTTCTCCTTCAACTCTTCATTCCGTTCTCCGTTCGCGCAGCGGGTCTGCTCCTTTCAGTGTCTGTCAGGAACAGCACAGTCAACCATACACGGCAATCGTGAATCCATCATGGCCACCGCAACCGCTACCACGACCACTTCCACGCTACACGGCTTCTCCCTCTTCCCCAGCACGGTTCCCAAGATCGCCATTCCGAATCCCCACAAGAGAAATCCCAGCTTGCACAGGATCAGTATGGTGGCTTCACCAGACGACACTTTATCGCCTGCTGGAGAGTCGGTTGTATTCAAGATGGAAGAGGAACAGCCGCCCTTGCCTCAACTTCCCGGTCACTTGAACGAGCAGAATCGAACACGTGAATCAACACCCTCGCCAGACGATATCGGTCGAGCAGTGACCACGCACTCGCCTATTGACGGCCGAACTCCAGCTCAAGCCACCTCACCTTCCACGGCAGCAGCCAAATATACACCCTCACTATATCAATCGCCAGTGATGAACCAGACGTCTCTTCAGCCTTCTTCATCTTTAGGCACAGGATCAGCTACTACGTTGGTCGCTCAGCCAGCTCCCACGGCATCGACGCCCATCAACAGGAACAAGTCGCCTGTCGATCCATCACCAATTGTCCCGATTCGCTCAATGTTCCCCGTCTATGACCCATCCGTGCCTCCAACTCAGCAAGCGTATGCGCCACCCAGACCGCTACCGGCAAGACTGTCAGGGCTGCCACCTTTCGCTGTCCCTGCAAGGGAAGAGTACCGAAGTAGTTTGTCGATGCCTTTCACTGCCGCGGCGGTACCGAGGACAGCCCCCGCCAGCGTCCTCAATTTCCCTTCAGATGTTATGAGTGTCAATGGCGGGCCACGCGTCTCGACACAGAGGGAGCTGGAGAAGCTATGGGACGTCTCCCATGGCACGGAGCCCGGGTGTTCGATAAGGAGTTTTGAGCTTGAGATGGCCAGAACGGAAGAAGCAACTTTTGTTTTTGGCTCGCACCCTTCGTTACCTTTCTACACCCTCCAGACCTTTGATACCAACGAAATTGCTATCAGCAAGACCTGCCCTAAGCGGGCGCCCCAAACAGCCACGTTGCCCTCAGCCTCCGAACCGCCGTTGACACGCGACGTCGTCCTCTGCCCGCTCGAGCCGGCCGAACGCAGACAGCCACCGAATGATGGTCTCGTGGCTTTTGTCTTCCCCAAACTCGCGGCCATGTTGGCAATCAATCAGTCCGCCGCGCTTGCCAAGCAGCACAACCTCGCTCCCACGGACAGAGACGACATCGAGGCCCACGCCGTGCGAAGAGCCGCCAAGCAAGAAGCATGCAACCTGCGCTACAACGCCAGGGGCGGCTTCTACGAACTTGAACATCCCGCCATCGGGCGCGGCGCCATGGGCGGTGACTTTGCGACCAAGTCGCCGACCCTCAGCTCCCCTACTACCATTCGCTCACTGACGGGAAAGCCGGTCCTACACATCATCATCTCGAAGGACAGCCCCCTCCCTTCCATCCACGTGGTTGACCCTAACGCTTCCCGCCGTGCAGCCGCAAGCATCATGACACCCACGATGGCAAACCCGTCGTCGCCAGGGCCTAAGATCCGCCGCCTCTCAACCGTCCCTCAAACAGACACGTCTCCTTCTTCGGAATATCCGCCCCTCGCAACACTGGACCTGACATCTGAAATCCTCCACATCGACGCCAACGCCATCCTAGAACTTATGCCCTCTCTCTTTAGCATCGATTGCGTCGTCTCGGCCATCATGGCCGTCGCAGTCGCAGATGCGACCACTAACCCCGCAATGGGCAGCATGGAGATCTGGAAGCCCAGACCCGCGCCCCCGTCCCGGTACGGCGGCCCCACTACAGGAGCACGCAGCATCTTCAACGGAGCCGGAGTGCCAGGGAGTCTCCGGCCCATGGGCACCCGACCCGGGAGCGTGAAGTCCTACGCCGGATCGGCCTTTTACGCCACCATCGCCGAGCGAGAAGAGGCCGAGGAGGAAGCCAAGCTGATGCGGAGGACCCACCAGGAGGATGTCCGCGCCGCGAAGTCGTCCTCGAAGGCCAAGGCCAAGTCCAAGTCCAGGCCGTCGAGAACATGGTTCGGCCGCTCTACCTCGGAAGAGACAGACTCGTCATCCGACATCGAGCAAGGCTCATCGTCGCGGCGCAAGAACAAAAAGAACAAGAACAAGAACAAGACGATTGTCATGCGCGAGTTCGACCTCGAGAAGCTGGGCCACTACCAGTCCGGCGAGCGCAAGGGCGAGGAGTTGCCAGCTATGACGAGAGGCGCGATCGGAGGCCTGGTGATGGGGTTGAAACTTGTGGTGTGGTTTTTGACGCTCGTGGTCCAGGTTATCACGTGGTTGCTTGTGCATATTACGCGGGGCGTCACGAGTGAGAAGTTCTGATCGCGCCAAAAGGGAAATGCAGGGAAGGTTAACGGCGCTTGGAGGTATGAATGACTTGGAGGACTTCTCTTTCCGGTCTCATCGGGTAATATATACCATATGGAATTGCCGAGGGTTTGATATAGCGGGCTGGATTCGGAATGAGTGGACTTGGATAGGGATGGGCTCGAATCACCGCTACGTCCAAAGGAAGGTGCCCCAGGCGGACACAGCACTCGCCCGGGCTGCAAGGGCACTCACTCATACAGTAGTACCTAGGTACCTACCTATGGTGGTCGTTACAGTAATGGTATACAGGACAAGCCGGCAAGCCGCAAGACACGTAAAATGTCCATGCGTGTGCAGAATCGAACAGTACAAAACCCGAAGAGGAAAGTGCTCCAAGACCAATAGTTGTACAAGCACAGCACCTGCCGACGATGAACAGGCGGGTCAGGCTCGAAGATCACTACCGTCCAATGGATATCCAGGCCAGCGGTCCAAGGGGAAGAAGAAAGATGCCTGTCCCAGAGGTCCCAGGGAGAGGGCCGGTGTTCTTGATCCCTGTTCGCGAAGGCCATCGAGCATGTATGTACCTCGTACCATCGCAAATGGGCAAAGCCACGGCGTTAGACCCGCCTTCGCCTACTGATAGCTAGGGGGCTTACAGGGCCGGATGCGGGGTCCGCCGAGGCAAATGGTCCCACTATCCTAAGGAGCATGAAAAGTACAGGGATAATGTAGAGTCGCTTCAGAGATCCCGCGACGTTGACGACAGCTGATTGCAAAAGAACACTCGAGGACAAGAGCCGGCGGCACGTCCACGCGTCCAACGTCGGAGTGGTTCGCCAAGGCACCAAAGCGCTAGTTACGTACCGTTTCCTTGCTCCACCGGAAGACAGACTCCCTTCCACCGAACTCCGTACTTTGTACTCCGTATACCATGCGCAAGTCAGACTGGGCGATCGGCAAGGCAAGGCACTCACTCACTCACCCGCTGGCACTCTTGCCGAGCGTTATCCGTCGAGCCCAGCAAATGCGATTGACCACTTACTGTTATGTAACTCTCTATGTTCGCTATCCTTGATATGAAATATTCTACATCACTGCACCTGGACAGGCATCAAGCAAGCCAAGAAGCAAGCAAGCAAGCAGCAGTTCATCTCATCCGTAATGCCGACAACGACCACCTGGGTAGAACCCACTTCCACCTCCGCTACCACTTCCGCTTCTGTACCCGCCAACCACCGCTCAGAAATCCTCGAGCTGGATACTGCCACTGGCGACGACCCCTGGGGAGAAGGACAGTCCCGGTCCCAATCCCAGTCCAGCCTTCCCCCGACGGACCACGGCGCCGCAGCATGGCGGCTCTTACTCGCGGCCTTCGTCTTTGAAGCCCTCCTCTGGGGCTTCCCTTTATCCTTTGGCGTGTTTCAGGACTACTACTCGGCTCTCCCCGAGTTCAAGGGTGACCGCTTCACGTCGGTGATCGGCACGACGGCTTCGGGGATCTCGTACCTCGGCGCGCCGCTGGCCGTGCCCCTGATACGGCGGTGGTCGCGGTACAGGACGCAGATGATCCTCGTAGGCTGGCCGCTGTGCATTGTGGGACTCGTGGCGGGCAGTTTTGCGGATCGGCTGCCCACATTGATTCTGACGCAGGGAGTCATGTACGGCGTTGGGTTCATTATCTTTTATTACCCCATCTTGACGATGGTGGATGAGTTCTGGGTGACCAGGCGGGGGATGGCGTATGGTGTTTTGTGCGCGGCGTCCGGGGCTTCGGGCGCCGTGATGCCTTTGATTCTCCAGGCGATGTTGGGTAGGTTCGGGTACCGCACGACGCTGCGGGCTGTGGCTGTTGCGTTGGTCGTCTTGACGGGGCCATTGGTGCCGTTTCTGAGGGGTCGCTTGGGAGTACACGCCAACACGAGTCTCAGGACGGATTGGAAGTTTCTTGGGAAGCCGTTGTTCTGGATTTACAGCGTGAGTAATTTGTTGATGGGGTTGGGGTACTTCTTCCCGTCTCTCTATCTGCCGTCGTATGCGACCACTATCGGATTAAGTGTATCGAAGGGAGCGTTACTACTGACGATCATGAGCGTGTCGCAAGTCGCGGGACAGTTCACGTTCGGCTACCTCTCGGACAAGAAACTGTCGTTGAACGCACTGATGACGGTCTCCCTCTCGGTTGCAGGGGCCGCGACGTTCGGGGCCTGGGGTCCTGCCCGCTCATTACCGCCGCTCATCATCTTTGCACTTCTATATGGTTTCTTTGGCGCGGGATATACGGCCATGTGGGCGAGGATGGTGACTGCGATCGACGACGAGCCTTCCGCCTCCCAAGCAATGTTCAGCCTGTTCTGCTTCGGAAAGGGCGTCGGGAACGTCCTGGCTGGGCCGATCAGCGCGGATCTGTTGAAGCTATCTTCGGACACGGCTGGTTATGCGCACGGAATGTACAAAGCGGTCGTCGTCTTTGCGGGAATTTGTCTGCTTCTCAGCGCTGGCACTTTGGCGGCAACCAAATTGCCGACCAAAGGGCGTAGCTGATAGCGGGAGTCGGAATTTCTCGCACGACAACTAATGCTATCAATAATGAGGTTATTATTGCTCAAAGACGCAAAAAGCCATATCTGGAGGACTTTTGGACAAGTCAACCACTCCGCAAATGTCTTCGGAAAATAGGTACACCGGAGAAGGAGGCCTCAGACATGAAGGCGTCGCCCAACGCCCGGGGCAGCAGCACCAGCAACAGTGATTACCCGACATTCATCCAATGCACCATCGAGTTTGCGCCGGCCAGACTCCAAATATAGGGATTGGCCTACCCGTGTCTGCGTCGGTGCTGAGTATTTTCACCTGGTCCGATGCAGGCCTTCGATACGTCGAGAACATCCTCTTGCGGACATGAACCCGTGCGACTATGCTTGCACGGTACTCTGGCTCGGCTCCATTTATCCTTTCCTGGGTCATTGCATGTCGGGCAGAGACCGCCAGTAAAAGCGCCTCTGAGCTAGCCCCATCGAAACGGTCAAGGTCGTAGGAGTTCGAGATCCCTTCTCTCTGAGAGTCAAGCTCGAACATCCGTTGCGACGGCCTTCGGGGGACACGGTCCTGGCCTTCCTTCGTAACAGAAATAATGTCATCACGCAGGGCAACTGCAGGGATAGTGCTTCCCAGAAGCGTGTCGTTGATCTCCCATTTCGTATCCTCCGGCAGCCAACTAATATCATAGTAGTAGTCCCAGTCAAGAGGGAGCATGAATTTGATACTCGCCGCATCGGCAATGCCCTCGCTTTTGGATATTGCGATATGCTCCATGACCTCTGCCCATGAGCACGCAGGGTTGAAGCTGGGGAGCGAAAGATGAAGTCCAGCCGAGTCAGCCTCCACCAGAGGCGTCGGAGTTGTAGCTGGGTCAATACTGGTAGAGCGGAACACGAACGATTTGGGGGCCCATCTAAATCCTTGCGCCGTCAGGTTCGGGACACTGCTCAGATCGAGTCTATGAGACGATTCAAAGACGGAATCTCGTGGGAAGTATCTTTGCAACAAGATGAAAGCCTTCATGCGCTTTTCACATGCCTCGGGGTCATGGCGGCTGATCGCAAGGATCGTAGACAGGTCCAGATCAAGCATGTTCGCCAAGCATATTGTTTCATCGTCTAGGTAACTGGTTGTCCGCCACTGGACAGCCGACCATATGGCTTGAATCCGATCGTGAGATGTCATTGACTTGAATGCCTCCATCTTTGTGAACGGCATGCAAGTCTCCCGGAAGATGGCGCGAAGGAATGCCTGGTAGATGTTTGAATCAGAGTCCGGGTCCGTCTCTACCTCGACTGCAAGGGAAGAAAGCTCGACAGCGCCATCGCGCAGCTGGAAAATCGACCTTTTAGACAAGATCCCCTCATGCAACGTCCAGAGGCGCCTGAACCACGCGGTCCGGTTAATTCTGGCGGATAATTCCCATGGGCCCCGACAAGAATCAATCTCGTGTAATTCCGAACTGAGGATCAGGACATCTTTGGCAAGACGATAGACCTTTACCATCTTCGCTATAGCTAGGCTGCGCTCGGCCTCAAAGTCACTTCCAGTAGGGACACATATTGTATCGATCCAGAAATTGCGATTCGTCAGGGCCGACGAATCTGGCTGCCTGAACGGTTGAAGATCATTGACTTGCTTCTGGATCCTCTTAAGCTGGCAAGTCGGCAACCCGTTCGAATGGAGATTTCCGAGACCGTCACTCCACACATGAGAAATAGCCGTAAAATTGGTTGGCGAACATGACCCTACCTGCTCGAGCTCAATGGCGTTCATCCCGTTGTTCAAGCGAATAGTGGGAATTGATCCCTCACGGAGTATCTCGGCGACCGCATCTGTCGAGACACATATCATGTCACAGTCGCAACCAGCGGAAACGTGCTTGGTCTGGTAGGCCTGTCGATCGATTTGACAACTACGACAAGCGTCTTCCGTACACTGCGGATGGCTTGTAATGTTGTTCAAAGGGCCCAGCCGCGAGACATAATATCTACCGAGAACCGTAGCGTCTTGGTAGACACGAAATATGTCGCTCGGACACCAGCCATTTTGTAGAAGCGTGTGCTTGATCACATCCGCATGATGATAATGTGGGAAAGATAGAGTAGCTTGAGCAAAGACTGCGTTGCGGGCAATAACGAGGGTGGCATGCAACACGTCCAGGGATAGATTTAGAGGCTCTGGAAGGAGGTTTGAATAGGTATTGAAATCTGTCAAGGAGGTCATCAGCATGTGGTGGAAGTAGCGCATCCGGTCCAGAAGGTGATCGATCCGGTTGCGCACCTCGATTTGCTCTGCTTCGTCACGAGACGCTATCCCGTGGTGCCATTCCTCGAGTTTAGCAAATAGATGTGCGGTGGTAATGATCGGTCGGCCATCCTTGGACACAGCAGTCCAATCCGGGACAGGACAAGGAACGCCGAGAAACTCGTCCAAAACGCCGAAGAAGAGCCATGACTGCACAAAGGCAGCCAAAAGACCTCTCACGCTATTTGGAAAGGTCTCTGCGTGCATACCGTAAAATTCCGAATAATCCCATCCACATCGCTCCGGGTATGAGACCCAAGGACCACTGTAGATATATGGATAAGGGTCATATTCGTAGAGTGGAACTTCAAGGTGATCGGAATTCGGCGCCTGTGGAAGTGGTATATGATCCATCGAGCTAGACTGTTCCTTCAAGACAAAGTATGGTCCGAACGTTGCCTGCAAGAAGCATCCACCAAACAGAGACTTGTGCAGACAGCAAAGGCTAGATGTGCGTGCTCTTCTCCCCGGAGCCTATAGTATTGCAGCTCATGTGTGTGCTTCGATGTTGGGAGTTTGTGATCGCGCCACTTGCAGACCGGAGTGTGTACCGGTCAGATATGTGTGAACCGCGGCGAGTCGATGCTCTCATCAGTTCGAGGTTGGCCGCGGCCAGGCAGGTAGATTGAGCCAACATGCGCATGTTCCTCGGCTAGACAAAAGCGGGAGGACGACGACTAAAGCAAAGGTCAGTAGGAAAGAAACATCTCACGAGCCATGCGTGAAGCTGCTGGGCAAGAGTGAAATGACGAGCAAGTTTAGGGCTCTGTTGTATCAATCAGCTTCAGCTTGTGCCGATGTAGGGACATTTGACACATCGAGGCCGACAGCACAAGGATGCACTGAGCAACATGGAAGTGGCGGTGGGGGATATACAGTGGATTTGCGCCTGCCTATCCATAAGGCAGACGAGGTAAGGAGGGATGGGATGAGGAAATTGGGAAATGTACGCAGTACGGAGTAGGGAGTACCACCAAGATAGTTGGTATCGGAGCATAGTGCCTGGGGCGCAGTACGGCGGACCATATATCTCATAACGCACAAAAGCTCCAGTCATGCAATCCGATTCATGAAAACAGTGAATGATGTCCAGGTCAATCTGACTGCCTCACCTGCTGTACCTCACCTCAAATTGACTTGAATAGTCCTATTGAGACCTGTTTTGGCTCTAGTATTATTCCCTCTGGCAGCCCAGCCACCACTAATCTGCGTACCACTGCCGCCTGTGCTATTGAAGTTCGCAATTGCGATTCCTCGTACAAGGTAATTAATACTTGATGGTTTTCTTGATCTCAAGGGACGTTCGTAACCATCTATCACTGTCTTCTCTTCTGTCGCACGCCTCTTCACGAATCGATAGTATTTTATTTCGGCGTGATCTCGTCTCTTCATCACTATTGCAGCACCGCAAAATGAATGCCCAAGTCGGACCCAATGACAATGACATGGACAGTGATCTCGACTCGCTCTACGATCCATTTGGAGAGGAAGTAGAACTCCCAGATGACCCAGGTGCCTTGGACTCAGAGTCATCTGCAAACTCAGACACCTCAGACACGGCCGGCTCTTTCGACCCGCAAGCTCAGCTCCTTGAAGACCTCGAGTCCGACCTGAACAGCCTCACCCTTGAAGCCGAAATCATCCTATCCCGCCAACCCAGAAGCACTCAGCTCATCCTCGCCAGGGAAACAAAGGCCCTATTCAAGAGCTACGAGAAGTATGGCTCCATGGCTCGCTTGAGAGTGGGGGTCGAGAAATTCCTTCGCCTGGGCGACGAAAGAGGCAGACTCCGCATCGAAGACGACGACGAGAACGACGAGAATGACTCTCCGTCCATGACACTCCAACCAACGCGGCCCAAACGCCCAGCTCACTACGGCGAAGCCTTCATGCTCAATTTCACCTCCGACGACGATGCCCCTAAATTCAACGCCGAGACCGACTTCATCACCCCTCCCGTCAAAGACCCCTTCAACCCCAACCCTAATAGCTACATCCATCACCCTCTCCGCATCATCGACCCGGACTGCATCCCCTACGTGACAACCCTGCCGTGGGACCCGATCGCCACGAAGATAACCTGGCCCGCCCATCTCGCCTGGCCGCGCGGGTTCCTCAGCGCCATCAACAAGATCCTCAGCATCGTGGACCAAGAATCCCGCGTCCGCCTCTTCCACCATGTCACCAAATGGGGTCCCAGCCCGGTCTTTCGCGCGGGAATCGCCGAGCATGTGAAGGCCCAATACTCGACCATCTTCGAGACGGCCGAGGAGAATTCCCTAGGATTGACGCCCGAGACGAGATCGTTCCTGCGGGACATCTACTTCAAGAAACAGTACCTCAACATTGCAGAACGCAGGATGTTGGCTCTCGCGTGCAGGATCAACGAGGAGTCCGTGAAGCTTTTCTGGGAGGAGACAGCCGAGCAGTTGAGGGGGTATGGAGCGATGCGGACGTTCATGGCGGCCAGAGAGATTGAGAAACCCCGCGAGGCGAGGAGGAAGTTCGAGGACGAGACGCGACTCAAGGAGCAGAAGCGCAGGGAAGAGGTCCGGAGGGAGCATGAGAGGCGGGTGCTCGAGTTGAGGGCTGGCCGTGCCGACCCCCACGCTCTGCTCTATTTCCAGGTTGATGGCGAAGCGAACGTGCAGCATGCCGGCAGGGGAACGGCCAACGACTGAAGTCTAGACGGCACGACATCGGAAGGGGGAGAATACCAAGGGCGCAAAGCATGTCGAGATGATCCCGACGATGACCGCCTCCCGGAGCATGGGCCGGGGAGCACGTGGACGGTTGCTTGTCCGAGCTGCCTGGCGTTGCTTCATGGTACTAGGTACGAACGGGGCCACATGACGGCGAAGGAGCACGAACGATACCTAATGTTTCCAGACGTGGCGGTGGCGTGCCGGTATTCCGTAGCTTTTCCACAGTCAGCGTTGACTGCTCCGACAGCACAAATCAAATGTAATGTATTAAACGTGTACCAGAATCCTCTTGCTCTTGCCTATGCAAATTGTTTTCTAGAATGTCAACGCAGCGTGGATCCCGGAGAAATGAAACCCCACAACACCGTATTTGATAACTCATAACCACCTACTTCACGCGCTCCTTTCTCCCTCCTCTCCACAACTCACAGCAAAGCCACCGCCCCAGCAAGACCAACCACCGCAGCCATGATCCCCTGCCCCACACTCTTAACCGCCGCACCCGTATACGTAGCATTATACGACATGGTCTTTGCCGGCGTAGTCATGATTGTAGTGGTCGTCGTGCATTGGGTAGTCGTCATCACTACGCCCGAGTGCATCATGCTCATGCTCATGCTCGTGATCGAAGCGTCAGGCACCGTGCTGACGGAGAGTGAGACGCTTGTCGTGGCCGTCACCGTGCCGGCGACTGTGGTCGTCGAGGCGCCGGGCGTGTAATCGCCATCCGCCGTGTCCGAGGGAGACGCCGTAGGCGCCACAGAGTCGGAAGCTGCAGCTCCGTCTCCTGTCGCTGCTGGGGCGGACGACCCCGATGACGGGGAGCCTCCTCCGGCGCCGAGTGCCGCGCCACAGTATGTTTGGGCGAAGATCAGGGCAGCTGTGCGTATACGTCTCCGTCAGTAAATGGATGAACATGTTATGTACCGTGGTGTGGGGTTTGCTTGGGCGTGGATAGCCTCAATTGGCGTCTACGGCAGAAGATAGTGAGGGTGTGCGCGAGCGTGGGTGTGTGCGTACCTTGGACATCCTGCGCAGTGCAAGTCTGGGTCACGGCCGTGGTGATGGCGGTAATGAATGGCTGCGAGCTGCAGATACAGTCCTTATCGTTTGCGGCGCAGCCTGAGGATCCGAGTGCCGAGTTGGCGGCGTCTTGCTGGTAAGCAGGTCAGCTTAACCTCGATCACTAGAAAGTGCACAGAAGTGCAGCGTCGCTTACTGCACAGGCGGGCAGGCCAGCAAGGGCGCTGGTGTCTGCGGGTGTTTGAGGTCTTGCTTGTGTGAGGGTTGTGAGGAGCAACGCGGTCAAGATCTGGAAATGCATCTTGGATACGGTGGTAGTCGTGTAGGATTCGGTGTTGGTTATGTAGTGTTGTTGGTGGGTGGTGGTCAAGAACGAGAGAGCGCAGTACAGAACGAGTGAAGCGGTCGGTTACAGTAACAAAGACACTGGGAATGAGAGACTGGACAACGGAGATGCAGACAGCAGACAGCAGACAGCCATATCTTGCTAGTAGGCCTTGCCTATAAAGGGCTCAGAGGCAGGTAAACAAGCCAAATATGGCTGGAATGTGGCTCGTGGTGTTTGCGGGCTCAGAGCTATGGCAACGGGTGGAATGCTGCTTTCTGCTACGGCTCAAACTGCCATCATTTGAGGACTGGAGCTCTGTTGGCTGTGCCTTGGCGTTCATGTCTTCTTTGTGAGCTGTAGATGAGAGGGATAAAAAGCATATCCAAACCAGACGCAAAGCAGTACCGCGGGAGATCAAGAGGCAGGCTGTCGAAACAACGACCACATATTGAGCAGGGTAAAAAAGACACCGCCAGGCAGATTCGTCACTACCTGGTTGAAACCCGTCTTGCTCGCCTGATCTCGGATGGGTTGAACAGAGGTTTCGCCACGAAAGCATCTTGAGTTTGGTCATACGATTTCGAGTGAGGTGGAGAGGCGAGTCGGGGGTCATTTTGTACACAGTACGGAGTAGTACGGAGAAGTTCGGGACCGTGAGCCGGCGAAGTACCTCGCTTGAGTTGCCTCCATAGACGCCCATCTTTGCCCAGAGTTTCCAGGTGCAGCGTCCCAATCCTTTCTGCTCCTCCCTTTCAGACGCATCGCATCTAGTCATCTCTCAACATGGTCAATTTCTGCAATAAAATCTCCCCGTCCGCGTAGTCAAAGAGGATTGGCACGTTATGCGGCCAGAACACACTTGATGTGCGCATGTGTCGACACAGGACAAAACAGCTCTGCCCGTCCTGGTGGCGCATTCAGCAGTCCTCCAAGTACCCGCCGTGGTCATCTCAATCGTTGGCGGTCTGTTGATATACGGCACGATAATCAGCGTCGGCCGTAGGTTACCTGATGATGTTGAGGAGAGCGTAGGTCATTTGAGGAGCAAGGACGCTCGCGGCGAAGGTGTCGGGGGTTCGCGGCGGATCCACCGTAAGGAAGTTCCAAAAGTGGCAGCAGTGAGAATATCTCAGATCACGGCTATCACTGCGCTTCGTGCGAAGACTCGACGTAGGGTGGAGGTATAGAAAGGACAAGGACTGATGCGAAGTCTTACTATGACCCTGACATATTTTGTTGCTGTCTATGTAGCTTTCGCAAAATTAGTGTTGGATGTCGCCATCTAGTTGTACCCAAGTCGTATATCGTGTATGTGTATATATACAAAACGCCAAGTCGTGTAATGTCCTTTATTATAACCCTTCAGAACTTCTCAATATTGCTTTTGTCGTCAACAGCATACTGATCGACGGCGCTGACAATATGCGGATTGAGGACGAAAGGTAAGCTGCAATGGCAGACAATCATCAGAGCCATCGGTACGATCGCCACAGGTTGTGTGATCCTCCATGCCAGTGGTGCAAAACACGCCATGTATATCACGCCACCCGCGAGGGGAATCATGACAAGGTACATGTACTTGAACTTGTTCACAATCTTTGGGATCTCCATGAAGAAGTTGGAATTCTCAACTTCCTTCTTGGTCATCTCCCAGGTCATTTCGTACCCGACGATGTGGGCGATCAGCGCTTTGTTGACGTGGAAACTGAGGCCATAGAAGTAGAAGCAGTACATGGGCTGCCACCGGAAATTTTCCCAGAGCGAACCAAAGAATGATCGTTCGCCGATGCGGAATCGCATAATGGCCAGGGCGACGTTGCTGAGGATCCAGAACACCAGGACCACGGAGAGAAAGATGGACCATGAGGAGGTGTAGAATTTGTCCAGTTGATCCCAATAAAGGCCGACCAGAACATAGTTGGCAATGGTGTAGAAGAAGCCACTACCGATGGCATAATCTGGGAGACAAGGGTGTCAGCTCGTAACGTCCACCATCCGCGTGTGACCATACTCACATGAAGTCATGTATGATATAATGCTGAGCTTCGACGACCAATGCATATCGCAAAACAAAAATTTCCTAAACAACGGAGTAAATGGCGACCTCCACAGCCACGTCCAGATAGGATTGAACAAGAGTTCACTGTCGCCGTAAGAGTATCTTTCCCATCGACTGATCTCATCGTATATCGTCAGAGACACTTGCTCCTTGAACTCGTCTTGGTGATAGGAGGCGTATCGAGTGACCCAGTTGGCGCTTTGAAGTCGAAGGCTCATGTTGAAGTCCTCGGAAATGTGATATTCGGACCAGTACATGACATAGTTCGGATCACCCGTATCCATGCCGACGTCTTGGAGCGCTTTCCAGCGCACGAAAGCGTTGTGGCCGACAAAGGGGGCGCATTCACCATTGCTGACTTGGAAACGAATCTGCGCATAACACATTTTGGCAAAATACGTAGCACCGTTCTCGAAGAAGTCGCCGGAAACTTGGTATACAGAAGTGTGGTGTTGCACGATGGCGACTTCTGGCGAAAGGAACATTTCTGCCGCTCCATTGATGAGGCAATCCCGAGGCTGAGGCCACACGTCAGCTCAATACTCGCACCCAGGTGTCCATGAACTTACGACTCGAGTATCGGAATCACACATCAGGATGACTTCACCTATACGGATGTTTCCAGCGGCTTTGACTCGACTATCTTTGGCCAGTTCTTCGGTCAAAGCTTGGTGATAGAGCACCTCCTCGTCCGCCGGGTCGATATAGACTGGGCTTCCATCTCTGACTTGACAGTGGGCATTCACGAGTCTTGTGAGAGTTCGCTCGACCTTGTTGGCAAAATTCATGCAGAAGTTCGAATTTGAGGCTTTCTTGAATCGCCCGGTACGGAAGTATCCGTTCTCGCCGTTCATTGGTCGGGCTACCCAGCTGTGGTCAAAAGTCAGTAAGGTAGTTGCCAGACAGCGGTGTATGACGCTTACCCAATGTTGTTGGCTTCGTACCATTCGATACGAGCTTGTGCCGCATCAGGGTCCTTATGAAGGAGGTATCCGAGGCCATCATCCGTGATGAAAATATTGGCCTTTCCTCCTTTCAACTCATAGTCTGAGACTGCAGCCATCAGACTTCGGACCGTCGGCATAACGACCAACTCCAGTGACTCCTTGTAAACAGCCATTTGTATGGTGATTCGTGGAGGAGCGAATCCGAGATCATACGCTTGCTTGAGGTTTGGTTTGTTGCTTGAGAAGAATCGTGTGTTGGTGAAAAGGCCGGTGATGGGTCCAAAAAGCTGAAAGGCATAAGTCATCAGAGACAGAGAGAAGAACATGGCCACAATCAAGGTTAGTGGCTCGAAGGCAATCCAGACGAATCGCATGCGGTCGCCGTCTGTCAAAAACTCGAGGACGAGATGAGATGTGGTGTAGCCGAATATGAGGAAGACCAGGAAGAATATCGAACAAGCCATGATGATGGCGCCATAGAGCTTGACGGGGCGGTCGAGGGATTCTTTTTCGAGCTCCTGTTCTTCCACGTCTGAGACCTCTGTGACTTCAGTTGTGAACCTCTCCCTCTTCGATTTGTCCCACACGCTTAGAGAACTCGCAGTCAAAGCTCTGGATGTGTTGTAGGCGGCGTTGAAAGGAGCGGCCCCCCATATCTAAAAATCAGTCAGCGCTCTTCTGGCCGGCAGGCACCATACCCCAGTCTCGGTTGTCGGAACTCACGAGTTTCACCAATTCCTCTTCCGTGGCGACCGCTTGTTGCAACACCTTGTCGACTTCGTCGTGCCATACTAGCAGAATTCTCTCACTTCTGATTAATGCCGCATAGGGGAATCTTCGTGCCTGAGCAAGCCCAATTCGCATGAGGTTGGCCATGCAGTCGACGACTTGGAGATCCCGGCCGTCACCAAGCGTGATTCCATGATCTTCGTCGCCAATGACATCGAAGATGGCCTCTGTGGCATCCGTAGCAATGGCAAAAGCTGCCTCAACGCCTAGTCTTGCAACCGTGCGCACCAGCGTTTCTGGGAGGTCTGTCGGCTCAAAACTGTAGGTGGCGTTGGATTGACGCAAGAGGACACCAAGTGGCCTTTTTGGCAGGTCGCTTTCGAACCAACCATTAGCAATACCTTTTCCATAGAGGAACTTTGTCATCTAAGACTCGATCAGCTCAGCTCTCCTAGCATTTGCGAAAGCTCGTACCGTTCTGAGCCTCAGTGCTTCATCGAAGTTGGCTTTGTCCAGGCGCCTGCTCTGGCGGCTGGACACGGACACTCCTGAAGAGTTGGGCTGCGAAAAATGCAGATAGTGAGGTCTCGCCAGAGGCGTCGAGGCACCTGGCTCCAAGGGTGAAGCCATCGCTGTTGTTGGTAGAAGCAAAGAAGCTTGGTCCCTACCTCAGCCTGACTGGTCGAGTGCACCGAGCCTTGACAAAGAAAAAGAACGAAGGACTACGGATGAACTGAGAAGAGTCTAAGTTTGTTTACAGAAAACAGCGGCGTCTTTTCGTTATCTCCCGGCCTGGCTACCATGGAAGCAGACCCCTGAGTGCGAAGCGTCGACTTCCCGGATGTGAGTTACGCATTTTGCCCGGATGCAAGATTCTGCTCGCCTTCGACCATCGTCGCGTCCCGCATTGTCTGATTGCGAAGGCATGCTCGTGTGCATCTAGCTCAGCCGTTGAACGTAGCGCGTGTCGCTCAGACGACAAGTTGAGTTCGGCAAATCTCAGGCTGCCGTGATGATTGGATGTGTTCTTACTGCAGGAACAGGTCTGAGATCCACCTTGGCGTGCCACGCCCCGGACAAGACAGCTTCCGCAACGTACTGTGGGTCGGAGCCCGTTTCTGGGCAAAACCCCCTTCGGCAACGCTAGTGAGCTTGCACGGAGGCTAACCTGGCCAGGACAACATTAAGCCTAATAAGTGTCTAGGTCACAAGCAAAACTTGCCTCTTCATCCTGTGATGGGTTTAGCGGAGGGATGGTCGGGCGGGAGTGGCCGAAGAGGGGATGCCAAAAACAGGCTCCGTGCACAGTAAACTTGGAGATCCCGTCGCTATCATTCTGGGCTGAGACACTGCATGGTCTGGGAAGGACAATCTCTGCTTCAGGCTATTCATGGACCTCTGGGCCGCCACCCAACAGGGACAGCACATTGTCAGCTCGCCACGCTAAATTGAGACGGTACTGTGTAAATCAGAGGGTCACCAGCGATATCGCTTATCACAGCCGTGACTCTGCCTGCTTTACCAATGATACCTCACAGTCGGGGGATCATCGCCTCGGATCAGCACTGCTCAGAGACATTGTATCTGCTTTCTCAGGCGACATCGCCGAGCACCTTCCTCATGTGCGATAAGACTATTCTCTATCTTGTTGGAACTCTGTTTCCACTTCCTCGCTAACGGCTTTTTAATTTCACCGTCAACTTCTGAACTGTCCCAATTGAGCGTTTTACAGGGGTCATGGGCCGCGATTAATCTTGTGGCTGACATGGCTGGACATGCCAACCATGCGCCTCCAACCATGCGAGATCACCGTTGCCCGAGCTAGTTTCGCCCCTGATGCGGAGTAACGCCCGGCCAGTACTAATCTACGCAGTCGAGTTTAGTGACGCTGCCAGGGCGAAAGGCTAATCCCACTTCTGCGCGTCGAACACATGTCTCACGACCCCCGAGCGTGTCTCATGAGAACAGTCTGTAAGAGCACCGAAAACTCGCCACCCATGCCGATCGATTTTGGTGAAGTGCCAACAACAGCTCTACGCAAGAGTTGAATGCCGCTACATTATCATTGTCTCGCAGTCACCTTTACGGCTTTTGTGTGTCAGCCAGTCTCGGGCACAGACGAGAGAGAAGATGACGTCGCCGATCCCAAACTCCCATGACCCCGACTTCGTCTATGGAGCGCATCAAGCAGGTCATCTACTTCCCCAGAGGCCAAGTCACAGCAACAGCGAGGTCGCATCGACAGAGAACTTTGGCTACAATCGTACCCGAGACGGCTCCGAGGAGGATCTCTTCCGAGGCCTCAACAGCTATCGTGTGAGCGGTACGCGCAACCATGAGTTCAAAACTTATCTGCTGGACGGAAAGTTAGTTGCTCTTCCATCTGTTCCCCTCTCTAACTATTCGAGCATCATTGACATGAAGCAGGATCGAGAAACCTTGGACTGCGGACAAGAAATACAAAGCGCCCCGCAAGGGCAATTGGTTTATTCTTGGAGGGCTCTTCCTTGCGATAGCTGTCAGCGCCGTTGTGAACTGGAGGATCGCGGTCGGCGTTCCCAACCACGAGGTTCGGCTTCCCATTTGGCGTCTGACCGTGCTTCACTGACCCAGAATTTCCCTTTGCAGTATTGTCTAGTCCTGGACGATTCCTTCAGCACCCTCGATAAATCCATCTGGAGGCATGAAGTCCAACTTGACGGATTCGGTACGGGCTCATTCGACTGGACAACGACTGATGACCGAAATGCCTTTACTGATGGAGATGGACTTCACATCGTTCCCACCTTCACAACTGCCACAACCCGTATTACTGAAAAGCAATTACACGATGGGTCAGTAGTTGCACGTCCCCTGCCCTGGGCTGCCGAAAGATTCTAACCTGTGGATCAGTTATCATCTGAACTTGAACCAGTCAAAACAAGGTGACAAGTCATGCACAGCCCCCAAATCAGCCCAATACTATATCGATGAATGCACCAGGAAATCCAACATCACCTCCCACGCAATCATAAACCCCGTGAGGTCAGCACGCCTCACTACGCAAGGTGCAAAATCGATCCGGTATGGTCGTGTTGAAGTCGTGGCCAAGATGCCAAAGGGCGACTGGCTCTGGCCGGCCATCTGGATGATGCCAGAAGATTCCCGTTATGGGATTTGGCCCCTCTCTGGCGAGATTGATATCATGGAAAGTCGCGGCAACGCACGTGGCTACAGGAACGGCGGCAGAGAGACAGTCTCAAGCACGCTGCATTGGGGTGAGCGAATCTCCCTCCCGGTCTCGAGAGTGATCTTGTTGAACTGAACCACGTCAGGTACCTCGTGGAAGACCGACAACTTCTACAGAACGACACAAAAACACAAGATCCAAAGAACAGACTATTCCGAGGGTTTCCACACGTTCGGGCTCGAGTGGGATAAGGATTACATCTACACATGGGTCGACAATCGACTTCAGCAAGTTCTCTACGTCGACTTCACGAAAAAGGATCTATGGCAACGCGGCCATTTCCAAGGCGACTACGAAAACGCAACGCAACTCACCAACCCGTGGTACATTTCAGGAAACAAGAATGCACCTTTCGATGAAAAATTCTACCTGATTCTCAATGTTGCGGTCGGGAGTCGCAATGGCTGGTTCTTGTACGTTTTTTGGCAGCATTGCTTCTGTCTGTCCCCATCGCTGACACATGTTATACAGGGACGGAGTTGGCGACAAGCCATGGGTTGACGGGAGAGACTCTGCAGCCTCTGACTTCTACGGCGGTGAGTCCAGTGTGACCTGTTACCTCTCACAATATATGCTGACACACCCATTAGCCAGATCGGAGTGGGAACCGACCTGGGGACCGGGGAACGAACGCGGTCTGACGGTCAAGAATGTCAAAATGTGGCAGCAAGGTAAATGTAGCACATAAAACACAAATGGGATGTAGACTAGCACAAACATGAGAGGTAGACTAGCACACGAAATGGGGTGTAGAATAGCACACGAATGGCATGTACAGTACATAGTGCAAAGGGCGTTTTCGGGCGTTGGTCATGCTCAAGGAAAGACCGTAGTCATGAAATAATGCATGGTCTGAGAGTCCGGTCCCCCATCCTCCCCCCTCTGGCTCGGCGTCGAAACGAAACTGTCGGATGACCAAGCTCGAGCGCTGGAAGCCAAGAATACGCCCATCTCAGCCATTGCATGACGTCCGCTAGCCGGCATCCAGCTTTTCCAGGGAATCTGCCAGAGAACAGTGGATGGCGGACAAACCCACTACCTGTGTGTCGAGGAGTATACGAACAGTCGCAAGATACGCCATCATTCTTGCAATTTGCCAATTATGACTTGCATTGCAAGACCTTCGGGGTCGAGTTCTTCTCCGCCTCCAGTGACTCACTTATGATATGTACTGGCAGTGCAAGTTCCGACGGCTACGCTGCCGTATGCAGTCCTGACTTTATCGCCAACTTCAGCCTCCCTGCGACTCTTTGACCACGTATCAAACAGTCGATGAACAGTCTAGAACCTCTGATGACCATGGCCGCCGAGTCCGCACCGGGATAGGCGTCTCCAACCAAGGGAAGACTTTGTACGAGTCCAGACTAATAGGCTGCGCCAAAAAGTGCACCTCCAATGTGAGCAGCGTGACCCAATCTGCGAGTCCTTGTTACTGTATCCAGATTTGCACTGTCGAACAGCAAATGCGCAGCCGGAACTAGTCACAACAGCATGTCGACTGCACCGGTCCCTCTGACTTTGGCGGTGGGCATAAAAGTAAAGAAGCGAAGGGGGTGGAGACCAACGTATACACCTGAAAGACCGAGACCGTGGTATTCTCGACTGTTGGACGCTGGAGGGGAGATTGACTCCGGGATCACCTGCGCGAGCTGCGCGGCTGGGAGGGTTGAGCTTTTACGTTCTCGTTCGGCCCGACACGAGGATGCGGCGCTGCCACAGAGGCGCTGCCCAGTATCACTATCAGTGAGATGTGGTCCCCAGCTGACAGAGGCATGTCGATGAGTGCGTTTGAAAGGGTACGGAAGGTCATGAGATTGCCCGAGAGATGATGCGTGTCCCTATGGCTGATCGCAGAGTTCAAAGATGTCCACTAAAGCATTCAGTCGGTGGAAGTTTCAACATCGACACCGCCACAGCAGAGGCGGACAACGAGCCCGCGAGCCGCGAGCAGTTAAACTAATGCTTCAGCCGCCAGGCCAAGTCTCAATTGCTGTCTGCCTTCTGTTGCTACTGCACTAACATTATCTAAGCGACGTGCTTCAGGCCGAGCTTCCGCCCACTACGCCTCAAGCACTGTCTCACGGGAACACTGGCAATGTCCTGCCCGATTCCGACGATCCCATTATAGCGTCCGAGCATGTAAATATTCTCTGTCCTGCATTGTGAGACGATCAAGCTTTGGCATCAGTCGTCGGCGCATCTCCTGTCGTCACCAACTTGGGACCCTTTGGCCCAGCCTTGCCGGTGAAATTTGTATAAATGTGCCAGACTCCACCGTCGCGGTCAACATTGGTTTCGACGATGCTGATCTCCGCAGCAGTGGGCGACACATGTCCTGCAAGCACCCATTTCATGTTGTCGTAGCCCTTCATGCCCAGATAGTAAGGGCCGCCGTCCCAACAGTCATCGCCTGGCACGCCGGGAAAGTCGAGCTCGTTGTTGTCCGGCAATGTGCCGATCCAGGTACCTGCCAGATCATACCCATCTCCCTTCTTGGTAGCGTTGATCTGCCAGCCTTGAGGTTCATCATACCACTCGTCAGAGGAAGATTGGAAGCTGACGGTGATGTTGTCATTGTCCTTGCTTGGAATTTCAAAGTAGAATGTATTGTTGTCGTAGACGCGTCGATCAAGTGATGGGTTGCCGGGAACCGTCATGCCTCCAATGAGGAAAGAGTTTTTCAAAGGTTGCCATGTCGTGTCAGGACATTCAGACGCAGGGCCTCCAGTCAGGGTGACTGTGGTGGTACCTGGAGCTGGTCAACGTAGGCTTGCCGGACATTGCAGTGTTTCTCACCATTGTACCATGCAAGATACTTCCACATGTCGCCATCGACATGGCCAGAGCAATTGTAGTAGTTCGAGCTGGCGCCCCGATCGGTGAAGACAACGCGTCCTAAACCATCAAGTTTTGTGGGATGCTGATGAGAGAAGGGAAAGCTTACGTCCGCAGTCCTGGCTCAACACCATGGTAGCCAGCATTAGGCCGGTGATCAATGGGCGTCTGAGTGAAGAAGTCATCTTGAGTACTGGCCAAGGCAATCCAGATTTAGTAGACTGTGAGAATAAGAAGGGTCGTCCGGCTTGTTCGTGGAAAAGAACGCAGGCGGACCTGGAGAAGTATTTATCTTGCATTCTCATCCCTGCTCCCGAGAAGCCACCACCCCAGGCAAGGCAGACTTGACACACTAAATTCGTCTGCCACACAACCGATAGGGCTGACCAGAAGCTGCTAGAGAAGCATACGCAGCGACAAGTTTGACCATTCTCAGCAGCTGGAAAATAGGAAGGTTCAGCACAAGGACCTAGATGGTCGCAGGGTGAGGCAAGGCAGAACGGTGTTCAAAGCAGCTCATCGCCTCCACTTTCCGCATTCCCTTCTGTGCAAGGATTAGTGCGTCAAAAGCCCATCGCTCGATCGCCATGGTAAGGACTTTTGCACTTCCCGTTTTCGACCACATGCGGCTCCTTGTGCCTATCACAACCTGACATTTGGACGTCGCTCAGCCGCTTGCCTGAACTCTAAGGGCAGGTTTGGCCAGAGTCTCGCAGAGCAGCCGAGGTACAGCCTCAGAGCTGTAGATTCTGGATGCCAAAGGAAATCCAACACTCTGGCGAGTCGCCACACATCTGAGCGTATAATGAATTGACATAAGAGCCGTGGCTTGTGTACAACTTCGAGCCCAGCAAGTTTGAGCCAGATCATACCTTGTGCGGAATGCAATGTGCTGAAATCAAGATCGCTAAGAATGACCAAGCAAATGCTTCAAGAAGCCAAGAAAGCTGCCTGGTCGTGCAGGTTCCAGTCGCCAGCCCTAGGGCTCCAGCCGGGCAGAATTTTCGAGAGAGGTGCGATCCTCATTGGACATGATGGCGGGGAACCTGCCCAACACGAGGTCGTAGCCCTAAGTTTCCAGACCTCTGGCCGGCTCGATAAGGAGCTGTGCCCTTCTCGGTGGCTCCCAGCAAGGCAAAGGGAAATCTTTGAGAGTTTCGGTCACCGCATGCATCAGGAGAAAATGTTGAAAGTTCCAGCTGATTTGAAGACGCAGGAATACGAGGTCGAAGACGAGGCTAGCCTCGTATTCGCTTCCGTGGAACGCTCAGGCGAGCAATAGCATTGTCGTTCCACTGCAAAAGAAGCGTGTCGTGCGAGGGTTAAGCTTTCCATCTCAGCCCTCGAGAGTAAGGGATAGGCGAGGATGGGGAAGCTTTGAAGTGTCAGCTACAGTGTTTGCCGAGTGTTCGAGCTTTAAGGACAGTTTCGAGATGCGTGGAGTGCGTGGAGCTGTGCCAAGCCGCTAATCCAATCTCAGACATGGCGTCCGCTTCAAGGTCCTTCCGATCTAATCTTGATAAGATGTTGACGTCGCTGATATGATATCCATCGACATTGGTGCCTGTTTCACGCCGTCGTGCGTACAGAAAGGAGGACAGATGGACGGTACTGGGTCGCCTGATGAGTTCCTCCAAACCCTCCGCCTTTCTTTGAAGCCATCCGATAATCTCGTCGACACCCTCGCGAACACCGGCGGTGTACCTCAATCTGACCACATCCGCAAGATAATCGCAGCCACACTATGGCACCGAAAGTTCGTCCCAACGTATTACATATGGATTGCGGCTGTGGTGGCCGTATCTTGTGGCATCGAGACATACAAGAGGCGGCGATATCGGAGCAATGGCACTCGCAGCAGTAATGTCGATGTCAGCAATGGTAGCGCGGTCGACTCGACCCCGTCCTCATCATCCAGCAGCACGTTGATAGGAGCCAATACACCCCCTCAGAAAGATGTCGACGAGGCCACGTCTCTGCTGTTACAGAAGGAGCCAAGAGAACGGCCACAGCTGCGAAGTCGGCTCGCATCGTTCTTGCTCTACCAACCACGCCCCATACCAGCCTTGACATCTGCCATCAACACCCTGCCAGATAATGGCACAACTCTCTCCATCTTGTTCTTCCTGGCTCTCAACCTGTTCTACCTCTTCTACCGCGCTCCGCTCTCCGGGAAATGGATCTTCATTCTCGTCGACCGGGCGGGCCTTCTCTTCGTGGTCAACCTTCCAGTGCTCTATATATTGGCAGCCAAGAATAACCAACCCATCAAATACCTGACTGGGTGGTCCTACGAAGGACTTAATATCTTCCATCGCCGTCTCGGAGAATGGATGACTTGCTTTGCTGTTATCCACATGTTCGGCATGTTCCTCGTGTGGTACACCCTCCTTCGGCCCATTGGATTTACATTTCTCCACTACCTTACCGCCAAAGTCGTCTTACTAGGTCTTTCTGCCGTCACCGCTTATTACATTATATATATCACAAGCACCGGGTGGTTTCGACGGCTCTACTACGAGGCGTTCCTGGGGCTGCACATATTCTTTCAACTTGTGGCATTGGTGTTTTTGTTCTTCCACTATCCTACAGCTCGACCTTACGTGGGAGCTGCGCTGGCCATATGGGTCATCGACCGAGGCATCTGGCGCATAGCGACATCGAGCCGGAAATTTATCGCCACATTGGAAGTCACTTTCGATGGACAAACCGTATTATTGCATGCGGACATTCCACTACGGCAGCAGAAGTCAGCCTCGGGGATCGTACGAAGTCTCCATTGCGGCTGGACACCAGGGCAACATGTCTTCCTCACGATCCCATCAATGGGCTTCAAATATCGCTTCCAAGCCCACCCTTTTACCATCGCTTCTCCAGCACCACCGTCGAACCCAGCCAGCAGACACCTACAATCGTGGCCCCTCCAACTCACAATCCGCGCCATAGAAGGGTTCTCTCTCGACCTGCTCCACTACGCCAAATTCCACCAACACTGTGAAATCATCCTGGATGGTCCCTATGGTTCGAGCTCCGCCCTCGAAGCAGCTCACGCCGCTGACCGTGTCTGTTTCGTCGCCGGTGGCAGCGGCATTGCCGTCACATACCCCTTGGCATGGGACGTCCGTGTCTTGGACCACGCAAAGGCAGACGCAATTGTGACTACAAGGACGGTGTACGAGAACGGCAGGAGGAAACCGCCACCTCTGACCCTAGAATGCGACAGACTCACCAACAAGTCGAAGTACACGCACTTCTGGGTCCGGCAGGACGAACGGCACAAAGAGTGGATCACCATGGTTCCGAAAGCGGCTGCCACGATCCAAGACCCAGCGCACACTGCCGATCAAGCTCCACAGGAGGGGTATCGGGCCGAAGAAGAAGAAGAACAAGTGTCAAGTCTAATCACCCGGGCGTTCGACACCAGAGCTCCACCACCCGAGGGTGGCCGACCAGATATGAAGACCGAGATCTGGACGTGGGTCACCTCGGTACACGGTAGTGTGCCTTCAAGGTTCCCGTCGTCAACAACGCCCGAGGACGCTGCTTCGGACCCCCCTTCCTTCCGTCTGGCACCAAACACGAAGACCACCATGGGATCTACGCCTGCGCCTTCTCGGTCCGATAAGATCTGCATCATCGTCTCCGGTCCGGACGGCCTGGTGCGCGATGTACGTAACGTTGCTGCCGAGCTTGTGAAGCAGGGGTGGGCCATTGACGTGCATGTCGAGAAGTTTGAGTGGTGATCTGGATCTCAGCTATCAGGGGTTCTGCTTCCGTCGAACAATTCAGCTGACATACCTACCCACCTACCTTCCCCGCATAGGTGATCTAGAAAAAGAGCATAGACCGAGCTCATGAATTCATATATACATATACTCCTAGACTCGAGTTCGGGGACGCGAGACTCATAGACGGCACGCAATATCAATGGCAATATTCAATGTCTAACATCTAATGAGCAATGGAGTAGGAGGGAAACTTTACTTTAAGCATACGGAGTACGGAGCGACATACGGCACTCCGGAGCGGGCCTGGCTGTACACCCAGAGGAGACGAGACCGGGTATCCGGTAACTCATTAGAGCAATTCTAAAAGGGTAAGACTGTATTTTAGAGCCATATCTCACTGGCAGTGTCAGTGCGAGGTGTTCACGTATTGGTCCGTCACGGAGTACTCCGTATCTCGCCTTCGCTTCGTTCTCAATATACGGATCTATCGCTCCCCCAGGCATCGGTTAACGAGTCGCGGGCTCTCATGCTTGTGAGACCCCGTCCTCCATCTGAAGTGTATGGCCCGAGGACCTGTATCAGCGCAGTCCCACCATCCTGGTTCATGGCGCGTCTTGCGTAACGCTCGTCAGGTTCGTTCCCAACCCATGGATCCGAACCATCACTCCAAATAATCCTATCGCTCCAAACGACTTAACTTAAATACTCTCTCGGGGGAGACATACGCTCAGACACGAACGACGAGGGGCTTAGAAATCAGAACCCAGAGCGCAAAAGACCTGCATGTGTGTTGTGCATTTGATGTCGAGCCGACGGTTGCTCCCTTGTGGTCGAAGTGTACCCTGCCACGCAGACGTACGCCACGGCCTCATACCGGGATAATTGTCTTGGACGTTGCTAGATCATCGAACAGGCTGTTCTCACGGTTCCCGAAACATGCAACGGGCAAGCTGGTATGTACCCGCTTTCCACCCCTTCGAGATCCATCCCGCTCCCAACTGAGTGAGTGAGTGATTGAGCGACTGACTGACTCAGGGACTGACAGGGCGGTATGGTATACCGAAGGCGCAACACAGGACATGTGGGCTTCCTGTCAGTGCCGACTATCACGCGCTAGTAGAAGCGTCGTGGCGGAAGCTGGAACCCATAGTCCACCCAGTCGACGTCCTGCTCGATATTGGCTGTCTGCCGGAGGCGGGCATTCGAGCCTTGTGCTGTTTCGTTGCCGCCGCCGACGTCGCCACGCTTGAAACCCGCCTTGTTGTGACTAGGCGGCATCTCGGTATGGTCTGTAGTCCCCACTTCATGGCCGCAAATGCTGGCGCTCGGCTTTTTGCCTGACGACTTGCAGGCTGGCTGGTCAGGTTTTAGGTGAAGATCTGGCTTGTCATGCGATTTGCTCCCGGTGTTCTTGGGCGGGTCCGGCGTCAACTTGAGGAACTTCGGGAGCGATGTCTCTTGATCGGGGGTGCTCTTCAGATCTGCGACCCCGGAAACGCGTCTGAGAGGGGAGAATTACGGGCCTTCGAACTCGTGGGTAGGGCCGGTAGTGGGTTTGGGTACATGGGGCCGACCCTCTTCCGGTGCGAGTTTAAGGAAGCGATTGCCCTCCATGGTCGGTGGATGTCGGATATATGTGGACTGAATTGCTGGATAAGGGTGGGCGAATGGATGAGGCTTTGATATTGGAGGATCGTGGTGTGAGACCTGTGCTAGCACCTTGGACAGGATGTCGAAGAGCGAGATCGATCCTCAAGGGGAAGAGATATATATCGATCTCGGAGTGTGGAGTATTCTGTCAGGTACTTGGTTGTCACAGGCAGTGCTCGGGGCAGTCCGTTAGGGTTTGTGAAGCTTCTTGTTCAGGCTTTGTTCTCTCGTTGTGAATGCCTTGCTCGCCACGTCGTTATAGCTATGTCTGGAAGATCGGCTGGCAAGCACTGGTGTGAATGTCGTATCAGGAGTCGAGTGCAGCATGCCAGGCTGTTCAAAAGATCTCATATGCAGACGTCTGGCTTGAGCAGCAAACGCCTTGAATCTTGCAGCCTACCTCTTGCTCATGCTAGCAATAGAGCTGATGCAATACCCCCTCCAAACATGCTTGCCACTGTGATGAAGCTGGATAAGCTCATGGTGGCCATTCCCGAAATTCCGTGCCCACTTGGACAGCCACCAGCTAGTCTTGCACCAAAAATAAGAGAGAAGCCACCTGCAAGGGCTGCGAGAGGGGTGATTGTCGGGCCGCCTGCTTCGGACAAGGTGGGTATGTACTGGGAAATGATTTTTGACCCTGCCATAACACCAGTGGCAAAGACAATGTTTGTCGGAGCAGGGGCAGATGTGCCATCAACCACACTCCAGAATTTTTTGCCGACATCCTCCCATGCACTGGACACTCCGAGAGTCTTGCGCGTGAAGAGGACAGACGTTGCCTGAGCGATGCCAATCAGTAATCCCCCCACAATGGGATTGAGCCAGTGGTCCCTAATTGGTGCGAGGTATGTGGCAGCCGTGATCATCAACAGGCACAGGATCTCCCAGAGCAGGACAGTGGTAGTCGTGGAGATTCCTAGGGTTTCCTGGATTGTATACTTGGGTGGGCCTGAAGGAGGATCGCTTCTAGCTCGTCGGAGGTGTTGTCCCAGCTTGACAAACGCAATCCCCCCTAGTATGCACCCCGTGGCGACATACCAAGCAGACTTGATCCCCAAGGCGAGCTGGACAATAACCGTACCTGGGCAGGCTCCGGTCAAGGCCATGCCGACGCCCTGTAACAGCCCTCCCACCACATTGGCGTCGTATCTCATGAACCATCCGTAGGAGGAGTCGGTGCGGCGCGACAGTTTGGCGTACTTTGTTCGATTGGCTGCAACGACGATCAATGCACTGCATGCACTTGCGGTGACAAAACTCTTGATCATATGAAAATTTCCCAGCCGCAACTGTGAGGTGATAACCGACGGGGAGTACACGCCCGACGCGGTCAAGGCTGCGCCGAAGATGCCGCCCGACGCAGCGCTGAGCAGGAGGGACGACATGATATCTCGAGGCAGATACCCGCAATCTTTGGTTGAAGCAATGCAAAGGGCACATCTGTGAGGTTCTCAAGCTCGGTTTTGTGGCTTGCGCGCAAAGCTTGAAGCCCGAGTCGACCCCATTAGACCCCGAGGGAAAGGCTCCTACCGCCCCAATCATGACACTAACGCGGATCCAAGGATCGCCACGAGGTCCATGCTGTAGTCCAGATGCACATAAAATGCTCACAAGGGGGAAATAGGTTCATCTCAGACCCCGAGGACACCGTTAACTCACCTATTTGAGCCATGTTTGATTGATTAGTGATGGGCGGGTTGATGGTGATCGCCGGCACAGCGACCTTTCCCATGATAATTCAGGTTCCCGACTGGCAAGGATGTCGCGACTACTCCGTACAGTCTCCTTTGTTGTGGCAGTGCCGAGTGATACACTGAACGAGATACGAAGCCCATCCTGAGCATGTCCCGCTTGCTTCGTTGCAGACCCATCGAAAGGACAGGTACTCTGCACGGGCAGCTCGTGTTCGGCATTTCGGGTTTGGCCAGTCTAAAGAATGTCGGGAAAAGTCCCGGAATCACATCCCGTACATAGTAAGGTGAAGTTACGAATATTTTTGCTCATGATGGTACGCGCGAGAGCAGACCTCCGAGCACGAAGCCGAACAGAAAAGTAGCTGTAGTCGACGAAGATGGGAAATGAGTTGTGGTTGAAAGAAGCAAGGGCGCTTGACGCTGACTTGCATCCGTAGGTGGGACAAAGTGACTGGGTCACTAGCAACTACGTTCCTATTGCGATACTTCTCATGTGGAAAGACAATTGTGTCTTCAGCAGTACGAGGGTTGCGAATAGTTGTGCTACATATACTCCGTACCAAATAATCAATCTCTGGCCAGCCCCTACGAGTCAGATGCTTTGTTACGCCACGAGATCTGTACGATCGGTGATCACCCGAGAAAATCGATCGGAACACGAAGTCTTGCGGCTTTACTAGGCTATATCCAGGCCATCCTACTTTATATCGTCATCAGATGAACAGTTATATATTATCACACGGATCTCAGTACAGGGTTTTGCTTCATAGCTAGCCATATTACACGTCCCCAGATGGCGGCAAGACCCAAGTTGAACGTCCAAAACTTTCCCCGTCCTCCACTGTTAGAATTAACTCGAAGGCACTTGTTGATCAGATGGAATGGCCAGACGCTGGCAGACACCAAATCTGCCTACTGGGTCTTAGAGACGACTCATCCTCCGAGTACGTTCATTTCTGCTTGTCACAGGACTCAGTAGCATTGTCCGAGACGGACCAACCTCTGAGTAACTTGCCCATGTACAGCCTACTATCTGCCAAAGAGCTCCATCTCCGATGCTTTCAAGCTGAAGCAAGTCCCCCACAAGGCATCGCTCTGTGAATGGAAAGGCCGAGCGACATACTGGGAAGTCACCAACGAATCAACGGGAGAGACGGTGAAGAACAAAGTATGGAGCTATGAGTCGCCGACGCCAGCTTTCAAGGACATCCGGGGATATTTGTCCTTCTATGCTAGTGATGTCCCCTGGGAATGCTTTGTTGACGATGAGAAAGTGGCACCCCAGGAAGGTGAGGAGCGCAGCTCAGGAGATGCCGCAAAAGTTGACTTGACTGTGTATAGGCGACTACTACGGCGGTTGGGTGACGAGCGAGCTCGAAGGCCCCATGAAAGGGGGACCGGGCACATGGGGATGGTAAACGTCGCACTGAACGAGATGTGGACGGAGGGTACGAGTAGCAGGAAAGCATCGCTGAGGCACGTTACCTGCTGTTCATATTCACCACATGTGTCCGTCTCTTCAGCCTGTGAGCTACCGGCACTGCTAACCGTAGTACTCGCACGCTCAGCGATACGCCGCCGGGTCAGGGTAAGGTCAAGGGACAACTACAGTAGCAAGTCAGCTGGTATGCACGCTTTTCGTCCAGGAGGAGCTGGCCTTTCCGCATAAAGCGCAGGTCTAGAGAGGTAGGGAGCAGCAGCTGGCATGTCTACATGCGAGCCAGAAAAGGGAGAGCAAGCACATTCTTGCGTATGTGACCTGTCCAAGTGCACACGCGAAACACGGCAAGCATAGATTATCCAGAGCGAGCAATGCAGCCGGCGAAGGATGTGGTGCCGCGCTGCTGAATGTCAAGGAAATCGGGCTATTCCAAATGCAGCGCGGAGGTGTTTTTCTTCCGTCCCCCAATGTGGTCCAGCGTTGCGCTATCAGAAATCCGACTGGGCCGTCGCTCTCTACACGTTTCGTCATAGTTCACAACGTGTCTCCATGCCCGCTTTTGAAGTCCTCCGCATCGCTGAATGTAGGCAGAAACGGCACGCTGTGGCCATGGGCTGCTCAGTTCTTGTTCGTCCAGGACTGTGTTTCTGCGTATCGGCATAGCGGCTTTGTTGCCGGCTGTCAGCTCAACGGGGTCCCAGGTTTGTAACACGCCGCGTTGTGTGGCGGTTGATGCTTCTTCAGTTCTCCAATTCCCACGTCCACGTCCTCCTTTTCAACGTTGTCTCAAAGCCTTCAAGTTCCAGACAGTATCCGTCTCCATTTCTTCTTCATCGTGCCCCAGTGATAGATTTGGACTGTGGTACCAATGGGAGACATATCTGATGCCATGACCAAGCTCGTACCACTGGAGGTCACTGACCTGTCAGAGGGATGGTCGTTCAAGCAGACTGACGATATCGGCGAGAACAGTTGGAGTCCAGTCAAAAAGGTCCCGTCGACTGTGCATCAGGACCTGATCGACAATAAGAAGTGAGTGAGGCCAGGGCCCCAGAGTCGACGTGACTGATGCTGCTCTCAGGCTCGAGGACCCGTTCATCGGATTCAACGAGATCAAGGCCGAATGGGTAGGATTGAAATCATGGACTTACCGAACAAAGCTTTCGCGGCCGTCAGTACCGGAAGGCTCGAAAGTGGTACTGGCCTTTGATGGTCTGGACACATTTGCGAATGTCAAACTGAACAACAAAACCATCCTTCAGAGCGACAACATGTTCCTGCCGCACCGGGTCGACATTACAGAAGCCATTCGACCAGAGACGAGCCATGACCTCGAGATTGAGTTTGACTCTGCCTTCTTGAAGGCTCGTGAGATCAAAGACCAGCATCCGGAGCACAAGTACATCTGCTTCAACGGCGACCCAGCGAGACTGGCAGTGAGGAAAGCCCAGTATCACTGGGGCTGGGATTGGGGTCCTGTGCTCATGTGTGCGGGCATCTGGAGACCAGTGCGGCTTGAAGTTTACACCGTCAGGGTTGCCGATCTGCGGACCGACATTGATATTTCAGATGATCACAAACTTGCCACAATCAACGCGAGTACAGAGATAGAGGGGCTGGAGGACCGGAATCTCCATGTCCAAGCCAAGTTTACAGTCAGCCTGGGCGACCGAGAAATCTCTTCAAGCGAGGCCGAAGTGACTTCTGATGGCAAAGCGACTGCCCAGCTTAAGGTTCCAGACCCTGAGTTGTGGTGGCCCAACGGATATGGAAAGCAGCCACTTTACACTGTGAAAGTGGCCATCTCAGCCGGCGAAACCGTCCTGCACACAGAGTCTAGACGCGTCGGTCTCCGCAGGGTCCAGCTCGTCCAAGAACCAGACCGGCATGGCAAATCGTTCTACTTCCGAATCAACGATGTCGATGTCTTTTGTGGTGGTTCATGCTGGGTCCCCACCGACAGCTTCTTGACCAATGTGACACCCGAGAAGTATCGGGCCTGGATCGAGCTGATGGTGCCTGCAAATCAGAAAATGATAAGGTAAGCTCGTCACGATACCTCCAGTGTTCGCGACGCCTGCCTACGGTTCGAAGCTAATGCGGTGCTTCCAGAGTTTGGGGTGGAGGAATCTACGAGCACGACGCGTTTTACGACGCGTGCGACGAGCTCGGCATCATGGTGTGGCAGGATTACATGTTTGGCTGTGGCAACTACCCGTGCTTTCCTGCAATACTCAAATCGATCGAGGCAGAGGCCGTGGCTAATGTTCGGCGAATCCGCCATCATCCGTGCCTGGTGATTTTCGCCGGAAATAATGAAGACTACCAAGTGCAAGAGTCCGCCCACCTGACCTACGATTACGAAGACAAGAACGAAGAGCATTGGCTGCAATCTGACTTCCCAGCCCGCTATATCTACGAATCACTCTTGCCGAGGGTCTCGGCCGCAGAGGCGCCCTGGATCCCTTACCACCCAGGATCACCCTGGGGCGACGGCAAGATCAGCTCTGACCCCACGGTCGGTGACATGCATCAGTGGAATGTCTGGCACGGGACACAAGAGAAGTATCAGATCTTCGATTCGCTGGGTGGACGGTTCAATTCAGAGTTTGGAATGGAGGCCTTCCCACACATCGCGACGATCAAATCTTTTGTGGAGAAGGAGGAAGATCTCTATCCTCAGAGCCATGTGATAGACTTCCACAACAAAGCTGATGGCCACGAAAGGCGGATCGCCACGTACCTTGTGGAGAACGTGCGGACGGCGACAGGGCTCGAGGCCTACATCCACCTGACCCAACTCATCCAATGCGAGGCTCTCATGTTTGGCTACCGCGGGTGGCGGAAGCAATGGGGCGATGAGCGGCACTGTGGCGGCGCGTTGGTGTGGCAGCTCAACGATTGCTGGCCAGTCACCAGCTGGTCGATAGTCGACTACTACTTGAGGAGGAAGCCTGCATATTACGCCATGGCTCGAGTTCTTGCCCCAGTGGCGGTGGGGATCCGTCGAGCTCACCACGACTGGAGCGTGACACATGCCCGAGAACCCCGGACGCAAGACTGGGAGCTGTGGGTCGTCAGTTCGAGGCAGACCGATTTGACTGCCGATGTGGAGGTCAAGTTTGTGTCAGTCCGAACCGGCCAGGAGATCAAAGAGAAGATCGTGAAGAAAGGGGTCAAAGTCCGGCGGAACGGAACGACCGACGTTCTAGAGGGGGTCATCGACAATGTGCACGAAGAACCCCATGTTCTAGCTGCGCGAATTTGGGTCGACGGCGAGTTGGTTGCTCGGGACACCGATTGGCCACAGCCTCTGAAATATCTACAGTTTCCCGGCCGAAACGTCAAAGTCGAGATCGTGGGTGACGAGATGCATGTTTCAGCGGACAGGCCCGTCAAATGTCTCGTCTTCGAAGAGCGAGAAGGGTGTCATCTAAGCGACAGCGCCATTGACCTGGTGCCCAATGACAAGCAGATTATCCGAGTGCGAGGGCTCAAGTCTGGCGCGCCACCCCTCGACTGGACCTTTCTGGGAGCTGGAGAGCAGTAAAGCAGGGACAAGCACAATGCATGGCATTGAGGGACAAAAAGCGAGATGAGGTTATGATGCATGAGACAAGACTAGGGTGTGCAAATGTGAGCAACATTGCAAGGGTGCATGTTGGTCCGATCTTGACAAATTCAGGAAGACGCGTCCATCTACTGGCTCGGTTCGATGGGTGGCTTGTTTAAGGAACGACAGATATGAGTTAAGCGGAGAGTCAGCCTGATGACGAGCCTTCTAGAAGGTCGAGGGAGTCTCTGTGTAAACTGCGGTAACCCTCTTGGGAGCAGTTGAAAAGAGACACGAGTCAGATGGTCTCGGGGGTGGGTAAAGACAAGGACCTGAAAGGATGCCTGTGCCGGTAGAATTTCGGGCGGCCGACAGTGTCATGTAACAGGCAATGGACAAATAGCTGACCGTGGCATCGAACCCGAAATTGGCATGTCGCAAGGTCGGATCGTGACCATCCCGATGACAAGACTTTAAAAGCTGGGGCGTCCCGTCCAGAGGGGTGGGAATGGTCCCGACAAAGCAGAGGTTGTGGGCAGATATTCGGCAGAATCCAGAAGCCCGACGGTTAAAGCTCGAACGGACACCGGAGATCCATTGCTAGCGTCTGCTGAACGGCGGCTAAATACTCTAAATGATCAAATCTCATCGGCGTGGCCAAGCTGCAAGGCTCGAGTTGGGGCCTGTAGAAACGGGCCAAGGCCGACCCATGGCCTGGGGAAGGGTAAACTGTGGGGAGACCACCGAGTGTGGCAGTATGGGATGATGAGCACGGGGCAGCACAACACGAGGATGCTGGTGATAGCATACAAACCTCGGTACCTTACTAGTAGCTTGGTACCCATACGAGGTAGACACTGCCAGCATCTGAGAGCTGGAGACGAGTGCGAAGTGGTCGGCCGCATGTGGAGCATTTGGCTGCCTGGAGACAGCGAAGCCAATTCACAAGGGAAGCAACACCACACAGCAATACACAGTAGTCACAGGCAGTTAAAGTAATAGCCATGACGGCAGAATCATGTGGTTGTGGAAGAGCAGAAGGTGGCCTCCGGAGCAACATTGAAGTCGAGCCCCCCACAATCTCTCAAGCTGCCACTCACCCTGAGCTCAGTCTTCCCTCACCTTTCTCTCACCTCACCGACACTCTCACGGTTACATACACACATTCATTCCCACTAACATCCCTACCTAGGTAGGTACCCCGTACTCCCTCACAATCACTCCTCCTCTGCCCCGCCACCGCCGACAGGCTCACTGCGATTGTACACATCGTTGCCCACAACCACCCTTACAGTAGCCTGCCTCTAATCGACGCACTACTGCGTCCTGTGTACACAAAGTCTTCCTCGCATTCTCATGCTTCTTTTCTTCTGGAGCCTTTCCTCTTTCTCCTTGCTCCTCGGCCCGCTGGTGGGCGCGCCAGGCCTCTCACCATCCTTGCCTGTAACATTGGCCCGAGATCAATCATCATTGATCAAAGATCCTGTCACCTCGACCCTGGTCGCCGTGAGTGGCTACCAGCTCCTTAGTCTACGCCATCCACTCCCGATCCCATGCTCTCCTTCTCGCCTCTTTCCACCATCGACACCACACCCTCTCTGCGATCCAATCTCTAACTCAAGCAGGCATTTTAGCCCGTCATGCGCATCGTTGAAGCTAGCCCAATTCCCGGTCGAGATGGCCTTGGTTATTCCCACAGTTTCCCCGGACTCATCCATGTGTCAGATGAAGGACGTGTAGTCTCCATGAACATATACGACTCCAGATCCGGGGAACCACTTGATCCTCCACTTTGTGACATTGCTGAAAAGCGATCTGCCTGCCTCGACTGTCTCCGTGCATTGCTCATTGACTTCTTCCACAATACTCTTGTCGGCTCTGACCCTGTCGATCGGACGCGACTTTGGCCACGATAACGGATCGGCGCTGTGCTCAGGAGAAGCTCATCGCAACTGCCGTCGCTTGATGGTGGGACACCCTTGTTGCTCTTTTCGAGACGGACGTTTTTATTCTGCCAGAGCTTTACTGCCAGAGCTTTACTGCCAGAGCTTTACTGCCAGAGCTTTACTGCCAGAGCTCCATTGATTACCGGTTCTCGATCTACCCAGACTGGCTTTTTGCCTGGGGCAGGAATCTGCTCTCTGAACGCGGTTCTATCTACCTTCAGCACCGATCCTTCCCTGCTGCGCCCGGCAGCTCCTCCCAGAATGTTCCATACCTTTGAAACTGCTCAATATGCCAGCCCGGACCAGGCCGAACAAAACGCCAGCACTGCGGCCAAACGGCGGACCTCTACCGTCAGGGCCTGTGAGCCCTGCCGCCGACGCAAAATCAGGTGCAATGGTGAGCATCCATGTGAGACCTGCCAGTGGTATCGCAAGGCCGCATCCTGCCACTACACCGAGCCTAGGCAGCGGCAAATGCCCTCTAGAAGGTGAGCAGTTCCTCTGCTCGCCCTGTTCGGTCACTTCCTTACATCCGTGACCAGGTCGGTGGAGAAGATCTCACAGACTCTCCAAGAGTATCGCGGCATTCTGCAGAAACTCTTTCCCAATGTGCATCCGGATCAGCTGAAAGAGCTTGGCCGTGAGAGGCTTGTTGAGCTCATCCAGAAAAGCAGTCCGTTTCATCCTCCTTCTCCACGCACACCCAGCGTCGAGGAGAAGCCCCCTCCAGTCAACCCTGATGCTGCCAATCTCGAGCAGTTGCAGCCAATGCCCGAAGACAGCAATGATGGCTTCCCAGAACGCAAGCATCATGCTCTCAAAGGCATCACCGACGACGTCAACATGCTCTCGCTCTCTGTCAAGCAAAATCCATCCTACCTCGGAATATCATCAGTCATGGCAGTCCTACGAGTAATCACTTGGCTTGATCCCGACTGCCTGACCAAGTCCCCTGAGAGAAGCGCCATCCCTACGCGGGAGCCCTCACCAGCTCCAGAAGCTCGTGCCTTACACCATGACCAGCCGCGGACCGACACTCCTGCAGCTCCTGCGTGGGATGAGATCCTTTTGATCAATGCATATTTCACATACGTCCATCCGTTCATACCTCTGATTGAGGAACAGGCCTTCAGAGACACATACATGGCTGCAAAAAGGACCGATTCCAGGTGGCAGTTGCTCCTCAACAGTGTCCTTGCTATGGGCAGTGTAGCGGCAGGAACTGCCGAGGACACGGGCCATCAGGTTTACTTCAACAGAGCCAAACAGCACCTCACCATAGACACATTGGATACTGCTCATCTGGAAACTGTCCAAGCACTCGCTATTCTAAGCGGCTTCTATCTCCATTACATCCAGGTGCCCAACCAAGCCAACAGCCTGATGGGTGCCACTTTGAGAGTTGCCACCATGCTGGGTCTACATCGAGACTACTCCGAAGGCGTTGGGCCTGCAAAGGCTCAGAAGGCGTCGTTCTCCATCGAGATGCGGCGGAGGATATGGTGGTGTACATTCATGCTGGATGCCTGGGCTGGCAACACCCTCGGCAGACCAAGCATGGGTCGGATGAGCCATGCCATCACAGCAAAGCCTCCACAAGAGCCCATTGGCCAGTCGGCACCCATGCTGGCATTGGTGCAGGAGAACGTTCGCTTCTGCATCATCAGCACAAGAATGGAAGATGCCCTTGCTGTCTCACCATTATTGGAGGAGCACGAACGCCACGCCCTTGATGCTCTGTATCTGGAATGGTACAGACATTCGTCCGTCCAAACAGGCTCACCGCATCCACATGCCAGCGAGTCACCTGGCATCACGACCCTCAAGAACGTCATGAGGTGGAAGTACCTTTCCAGCAGAGTCATCCTCCACCGACCGGTGCTGCTGTGGTACGCCATGCGGAAGATCACCTGGGAAAGGCTACCCGAGGAAAAGAAGGCTGCCATTGAGCTATGCCGCGAAGTCTGTGCCGAATTGATCTTTGACATTGCCGCCACGTGGCGTGGTCAAAAGGCATGTCAAATATCTGGCTGGAATGCCACCTGGCTCATATATCAAGCCGCAATGGTTCCCCTCTTGTCACTTTACTCGGATTCTCATGAGACCGAGGTCGTGGAAAGCTGCCGCCAACAAGTCGAGGTCGCGATCCGCACCATCAAAGATCTTCACAGCTGGTGTCCGACAGCTCGCCGGTCTCATGAAGTTCTCATCAGACTCTACGATGCAAGCAAAAGACATGCAGCTGCCATCCAGGATCCCCGAGATTTATATATTCCCAACGCGATGGGCACCCCCGTATCAACCGGCACCCCAGCGCCATTGTTGCAGCACCCACAACCGACATCTGTCTTACGTCCAACTTATATCGACGTGTCATTCGCCAACATGTATGGCAATCCACAAGACCTGAACACGGCAAACCAGGAAATGTTCATGGACAACATGTTTGATACCCTGAACTGGAGTACCAGTTGGGACAGCCCCATTGGTGGGCCTCAGATGATGAATGGGTGGGACTATAATTCGATGCAGACTTGGGCAGGCAATCCTCAAACGGAGGACACGTACTTCTCCTTTGGCTACGCCGATGATGCGACGCAGATGGGTTACGACATGGCCATGGATGTGTCTAACCCGGATGACGTGATGAATGGGCACTATGCACAGATGGAACGACGACACCCGATGTGAACCAATCTAGCAAGGTACATTGAGAAGACCTTCCAAAACGCCTCAGTTCTTCCTCGAGCAGTCCGCAGAACCTTCCTATCGACGTTTTCAGAACCAATCAGATCTACATGAATGAGTAGATCTTGGGCCAGATGAGATGGTTCGTCTGCTCAGCCGTGCATGGTCCAGAGTTTCATACCTGCAGCACGCAGAATGTTGGGCTGCGACCGCCTCGTCTTCGTCCGAGTCGTGCCGGCAGCTGGATGCCAGTATCTCAAGCTGGTCGATGATCATGCAAAGACGGGCAGGGAAGGAGGAGATCTGGCCATGAAAGCCTCCGTCACGGGTTGCACATACCAGTCACGGGCCTGGCAACTATGAGTAGATGCCAAGCGCTTCCTGTCCATGGTGACCAGGGTGACGTACCGGACTGTACATCTGTCCACTGGAGGCCATCCAACCACGCCAGAACGTTCATTCAGAACAAGAAGTCGCCTCTTCAAGACCGTCTCTGTTCGTTACCCGCCCCAGGACAAACAATCTACGGTAGTGGCATGTAACATGATTCCAATGAAAGCAGATACAGCGAACAGCAGATACAGCGAACAGCAGATACAGCGAACAGCAGAT